ATTCGATTTCAGATGAGCCAACGGATTGTGATTTGTTCAGATTTCTGTTGATAACACTAGGCGGCAGAATGCTCATTTTAAAATTAAGATCCAGAACACACTGCATCTCCCAGAATCTACCCAAGCAAACCACAAAAATGCAGACAAATGACTGCTAACACACAAAGACATTCAGAATTATGAATTTTATTCACTAAAGCAACACTGAGGAAAGTCTTTACATACAAGTTTTTAAATCATCTTTACAAGCAAGTTCGAATATACAGTATTTACTTTAATATTTTTTTTAACGAAATACTATGTATTAAGGGTACTTTTGCAGCTAGTACCAAATTTAATACTAACACTGCAGTTAATATTAATTTATTGTGGTGCTTTTGACATTTATGTAGGCAGTGAGCAGCTTTACCACAGCAGTGATCAAAATATTTTGGAGTTTTCCGAGAGCATGGTTGTAGAAGAGACTGAAACCCGGATCTACGACCATGATTGCATTTCAGCAGGACAAATTTCACCAGCATTAAGCACACAGGTCCCACTGATTTCAATGAGGGAGAGCCAAGCACAAACCAAACTTACCTATGGAAATCAACAGGCCTTAAATGTGCTTAGCTTTGCCTGAATTGTGCCCATGGTGGTCAGAGAATCATTGCAACCAGGTGAAAACAAAGACAAAATGGAAACCCCATTCCAAAACCAATATCCATTTTAATGGTATAAGAAGGCGTGCCTAGCAAAAATGCAGATAGTTATGCAAAAAAAAAAAAGTAATTATGTTTCATCTGCAGACGTATTACTCTACCAGTATATGATAGGTTTCATGAATGCACATGTATTGACATGCAAGGAACAAAAGAAATCACAAATGCCATTCTATGTATGTATGCTGCATTAGAACAGCAACAAAAAAACCCAGCATTTGAGACCAAGGATTGATTTCTGTGCAGTCAACTTGAACTTCACCATAGCTGGAGTGGGAGTTCATGTTATATGTTTGTCTGAGAACCACTTGAAATAATTGATGCTCATTGATTACACAAATGATTCACTCAACTTTGGGGAGGAGGGTGCTTAGTATTGCACATGGTTTCATTAACAGATCAAAAATCATATCGAACCGTATAAAACTTGAAGAACAAAGTGGAGTATTTAAGCCTCTGTTCTGGTGTCTCCAGGGGCCTCTCCTTCAAAAGAAATTGCTCCCAATTTTTTAGCGATAGTATGCAAATGCTAGGTATTAAATAAGTGGATGCTTAGTGAGACAAGCGTTTAGGGGACAATACCTTGCAGTAATGCACAATGATACAGTGAACATTTGGAGATAATAATGAACAGGTGGCAGGGAATGGAAGAGGCTGGCGGCATTTGTAAGCTGCATCATCCATGGAAAGCTGCCATTGTTTTAAAAGCCCAAACTCTAATTCCAATGCATAATGAAAAACTATTTCACTAACTCAACCACAGGCATTTAGATTAAATTTAGGCACAACTCCAAGCAACGGAGCTCATAGTTTATAAAGTGCAAAATTAGTTTTGTTTCGCTTTTACAGCTATTGTTAAAAGATAGATATCTTCAATATATATATGTTTGAGGAGCTGTTTAACACTTTAGGAATTATTGCATAACGTAGGAGGATCCAGAAAGGTAGAATGCACACGTTTAAAAACCTAAACAAAATCCAAATTTTTAAATATCTGCATTTAGAATAATCATCTCTATTGGTGCTAATGGCATTTCTTCCCTTTAAGTAAGTATTAATATTTCTTGAAATATATAACCATTAGAGTCCCACTACAGGCCTGGCACTCCAAACAGCACTTTCTCCAAACCACCATGAGCCTTCAATTTTCCCTCTCATCACCTAAAAGAGCTTTGTCTCACACTCTGAACTTTCTCAACATACTTTGTAACTTTCTTTGATATAGTCATACTTGGGGAAAGATTACATATCCAGTTTAGAGACTGACAAATGCATGATGGTGAAAGCTTCCTCTGTCAGATAATTGCCTTTGGCAGGGTGGAAACTCATTTTTCTAGGGACAGTGGCAAACTCAGCCCACCCCAAAGTTTGCATGTGCCGGCAGCACAATCAATTTAGATTATCCATCTAAACCTTACATGTAATCGATCCGCTATCCTCTGCATTGTTTCTAAATTGCCAGACATTTTTTTAAAAATGGGGCATGCAATCTTAAAATTGTATTTGGAAAATACTTCATTTTCATTAGGTACTATATTTTAGTAATTTAAGAAATAGAACCAAGACCATCTCCAGTGCTAACTTTTCATTAAGTGCTCTGAGGAATACAGTTATTTTAGTAATATTAATTTTAAAAAATAAATAATTTAATTATTTCTAATTTATATCCAAGGAAATCTGTAAAAGTCCAAGCTTTAAAATGTGGTGCAAAGGTCTTTAATAACGGAAAACAGCTTTTAGAGTAGTTGCCCTGGGCAAGTGACAATTCCTTTCCAGAAGAGCAAATTGTCAGACTGCTCATTATACATGTTGGTGGGTTGGCAAATTATTTTTTTGTAGCTGGACTGAAACTGACTTAATAAGGGTAGATGTAGAATGATAAGATATAATTAAATTATTCCTAAAACTTCATTTACCAATGACAGCTGGTCTCTTTTCTTTAACAAGATGTCTGAATTTATCTAAAGGGGCAAGAAGATGTTTCAATAACCTCTGCTCCAGTAATGTTTGAATATTGGAAAAACATTGAGTACCAGCTGTATATGTCAATATGGGATCATGCTATACTTGTTTTTCAAAGAGTATGCTGTAATTGCACCTTGACTCCAACCAGAAAGGAACACTTTTTTAACACAAACTGCTGTGCCACTGTAAATGCTAAAATATCTACTGTGAGCATCACATCTAGCAAGTAACCATTTAATCAAACTATTTGGACAGATGGAATATAAAAGGAAGTGTTTAGTCTGCCTTAATTAAACAGAATAATGTGAGAATTTGAGTTATAATCCATTTCAAGGTTTGAGAAAACCATTGTACAATTTAAATTGTAGGACCTCGTATTACCCTATCCCTGGTCACAAAAAGGCAACTGATGTTTAAAAAAGTTGTGTTGCTTTAGGAAGTTAGTTGTACTTTAGCCCTTTTAATGCATTACTCATGCAAAAGGGTTATACAGGGGCTGTCGGCCTCATTCTGACCCTTCACATATTGAAGGATAACTTCTTGGGAATCATGTAGACCCATGTGCCGCCTTCAAGCAATTTAGAGGGTTCTGAATTGCATTGGGAGCCTACAATGATAGAGCTTCCCCATCAGTTATCACAGAAATGTAAGGTGCTGAGAGGCAAAATTCACAATCTGCAGCTCCCATCGACCAGCTTTGCATCTTGAAAATGTTTCCTGCTGTTGACAATTCTTGGGCGGATGAGAGTATTCCCTAGTTGAGGACAGCAATCACAAACATATGCTCTTACAGGTTTAAGGTGCATAGATGTAGTTAACCTAAGAGGATATTCTTGGTCAGCCTTATGACTAATGAACCATGTTTGATTTATGGAAACGTCTTCAACATCCCTTCGGAGGGAGGCATATATTCTTGGATTAAAGGAACCCCAAGCTGCAAATGCTCTGGTTTCATTTATGAAGTATCAATGTTTGAGATAGCATTCAACAAAGGATTCAAACCTACTACTGTAATGTACTCACACCTGCTTCATTTAACAGTACAAAGGGCAGCATTTGAAAAGGCTACCTTCTAACCGTTGTTCTCTGGTTGGCATTCGAGTAAGACTTAGATAACCTACTACATATTTGGTTTTGGGGTGTGTGCAGTGTTTCTCATAAGAGCATTTTATTGCATATTTGCTAATGCAGGTTACAGGTATATCTTTACACTTCATTGCGCCATAAATATTTAAACTACAACCATCTTCATACAGAGTATCTAAGAGTTTTTTCTCCTTTACCAGTCATTTTCCATCCCTCATTCAATACCTAGGAACTAGCCACAAATGCAATATTATTAATCTCTGAAAGAGTACCAGTTCTGTTTTTATGACTCCACAAGCTTTCCCAAAGTGTGTCTGTGTATTTTAAAAATATTTCTTTAAAAAACAAGCTTTTATTATGAAAAATAATTTTCAAAACCCTACATTTATGGCAAAGGTTTGTGCAAACATTTCAAGTTGGGTTCATAAGACTTGCAACAGCAACATAAATTAATAAATAATGTTACAATTAAGTTAAATCTTAACATGAAAGTTATGTTGCGAAAATCCACAACACAGGTGTCACGGAGTCATTATTCCCAGGGTCACAGCACATAACCATTTTACAACTATCTGCATGAAAAGGTTTTGGGTGGATTAATGTTTAAAATTTAACTAATATCCATTTCACCCTGTGAAATTTTGTTTGCCGCTTGTGAACAGTGAAATATAAATTCAAAAAGTAACTACAGCAATTTGGGATCCTCCTGGCATAAAAACCCCAATTCAACACCAAATATACATCATTTAGACAGTCTTGGGTTCACTGTTGTAATAAATAGGAGCATTTTGCATAGGTCTCTGAGATACAGAGTCAGAATTATGGCTGAGATTGAAGATAAAAAACTAATTTATCACTTATAGTTGATGTCAGAGCCAAACGTGTATCCATAACCACCTAACATTCAGTGGTCCAAACTACTAAGGGTTGGATTTCCAGCAAGCAGCCTGTCCTCCTCAAACAAATGGTGCATTACTCTTAGCAACCAGTAGCCATTTCAAACTTTAGTATTAAGCCAAACAATCTTAAAAGGGGACAAATGGGCAATGCAATCAATGGATAGCACAGACTTCTAAATGGCACAAAATCAAGGGAGATTAGACTATAATAGTTAAGTACCAAAAGAACTGAAGCATTCAGTGCATGCATGCTTTTGATGAAGATTCTTGACTGAGACAAGAAAGGGTGAGAGTATGCAGCTTTACAATACAGGACATTGAGATGTTCATATGCAAGTCATGATTTCAATTATGTCTTTGGTTTAGGGAGGCGGGAATGCCGATTAGGAGCCACACAGTCACCAGAATGAATGTTTGAATCTTGATTCTGCATATTTTCTTTTGCTTGTATTAGTTGCCTTGAGTGGTTTGTCTTTGACCAGGTATTCTGAGATTCAGGAGGCATGATTTTTGGATTTGTCATTTGCTTGGGCCTAAAGGAAATCGTTGGAGGACGAAGCTTTGAGATTTTCTGGCTCTTATGACTCAGGTCAGACTGACTTGATGCCAGCTGCAGTTGTGTTGGGTAGCTTGGCGGCAGCTGTTCAGGCTCCTTTGAAGCAGAAGAGCCATCTGCAGATGCTGCTGCAACCGTTACTGGAGGAGGCACTAAAGCATTCTGCTTCGGAGTCTTGGTGGCTCTTGAACTCTTTGGCGCTGAAGCCTGGTTTGTCCGTGAGCAATTGTTTTTTAGAACTAATTTGGTCTGCACTTCTTGAGCATTTACTTGGGAAGATGAGTGAGAAGAGGGATGCGAATGTAGCGTATTAAATTTTCTACCAGACAGTTCTTTAGGTTTCTCTCTAACTTTTACATTCTTGGTGGAATGTGCATTCTCCTCTGACTTTCTTACATTTAACTGTGTATTTAAAGTGCTCAGTTCATTTAGGCTATTGGTGAAGGAGCCATCTGCAGCATTTTGAGATTCATGGCCAGCACTTTTCTTTTGGTCTTCTGTTGGTTCATTGTGGGCCCCGATGAGTGACGTTTTTATTAATTTTCCCTGGGCGAGGTCTGTGAAACTGGGAAGGTGGCTGGAAGGCTGTAGTACTTGAGGCTACAGGAGAGAGAGTTACATGCCAACAATTAGGTAAAAATCAGCTAATATAAATGAAAGACACACTGATCTGTTAGGGTAATTTGAAATCCAGCTTTTCCCTCAAAAGTTTACATTTGAAAAACAGGTGAAGCACATTCCAGACATCTGAAACAACAAAAGAATAAAATCCAGCAATCTCAAATAAATTGTGCAACACAGGGGAAAATTTATTAACTCAATTGTAGCAGGAAAAATAGCCAGATCAAACAATAAAAACCCACACACACATACTATTGCAGCAAAAAGAACGTTGATGCCCAAGAAATGGTAAGCAAATTTAATGGCACACACATGTAAATGAGAAGTTACACCTATAATTTCCTATTAAGTGCTCATACGCTACAGCTATGAATAAAATTCTTAAGGTTTTATTATATAAGGTGGGGAGGGGAAACCTTTTCTTCTGTTGAGGGCTGCTTTACCATGAGGTAACCTAAAGGGGCCACAAGTCAACTGTAGGTAAGGCCAAGCTTCTCTCCCGGCTCCCTGACAGCTCAATGGGCTGCCAGCAGATGGTCTGATTGTTGTTGTCAAAGGTCTGAACTGAGAGCTTGCAGAATGCTTTTGCAACTAGGGCAAGAGCTGCATACCCGCCGTTGACATAAGGAATTTGCTGCCCCCCCTTTTTTTAAATAACACTTTGCAATGGATTGAAAATACTTTTTTCAAGAAACAGAAAACAGATGAATTGAAGGTTTGATTATAAAGCTAGTGATTAAAAAGAGAGATTTTTAATGAAGTCACTGCATAATACAATTATACAGAATGAACCCTGAGTTTAGGAACATTATATTGCAATTGCCACACCTGAGAAAAGGATGTAAATATACAACAAAGAACTTATATCTAAGTGAAAGAGCATGAGCTTTGTGTACAATAGCCACATTCATACTGCCTCAATTTAAATGAACACAGGTAGCAGATCTTTGCCTGAGACCTCAAAAAACTACCACCTGTCAGAGCAGACAGAAATGGGTAAGATAAAGCAGCCTATTACCGTATTTTTCCTTCTATAGGGCGCACCGGCCCATAGGACGCACCTCGGTTTTTTGGGGGGGAAATGAATAAAAAAAATTATTCCCCCCCCCCCGCCGCGGCTGCCGCCCCAAGCCTCGCATGCTTCGGGCTGCAGGCTGCCGCCCGAGCCTCGCGCGCCGGCGGGACCTCCTGCCGGGCGCGCAAGGCTTGCAGACACTCGCCCGAGCACGGGAGCCCTCCGGAGGGCTCCCCGTGCTTCGGGCGACAGGCTGCTGCCCCAAGCCTCGCGCGCTCGGCGGGACCTCCTGCCGGGCGCGCAAGGCTTGCGGACACTCGCCGGGGCTGCAGGCTGCTGCCTGCAAGCCTTGTGAGCCCGCGGGAACTCCTACCGGGCTTGCAAGGCTTGCGGATAGTTTCCTGAAGCCTGGAGAGCGAGAGGGGTCGGTGCGCACCGATGCCTCTCGCTCTCCAGGCTTCAGCGAAAGCCTGCATTCGCTCCATAGGACGCACACACATTTCCCCTTCATTTTTGGAGGGGAAAAAGTGCGTCCTATGGAGCGAAAAATACGGTATGTTCACTGCATGTTATGTATAGGTTCATCTCCTTTTACCAATGGAATTTTGGGCACTTAAAAAAACCCTACCCTACACAAAGGCTTACATTTAGTTCTGTAAGAAATATCAATGTGCTCCTCCCTCTCCTATAACTTTAGAAAGTGAAAGACCTTGAGACTATAGTTTGGAGTACCCTGGCCCCTCACAAGATCAACACACTGCAAATTAGTGGAACATACTGACTATCCAGTCCCAAGTTTTCTACATAAATACCTAAGTTGGAATGTATCAAGAGCTAGTCAAAGACCAGGACCACACACAACTGTAAGCCATTGGCTTATTGCAAATGTGGAAGTTCCTGGAAAAGATATTTCTGCTGCTTTGCTGCTCCCTGTCCTGCTGTGCTGCTCTGAGCTTTTTTATGGCTTGGCTTAGTGTGTAATTTGAACCAGGGTTCATAGTTTGTCTCACTCCAGACAAACCATTGAGTCTAGGTTCAGATGGGGAACTAGAGCTAGTCAGTGGGTCAGATGCGAACCTCCCTCACCCTTCATGTGGCATTTTCCTTTGCCCACATGGTCTGACATCAAACCATGTGAACAAAGGCTCAGTGCAAGCTCCACTGATCAGTTGCGTGTCAGTGGTTTCAAAGGCATAGGGCTTTGCAAGTGCTGCTGACCAGTGGTGCCTACAAACCCAATTTCAGCAAAGAGCTGTACCTTTACCTGCCACACACTTCATGCTACAGATGACATCAGGGGTAGGACATGTGAGCATGGCTTAACCAAAACGGCCTAGTGGGCCAAATGTGGAAGCTCAGTGGGTCTGATTAGGTCTGTGGGGCAGAGATGTCCCCACTGTGGCTTATTTCACAGGAGAGCAGTAGAACTGGGGGAGTAAAGTGAACCTGATCTCCTATCCAAGGCCTTACTCATTCATGCTAAGCTGTGTTTTAGCTTAGTGTCAACTGCAAACTGAGCCAATGCGACACGTTAAACCGCAAATGTAAAAATGGCATTACAATGATCATTATGTCAACACTGTGGGCAGATACAGCTCTGTATATGTTAGGACTGGGTTGCTAGCCTATTTTTGTTCTCAGTGAATTTCTGTATAGCAATCCTAGCTTTGTAGATGTGATGTCAGATGACACACCACTGTTGCATGAGTATACAGTGGTGCCCCGCAAGACGAATGCCTCGCAAGACAGAAAACTCGCTAGACGAAAGGGTTTTCCGTTTTTTGAGCTGCTTCGCAAGACGAATTTCCCTATGGGCTTGCTTCGCAAGACGAAAACATCTTGCAAATTTGTTTCCTTTTTCTTAACACTGTTAATACAGTTGCGACTTGACTTCGAGGAGCAACTCATAGAACGCAGTGTACATAGTAGCCTTTTTTGAGGTTTTTAAAGACTTTGGTGATTTTTGAAGCTTTTCCAAAACTTCTTTTGCAACCATTTGGTAAGTTAAGCTTTTAAAACTTTTTTGGGGGGTTTTGGATCTTGGGTTGGAGTGTTTGGAATTCAAGGACTTAGTGTTGGGGAGGGGTTTGCAAGAATCTGGAAGCTTGTGTGTTTTTTTCTGCATTTTTATGATTTTCTGTGACCATTGGGCCACTCTGTTTTTTTAAAAAAATTCTGGATTTGAATTTCTGTGTGCTGGGTGGCTGGAGGAACAGTTGGGGAGGGGTTTGCAAGAATCTGGAAGCTTGTGTTTTTTTTCCTGCATTTTTATGATTTTCTGTGACCATTGGGCAACTCTGCTGTTTTTTAAAAATTTCTGGGTTTGAATTTTGAAATGCTCTTTACAGTATGTGTGACTTTAAAGAGCACTTAATAAACTCTTGTTGTACCAAATTTGGCTTTGTTTGGACTTTTTTTGACCATAGGAACGCATTAATTGATTTTCAATGCATTCCTATGGGATTTCGTGCTTCGCAAGACGAAAAATTCGCTAGACGAAAAAATTCGCAGAACGAATTAATTTCGTCTTGCGAGGCACCACTGTAGTCACTTTGTACAGGGCTGAAGGGAAGACTACAATGTTTTGTGAGAGTGGGAGGGAGAAAGAAGACTACACAGCTTCCCAGAAAAGCTAGTTTTAAAAGCAGTTACAAAGTGACCCAAAATAAAGTAATATAATTAGTAACAAGGGGAAAGGGTGTGACTGCAAGATATATGCACGGATAACAGCTTATACCAGAATCAAGCTAGGAGGATTCCCATACACTACAGAAAGAGGGAGGAAAGCAAAACTCAAGCAGGTAATCAGAATTCAATGTACAAATGCTGTACTTTTTTCAGGTCAGCAATCATCCATTGATCAGGTTGCAGAAGCACTTTTAGAACATTCTGCTTCCTTCCTAAGCCCCTCTGGATGATGATGATCATCAGGGATTTAGGAGGCCACCATGTGTGAGTGAAAAAGAGAGTGTGCGCACACTTCTACACTGCAGTACATCATCACAACCATCCAAACCACAATAATTTTTTACAAGCTTTACCATCTTATTTTGACTGAAACAAAAGTGAAAATAACTTTTTCTCAACAAGCCAGTATTTATGGTGCAGAGTGAAGCAGAAGTTTCCTTATCGGTAGCTCCCCAACTGTACTCTTTTATTACTTAAAAAGGTACCCCTGCCTGTACGGGCCAGTTGTGTCCGACTCTAGGGTTGCGTGCTCATCTCGCTCTAGAGGCCGTGAGCCGGTGCCGTCCGAAGACACTTCCGGGTCACGTGGCCAGCGTGACGAAGCTGCAGCTGGCAAGCCAGCACCAGCGCAGCACACGGAACCGCTGTTTACCTTCCCGCTATAAAGGGGTCCCTATTTATCTACTTGCACTTAAGAGTGCTTTCGAACTGCTAGGTGGGCAGGAGCTGGGACCTAACGACGGGAGCTCACCCCGCCGCGGGGATTCGAACCGCAGACCATACGATCGGCAAGTCCTAGGCACTGAGGTTTTACCCACAGCGCCACCCGCGTCCCTCTTCTATTGCTTAGGGGAGTTTAAAAAGCAGCTTGGGGACTTGCCTGGAAGGTGTAGGTTGCCTCAAATGAAAACATCCACATATTATGCATGTGGTTAAGTGCATCTCCCTGGGCCAGAGATGCTTTAAGTGGTCTTCAAACTGCCCAGTCCTGGAGATTCATGACTGGGTGAGCTATAACATTTGTCAACGTACGTGTGTGTGTGTGTGTGTGTATTTCCATACACGCACACCTCCTATAGTCATGTAAACCCCTTCTCCTTTCTTAACTGCACTCTAGGACTGCTCTTGTATTGTAGAAATCTAACTACAGACAGCCATTGCAAAGTCTCCTTTACAAAATGAAAGAATTCTATTGACACAAAGTGTTTTAATATTCTAAAGTTGCAATCCTTGGCACATCTATCTGACAGTAAATACCACTTTACTATAAAACCTACTTCTGAGCAGATATGCACTTGACTGCTCTATTAATGATTTTCTATATGTACCAAGAAATGCAGGAACAACTATGCCAAGGACCTTAAATATTTCTAAACTATCAACATTTCTTAACATTTTATGTTGTAATATTTACTCACTTCTTTATATTTATTCACTTCTTGTATTTCCCAGCAGTCCATCATTTCTGACCATATGCCCCAGTAAAAATACTGGCAACTCAAGGAAATGAAAATATATTACTACTAGAAGAAGGCATACAAGTGCCAGGTACCATAATGTGAAGAAAATCCACCTGTAAATCCTACCCCTTGCCTGAAATTCTTTCATTTTCTCTCATTTGTCCAGTGCCTACCTATAATCTTTTTGACGTTCTACTTCTTCATATTTCTAAACTGTATGCCCACCTTTGCTCTTCTACATTTCCTCCAGCACCTAGAGTTGCTGTCAACATAAGGAATTGCTAAGAAAGCAATTTGAAGATTTGAACATTAAATATGATGCATTAATTTCCTAGTCTCAGGGCAGGTACACACAACAAATACAGTATGTAAACTAGGTGTTTTCCACAACAATGTTGACAACCTAAGTGTGAATATGTGTCTAAGCAATCTTGACAGAACCCCAACTTCCATGTGTGCATGTCACTTAACTGCTGCTGGAGACTCCAAAGTTACACGGAAGTACATGCAACACTGTGTGTAGGAGGACTTAACATTCCACAGTTTACTATTTTAGGAGATGGAAAGTGAGAAAAGAAATGGTTAACAGAAAAGGACATGCAGAAGAGCCAGAAAGGTTGTCCTGGCTTGTATCTGCCATGACATCTCCAGACTGTCAAAGTGGAGAAGCATGGCAGTGGATGATGAAGACAAAAAGGGATAATTCAGAGCTTTACTGTGCAGATCCTTTCTCCATTTCTACCATTACCGAAGGTTACCATCCAATTATGCATTTTTAAAAATCACTAGTTAGTAGTCGTAGCAGTGCATCTTTGCACTAATGCATTAATGTAGCGGGCTGTGCCCTGTAACTTAACAGAAGAGCACTCCAGACCCTAAGGACTCCCCTCATTTGCACAAGCAAAGTATCAAGCCTTTCTATGGCCTACTCAAATTAATAGGCTGCATCCTATATTTTCCTTATTTCTTGTTTCTAATACTGTAATCCAGCATTCCCCAACTTATGATGTTAGGCCTCAATTTCCACCTATTCCATCCAACATAGCCAAAAATAAGGGATAATGCAAGCTGAGAATCTAACTACATCTGAAAGGCACCACACTGGAGAAGACTGCAATAACCCAATTCCCCACTACACTGTGGCACTACACTGCATTGATGCATTTCTCCTTATGCTCACAGTTCTTTGAATCAGTTTGCTTTAACAATTGGGGTCACTCTCATAGTAAAAGGTTGCTAAACCTGCCATCTGGCCAAATTTAATTCCCCTGCAGGTAGGGCACACAGAAATCTTTTCCCAATTTGTCATATGGAGCCAAGATTAGAGGAACAATGCAGACGGAACAGCTAGAAATTCCACAAAATAGATATCAAAGACTTCTATGCCAGAAGTTTGAATTAGGACAGAATTGAAATTTATAGCTAAAAGGTTCTGAATCCTTCTGTAGTATTAAAAGCCTCTTAAAATGGATTAATACCTTATTACCAAAGCAGAATCAAATCCAGAAACTGGATTTCAATGCCAAATTTAGGATCATTCCACAATATCTAAAAAATCAATGTCAGGCAAAAAAAACTACACACACCTTATCATAGCTAAATTAAGAAAACATTTCTCTAAAAGATGGAAAGAGTTTGCTCCTAATCTTCATTTAAAAAACGGTCCACATTCTTTTCAGGTATTAACATGGTTTGCCCTGCATAAAACATTTCTCATATTGGCCACTATGGATGATCTTACATTAACAATAAGCAGAGATATCATAAGCCTTTTACCCATCCATGCAGTAAAGCCAGGAAGTCTTTAATTAGCATTAAGGGTCTTCAGTTTCTGCTCCCAGATTATTTCCCCTCTGGGCAAGCCTCCTTCATGGCCTATCCCAATGGAGAACATGTCATCATAAAGAGGAATGAAGGAGCTGCCTATGTGGGTACAAGTCTTGTTCATATCTTGGCTCAATCATCCAGGATATGATAATCTGAATATGGCTACTGATGTTCCAAATTGTGTCTACTTGATATGAGGAATGGAATCAGAAAATTCCTTGTTTTCGATTTGTTGAGCCCAGGTGATCAAAAACATTTGTTTTTATGTACTTTTATTACTGACATTTATACTGAATCCAGAAGGAAATTTGCTAAGTTATTATTGAATGGTTTGGCCACTTTTAATAAGCTTAGTTTAAAGATGTATCTTCTGTCTAAGCAAGAGAAATATGTTTACATATTCAAAATTACAGTCTTTTCTATAATCACAATGAATAGGCCATTTATTGAAACAAATGCTATCAACTGTAGAAATCTGCATAGGCATTAATATGTGCTTTCCAGTGTATGGAATGCCTATGTACTACTAGTTTGTTTTAATTTAGGTCTAGTTTAATTTAAGCCTGAGTTTTCATTTACTTTCAGTTACAGAAGTATTTCAATAAGCTAGCTGGTTAAATAAGTTGACTGGCTGGCTATACATGTATAGTCTGAAGTATATTGAAACTGCATGGCTGAGATGAAATTGGAGAGGGACCTTCACAAACACTTTGACCCACTACAAAAAGCAGCCTGCTTTGTAGCACTCATGTAAAAAAATTGCTGCAGGGGAAGGGGTCAAACACGTCAATTTGTTTTATGGAGCAAATGTCAGAGAAACAGAAGACGTATCTCCATTGCCAGGTTCCCCTCTAAAGCTCTACTTTCACCCTTAAGTTGTTCACCAGCAAACACCTGGTACAGACCTAACTGAAATGTATATGATAGCTACTTGTTTAAACTGTTTTATGGAGCTTTCCATTAATGTGAAACTAATGTTGCTTGACAGGAGTAGTTGTGAGTCAGGTCCCAATTTAAATTTCATTTCTACCATGAACTCATTGGGAAGCATTAAGTAATCACTCTTCCAACCATATCCCCATCTCACTTTGTAATATGGACGTAATAACAGCCTCTTACAAGGATGTTATAAGGATTAATGAAAACTCATATGCAATGCTGTGTGCACTAAGAAAAGCACTATGTGTTTATTGTGCTGTAGAATACTTCCAATGCTGTCTAACCAAGGAAGAAGATTATGACAAAGTATTAAACACCAATTGTGCCTTTGGATATTGTCAACATGTATTTTTACAATAAAGATAGGTTCTAGAAATTATCCATTTCCAGATTTCTCTAGATGTTCTAGTATAAAGGATCCACACATACCCTGCCACAATACAGCAGCATCCTGTGAAGGCTGGTTCTACATGAGTTGTTGCAGGGTGCTCAATAGCAGAAAATCAATGAAGAGAATTGCCACATAAGACACACACAGTAAACTGGAAATTACTTCAAATGTTTTGCAATTTTGCATACAACTTAATGCCACTCAGTAAGGTGTAGAAAAATACAGGCATAAAAATGTGATTCTCTTGCTTATAACACAGGTGAGATGAAACATTTACTTTGATTTCATTAAGAACTACCAAACAGCCTTTTCCTATTAATGTTATGAGGTATGGAGAAAACAAGACAACTCTGCATGCACAACTTTGACATGCATGCACCATGCAGGCAGCATACACAATAGTGAAGAAGTGGAAGGAGGAAGAAATCTGAAGTTGTACTGTACCACGCTTTATCATAGAAGTAATGGACTAATTCCTCAACTCCTTGCCAATAGCAAAATGGAAAGCAGAGACAAGAAAAAGACAAGGACAGCGGTGTCAGAGGACCAAGACACAACAATGAGCAATTGCCATGACCAAAGAGTACCTTCTCTTTCATTACATGGTTGTGTATATAAACCTATTGAGGAAAGCTTTTATTCCAATGTACTAACGCAGGTCTTTTACATAAAGCATGTATATCCCTGAATCTTAAGAACAAATCTATGCCAACTTTTCAAAGGACAAAACTGACTTGGCACCTAATTTCTACTCACCTTTATCAGGAACTCAGCATTGACTCTAATTATGATAATTTGAAGGATTACACAGAAATTCTAATAGCCTCTGGACTTCCTGCTCATCACATTGTTTTGAAGGCTTTGTCTATATCAGATGTAGGAAACCTGTGCACCTCCAGATGTTGTTATATTCCAGCTCCCATCATCCTCACCATCGGTCATGTTGGCTGGGGCTGATAGGGGCTGCCATCCAACAACATCCAGAGGGCCACACATTGCCTGCCCCTGGTCTGCAGTCTATCATTAATGCTCAAAAAGTAATATGTGATAAACTATAAGCTTTTGGCTTTCCCTAACCCAAAAATGAGTCAGGGTATTTCCACAGCTCATAATTTCCTAAATCCGCAACTACTCTGCCCAACCCCTAGCTGGTTTTGCACAAGTTTCTATCCTGAAATTATGCCAGATTTGTTCCACTTACTTCCACCATCCTGACTCAATATAGGTATGATTGGTCCTTTGATCATCAAACTAATCAGCACTTCTGTGACTGTTCACATACCAAAGACTTTACAGAGAAGCTTCCAGGCAACTGGATATGAGGGATTGAAGTTTACCAGTCTAAATGGGGGGTGGGGGAGCCTCCAGTCCCTTCATGTGTTGTTGGATTCCAATCCCATCAGCCATGGATGTTTGGAGTTGGAGTCCAACAACATGTGGAAGGTCACAGGTTTACTACACCTAGTCTAGACACATAAGCAGCTTCCTATGCTGCTGTTCCACACTTCTGCTGATTCCGCACCACAGACAAATCAAGCCAGAATTAGGCTTGTCATTTCATCTGAACCCAGGTTTGGACCTGTTTCCCTCAAACAAATGTCAAGCAGTGAGCAAAGAACAAGCCTTGGTTACTACTTGTGATTTGTTGGAAGGAAACAAACTATGAGCCCAGATTTGGACAACACAAAAAGCAAACAGGTTTGTTTTAAATTGGGAATCGGAAAACATTTTCAGCCTGAAAATTATACTGCCATCTGGACAACCTTCTGGGAGTGGGGACCACATGCTAGTGCTGGGAAGGCAAAAGTGGGTAGCTCCTTTCTACAGTACATTAGTTTCTGCACATGCTCACACACCTCTCTTTGTCCATCCAGATAAAAAAAGGGTCATTATTAGCGTCCAAGGAACACATTCCAGCCAAGCAAAAACTCTAAAGGAGAATGTGAAGGAAGGCCAGTTAGGGGTGTAGTTTGGGGAAACAGTGTTGTTGGGGAGGGGGCTTTACTCGGAGAGAGTCCCAAGGTCTGGGAAGAGGCCAGTAGGGCTGCATTTGGCCCCTGGGCCGTAGGTGCTCCATCCTGTTTCAAACTGTGGCTTAATGTGATGTGTGAACTAGGCCAGTAAGTGCATTCCACTGAACTCTTTCATATTACTTATTTCACTGATTTTCTAGCCCTAAGCAACTTTCACTGCACAGTTTATAGCACTGAAAATTAATGAACCACCAAATATGGAAGACATACTAAGATCATAAGGAGCATCCTGTTGGACCACAACAGAGGTCTATCTAACCCAAACTCTATGAGAAGATGGGCCCAGGCAAATTCAGCTAAGCAGCCAAAGCAGTTCCTCGTCCAAGTGTAGTCCAGTATAATGGAAACTAGGCATTCATTTGGGAATGAGACCCCCTGAATCTCAGGGGTCATGGATTTGAACCACATGTTGGGAATGCAGCACATCCGTGTGTTGCTATTTAGAACAGGGGCATGTCCACAGCAGGAACTGCATATAGCAAAGTCCAAATCCCAGGGAAAGGGTGAAATAATGCCAGTTCTCAGTTCCAATTCTGCCCACAATATAAAATAGGAGCAGGTTTTTGCTCTGTTCAAAAGAGAGCATATATATATATATATATATATATATATATATATATATATACACACACACACACACACACACACACACAGCTTACCAGTTAGTATTCAGTCTTTGTTTAGTTCCCAAATAGCATTCTCACAACATACGTAGCCCTTTAGTTATCATCCTTTTATATTCTTAAGAACATTGCCGAAGATCTTAATTTCTGCCCATACTTAATTTATTTAGCAGCATCTAACTGAAGCTGAGAATGCAAATTCTCAAACTACTAAAAAAAGTATTTCACCACTCAACTTTTAATAAAATTGATTGGAATACATCCTTACTTTGCAAATCAGCGTTCTAGGGTATGGATAATTTAAAATGCAAAAAAATCTACCATAAGCAAATGAAAATGTTTACACAAACAAGGTAGCCACTTTATATTTCCCCTGAAATAATTTAAGCTAGTGCTTCACAATATATCAGTTTTACTAGTTTTCTACTCTATTTTAGTACAGTACAAATCAACAAATTTGTCTTTTCTATTGTGACTAAAGAACAACATCCCATTTTAGATCAAGCTGTTGCTAGTTAATGAGTAATATTAATAAATCATGCATTGCTGGAAAAGTCACTACTTTCTTAATTTGTTACTCTGGCACATTGCTGATTGAGAGATCTCTTAGAAAAGCTTCACAGCTGAAAGAAAAGTTTAATTTTCCAAATATAGCAATGTGTCACATACTGTTATCAAAGTATGACTTGTATGAACACATCTCCACAAATATCAAACAAATATATTTGGATGAGCACACATGCTGATAACATGAACAAACGGGACAAACACGCACTTTAAAAGCCATGAAAGGGTGGAGAACAAGCAAACTTTCAGGATCGATGAAATAAAGGTTTCAGGTAGCTTTTAAGATCTATTATTAAACCATTTGATAAAGCTGTTAAGTTGCAGTTATATCGTTAAGTGAAAGAGGTGCTGAGGTTAGACCACAGACTCGCATGTGTCTGATGTTTTTGCTTGAAAGAACAGAATGCTACACAATGAACAGTGCGTGCAAAGGGAAAACTGCTACTGGAGCACAGTGAGGGATATGAGTGAGAAGTACAGACTCACTCTGTCTGCGCTGCGGTGGAACAGTCCGAGGGATGCCCTGGAATGAGCCCTGCCAGGGAGAGAAGGAAGGAGCAGAATACCCACCCTGTGCAGAGAAAGATGGGGGAGAAAGAATAATAAAAAAGAGAACGGAGAGGGGGCAAACAACACCAAAAGCCACATTGTTCCTCTTACAAGTACTTTTAAATCTGAAATAATTCAAAAGATCAGCAAGGTTTGTAAAAGCTTGCTTCTGGAAAATATTTGAAGGAAAAATTGGCTTTAGGTATTTGTATTTATTAAATGCAACACCAAGTCAATCAAGACAAGAATAGCCTTTTTATATACATTTTAAAATTGTTTCAGAGTACCTGGTGGAAGTAAGTGGTTTGTTTATCAAATTCTAATTTATTATAAAGATCAGCGAAGATGTCCAAAGAACAGGGAAGGCTTTAATAGTGTATGCCCTTCAAACCTGAAAAGATTATAGCAAGGAACTTGGGGTAGATTCTCTATTGCCTGCATACCTCAAGATCTTTGAAAGATGTTTTAATGGGACCCACACTTTACACCTGGGATGAGATGTTAAGCCTGATGTACACAAATAATTACAACTCACAAAATCCAATCAGCATAAACACAAGACAATACACTAATTAAAATGGCTTACTGAAATTGTAAAATTCTTAGAAGTCCTGGGTAAATAAAAATAGCTAGACTGGCACCCAAAGGGCAGAATAGATCCTAGGTGCACTCCCTCTTTCAGTCATCACATTTGTCCAACATCAGAACAACTGAAGAGGAGTGTTGATAGATAGCTGAATTTGTGGGCAGGGTGATGTTGAGAAAGGACTTTAGCATCAACATGAGCAACTCAAACTGGGTTTGAAAATCAAATGGTGGTCAGTGAAGCTCTTTTGATACTGATGGGAGATGTTTCTAATGAGATGCCCTGGGTTAACAGTCTCATGGTACAGGGTCTATCTGTAGTTTCCAAACCATCTTTTAAGGATAGCCCCATATATAATACATGCAGACTAACAAAAATTTTATCAGAGCATGGATAATTGCAATTGAGTGCAAGCTTGGGTTTTAGGCTTGTTTCAGACTGTAAAAAGATGTAACTCCAAAAAAGCTTATATAGTTTAAGAATCGGTTAAAAATTATCCATGGCAATTGCCTTTCATTCCAGCCACTGCATAAAACGGTTGCCACGTGAAGGCCAGTTCATGCATCCTCTGGGCAGTAATCATCATGTGAATACCAATCTCCATTTTAATGTAGAAAAAGGGGTGCCTGGTTTGTTTGTCTCCATGCTAATAGAGAAATGCTGTTTTGAGGATAGTGAAACCACGTCCTCTCAATTTGTTCTGCAGCAGGTGCACACATGCAAGAATCCTGAGTAACTCGGCCTTTTAAAAATGCATTTGGCAGCCACAATAGGACTTGCTCTCAAATATGCACAGGACTGCTACTTTAGAAAGAGTGGACAAATTTTGCTAAGTTGAAACATAGGGAATTGCAGTCATTATATTGTGGTGGGCGTTATACACACACTACATTTAAATCTTACATAGTTAGCTAGATAGAGGGGAAATTTCAGGTGAGACTAAATTCTTAAAATAGTTCTATAACCTGCATGTGTGGATTCTATATATTATGCTGAGCTCCAGAAAACAAAATCTTGCAATACAAGTAGAACATTCAGCAACTTTGCTTTACGTTACATGAGATATTGGTGATACTTTTGATAACATACAATGAACGGTACAATGGTATGAAGAATAGACAAGATAGTATTGCAAAACAGTTACGTAAATATCCATTGGTTTGGTTGCCTATGTGAAGAATCAACTCTGAGCAACCTTTAAATAAGATTTCTTCCTTTTCTACAAGGCTGCAGTAAATCTATGGTGGTTTGGTTGAACATCAGTAATTCATAGTTAAACATATGAAATAATAAAAGTTTTTTTTTCCCACTGGTGGACTGCAAAGTTGCTATGATCACTTCTTCCTTTGGCTGAACCCCTAGCACATAACTTGCATTCTTCTGAATCTTTTTGAAAACCAGCTATTAACAATGAAGGTTTTTCTTTAATAAATTACAACAAAGAAGTACACAAATGCATTATAAAGCTGCTAGCATGCCTGCCCTCCCATCTCTCTCTTGTGTAATATTTATGTGAGAGATGAATTAACAGCTGTAATTCCTAAGGTAATGCTGTAACCTTAGTGCAGAGGGGGTGTAAAAGGGAAGTTTAAAAATGGGCTTAAATGTTTCCCTCTGTCATAAGCTGCGGAGCTGGCCTACCTATTTGTGGAAACAAAGCTGCTGCATTCTTTTTTCTCCCCCCTTGACAACTAATGGGGGAGGAGAACTGAAAATTAACCATGGGCAGAGCCAGAAGTAGCACAACTCAGGGATAGGTTGCAGATTTTGATACATTACCATCGTGCCTGCCCTGAAAACTGCAGCAACAGAAGCTCTGTACTGTAGTTGATTTGGTAAAACACAAGTCCTTCCTTTTGAAGCAAGTGTCCAGTCTACCCCTATTAAAATGAAAGGGAAAGTGACACTACCACACACTTTGGGCTAATTAGGGTCCATTTTATCCTTAGCAACTTCTCAAAATTGGGCAGGAAAAATAACTTCACATTTTGCCTATCATCATAAATTAATGTCCCCCCTCCCCGTGTGTGTGTGTGTGTGTGTGTGTGTGTGGAGGAGGAGGTTATACACCACTTCAAGAATGGTTCTCCTATATTTAAAACAAATTATTACAGCACACTGCAGAATTCCATCAGACCACAAAAATCGATTTTACCGCAAGGGGTTAATTCTGTTCCAAGCTGATTTTTAACTTGAAAGAAAAGTTACTTAGTGTAAACTTACAACACTGAAATTTTATATTGGGGGGGGGGGAGTAATTTCTGGATTCAGCTAGGGTTAAAATCTAAGCAAGGATTCAAAATCCTGGAATAATCGGGTAAGCTTTCTGGGGATAGCTCTAAGTATGGGTCATTAAGGTAACAAAGGAAGTGGCTCTGTGTAGCAGATGTGTGTAGTTAGTAAGATAAAGACAGAGTTGTGAGCTGAGTTGTGTGTGTGTAAGTTAGAAGCTGGAGGAAGAAGTATGCCTGATTTCTGCTCGTACCCAAGACTGTGGCTATGGGTGAAGCAAGACTCTTCTGGGATGTTAGTGCAGTGAACCCCTCCATCATAGGCTCAGGTTGTAAATAAACTATATATCATAAAGACACCGCAGTCTCTGCTGTTCCTCATTCTGAAGGAAACACAAACTTGGGTGCCTAGAAACCCTGGAATCTCACACTGCTCTGGGACTGAGGTGGCATGTAACAATATCTTGTTCTGGGTGGATGGGGGGAATATTAGGAGAAACATTCAACCCCTCTCATTATTTACTATGGGCCCAGTATTTCAGCTAGTCATTTTTTGTTATTGTTTCTGTTCTGCTATAGGAAAATGACAGTGGTTTCTAATAATTCTTCTTGTTTTTGTTTTTATTATGCATTTTGTGTTTTTATGCTGTGTTTTTATGCTGTGAACCACCCTGAGATCTTTGTATGAAGGCCGTTATACGAATTTAAAAAATAAATAAACAAACAAAATTATTCAATATGGGGGTCTCAACAGGTCAACTAAAACATGCCTATATGCGTATATCTATCTGTATACTGAATTAGTTTCAAATGAAAATAGCAAGAATAAAAATACAGAATATTATAGAATTTGCTGATGAATAAGTGAGGTTCATTTAAAATGTCCTTCAAAAATTATTCAAAGTAGATTAGAGTCAGAATGTCAAGAAGAGACAAATCAGGAGTTCTGAGTTTATAGTTTTGCTTTAACCTAATCAAGTATGAATTCCAGTACATATTGCACTGTGCTAGTTTTATTTGCCTACAACAGGGGTTGCGCCTGGGCCAGTTCACTCCAGCGGAGATCCCTCCATGGGCCCGATCATGCACACACTCGCGATTTCAGGCATCTGCGTCTGTGAAGACGCGATTTCTGGCATCTGCATCGACATGATTTCTGGCGCCATGGAAGCAAGTCCCCGTGCCACGCTGGTTTAGCGCAGTGCGTGGGGACTCGCCGAATGGGCGGCTCGGGGGCTGGTTAAACGACCCCTGCGGGCCGCTTGTGGCCCAAGGGCCTTAGGTTTCCGACCCCTGGCCTACAAATATACAAAACACGTCCAATCACTATGATCTGAGTATGTTTTTTTTGTTATTTGTTCTTCCAAATCATGTACTGAAAAATGTGAATGATTTTTTTTCAGCACAAAACCCTAAAGCTCAATTCTAGTCCACAACAAAGTGTCCACTAACAACTCTTAGAAATAGTATAGGAGAGGCTTCTGGGGCAGTTTCATAGAATAATTTACAACTAAAGACCATATAGTACTTCTCAAATCATGTCCTGGTTTGCACAGCATGTTAAACTACTATTTTCCCTACTACTGCCACTGCCATGAAACAAGTCAGAGTTTGGATTGTGATGACATCTGAACCTGGCTTTTCATTTGTTTCACTGCCTACAAACTGTAAACAATAAGCAAAGAACAACCTGGGGATACTGCTTCTCTGTTTAGAGAGAAACAAGCCAAGGTTCAGGCATCACAATCCAGATGCTGGCTTGTTTCCTGGCAACGTACCCACACTTAGCAACAGGAACTTTTCAGTAGTACACTGCATGTTCACATTAAAATATGGGCTTGTTTTTAACCATGGTTTAATATGCCATGAGAACTAGAGCAGTATAATGCCATTTCAGGGCAATTCTTTTAGTGCTATTTTGCCTCTAGTTTACTAATAGGTGAGCAGGACAGAGCTACAGGCCTAATTATGCCACAGCCGGGTCCACTGGTCCATTTGTTCACGTCTAGCCATATTATGAAGTCCACACAGGTGCCTGTACCATTTGTGGCACACATTCTGCATACTAGCAACCCATAAACTGCACTGCTAGGAAACTCCATTAAAAATCAGTGATGTGTAGAGCATGTGACATCACAGAACACTTCATTGCCATTTCAACAGTCAAAATATATTGCTACAGTTTGCATATAATTTTTTTCTTTACCCTAGAAAAGATGCTCAACCATCAATGTTGAATAAGATGCATAGAATTAGGAAATCCTCTCTTTCCTCCTCAGAAATATGAAAACACTAACCTCAAATTAACTAAAAGGGGTAAGGACAAGTGAACCCCATTTTTTCTCATTCAAATCTAGAACTAGTGCAATTTCTGCTGCTGTACAGTGTTATTCTGAAATCCAAAAGAATCACAATTTTCTTACGAGAGCTATTTCATATTTTTGGTAAATGTGTGCTCCACTGCTGCTGTGCATTATGAATGCTAATGGAGAAAATTTTCTACTACAATACATCAAACTTGTAAAGAATTATATTGTCATCTACACCAATACTTCAGATTCCAAAATTGGAAACAGAAATAAACCCAGGACTAAAATTTGACAGTTATTAAAAAGACAAAGAGGTAACCTTGCCAGGAAAATATGTATTGGTAATCTCATGAGATTTGAAATCTCATGAGATTTGAAAATAGTGGGTTATAGCCAACTAAGTTATACTCACAGTAGACCCACTGAAACTAATTGACCTAAGTCACTAATGTCCATTCATTTCAATGGAACAATCCTGAGTAGGACAAATATTGGATACACTCCCGTGAATTTAATCCATAAGAATTAAATATAGACTACAGAACCCATCTAAAATGATTTACTAAGATCCAAAATGGTTTTTCGATTCTGGAATGTCTGCAGTTCATATTAAAGTTTAATATGAATTACATTAGCACTATATTGCATTTTGATGGCATTCCTAAAAATGATACTTAGGAATCAGGAAGGACTGGAATCTGAAATCCTACTTATCTGAAATCCTAAATTGCATTTTTAAGACTCAAATGAGTCTTAAAACACACAAAAATACACAAAATACACACAAAAATACACAAAGAACTGTATGTCTCCGTCACCCGATAAATAACTATGTATATACAATGTAGCAGATTGCAAAACATCTTTAAAATTATATACAACTAAAAAGAAGAAATTGAAAGAACCTGGGTAACATGGCAAGATGATGAAACCTAATGGATCTAAACCAGGAGCTATCTTACATAAACAACTGTAACTTTTCATCAACTACTCACAGCACTTTTCCTCCAGGAGGTCTGTGTGTATTTGTCAGCATATGTGCACGCAGGCTGTTCAGATATCTTGCTGTCTCTGTCGCAGACACACCTAACAGACTTTATGCATACGCAAAAGACAAATGATTTGATGGTTATTTATTACGCTTTTTAGTTACTTTACACAAACATCTCAAAATGTCTTACAGATAGTATAATACACAATATAACATTAGCAAATGAATTAAACAAAATATGAGGTAGTAAGGCCATAAAACAATCCTTCTGTACTCTCATGGGTTTTACCACCGCAAAACAGGCGCCACAAACTGCTGCTAAGAAAGAAGAAAAGGATGGATACAGAGGTCCAAAGGCTGATCCACATAATAGACATTAGAAATACTTAATTCAAGTGTAAACTGAACAGTGTGTAAACTGTACACAAACAGCAGTGCAGAATATAAAGAGTTGTAACCCATCAAGTTATTCCATTAGTTCAAGGGCTTCCACCTGCAGAACAGGACTTCCTCTCCCCATGCACTCCCCGCAAACCCCCCCAGATCTCCTCCAGAAAGTTGGGGAGAAACCCATAACTGATGGGGGGGTAGTAGCAAGGACAGGAAATTAAAGTCCCATCCCATTGTACAGGTGGAAGTCTTGCACTAAACAGAACAAGGTCATGGGTTACAACCCAGTGTCTCCCAGAAAGGAACCTAGACTCATATATGTATATCCTGATACTTTTATACACTTAAATATATCACAGTTATCTGCAATTAACATGAAATATTTCCAAATCATTCACAGCAACTTCAACTGTTTGGAGAGTTTTTCATTTTTATTTTTAAATACCTCCTTCCATAATAGTTCCCCTGAATGTGTTAATATTGTAATTTTGGCTTTACAGTATAAGAAACATCATCTGCTGCTCTTTAAAGTATAGTTAGATTTCTCATGTCAAATCTTATACTTGATACAAATTGCTAAATGCAGCTGCATTAAGTGTAAAATAAATTGACAGTGTGATATGTTAAAATGAAGAATGGTGCAGTTTGAACTCCTGTTATTTCAGAATCCTGTGCTCTAAAGTTAACATACACAGCACATGGCCATAATATGTAAGAACACTAAGGTATCATACTCCTGATCCAGGAATTCCTGTGACTGCTCCAATTTACATAAGCAGCTCCTATAAAAGGATTTCCCACTGACTTAAATATTGAAGTTAGTCCCACGCAAGTGAACAAGAAGTGCTGTCACATTGATTTATAGAAATTATGGTAGATATCACATTCTCTGCAGAGCATACTGTATAATATACTCACAAGCCGATGCTCTAGTTGTTTGATTGTTTCATCCTTTTTCTTTAAATCTTCTTTAAGCTGTGTGATCTCATTCAGCAAATCATCAGTCTGGCAAACAAAAAGCGGAGATCTTAATGTTTTCCATGAAGTAGATAAATATAATTCTTATCTGTCCGGGAGGTCGGGGAAGAGAGAAAGTAAAATCTTTTTCTAGGAGCAAATTGCTTTTTAAAGTTTAGGCTCTGCATTATTTTCATTACTAAATGTTGAGAACGAAAACAAAAAACAAAACAAAACTGCAAATATTGGCCATATTCTGGTATCATAGTTAACAGTGGCGTAGAATGGGGGGCTGAGGGGGGCCATCACCCCAGGCAGTTTTTTGGGGGGTGCGTCACGGTGCTCTGCCGCATGGTGAGCTGTTGTGTCCTCAGCTGCCCTCCAGCTGTAGAGTGCAGTGAGAAGGATTCAACAGCATATGACACCCTCCCTGTGAGCCCACTGCCACTCGCAAAAGCAGCACTGGGCTTGCAGGGGCCAGGGTGATGCCTGTTGCTTTGCAACAGCTTGTGGTGCCCCATAAGTGTGCCCCGCTTTACAGCAGTGGGCAGGGGTCGCTCTGGCAACATACCCCACCCCACAGCATGTCCTGAACGTACCCTGGTGTATGCATGCCCTGGACACAGGCGGTGAATGCTCCACCACTGGTAGTTATGCTATGGTTTGAAAGTTCTGGAGAATTAAATGGACAACTAACTATAGCTTACTTGGGGGCAACAGACCACTGGGTGATATCAAACTACATCAAACCTACTGAAATAAATAGACTTAATCTGATTTCCCTGAATCTACTCCAACATTATGTCTGAAGTTAAGATCCTCCCTTAAGTTTGGTTTGTTTGCAATCCTGCCCAAGCCTCTTACCAAATACATGTGGCAACAGCAGCTGGAAAACAAAACCTGCTCCCTAGGCCAAGTGTTTCTTAGTGGTGCTTTTCCTGAAACTGTCTTCTCTCCTCATTCTGCCTAGCAACATGGTTCTTTGCTTGCCCAGTTTTTCCACCACAATTCTTATCTCTCAAAATAGTCTGCAGAGTTTGCAGCTGCTTTGCAAAGAAAGAAAAAATTAAAGGAACTCCTCTCCTTGTCATACCTACTAAGGGTAAACAAGATAATTCTATAAATAAATAAATAGTGCTGACCTACACACTTGATGCTTTTTCATTAGCTCCTTCATTCAAAAGGGTCAACTCTGAAATAAGCACAGTTGGTTTACCTTATAAACTGGTTCAGGCTCCTGCAGTTCTGGGCTTGAAGGAAGTGAAAATGTGATGTTGTGGAGTGACACATTTTCATCATTCTGCAAGAAGAGAAAGGTTTCCATTTATTTGAGCACCTAAATCCTATAGTATTTGAATGATAAATACTACTAATTCCTGGATTATTCCTGACATTTTTAACTGACCTTGGGAGATCTGGTAGTTTCCAATGGTTCCATCTTATCAGAGTTTTATTTCAAACACAGATTTCCAAAACTAGATAGTGAGATCTGCTAATAAATTGTATGCACTGATTTTACTTTTCATTTTAGTTTCTCAGCACTAAGAATCTATCAGGTTCCTGAAATTGTCAAACGATTTCTGGTATCCATCTTCAAAGAAACTTTCCCCCCTAGCAGTATTCAACATGTTAAATACTAGCTTTATTATGAAATTGGTTTGAGAGAGAGAGAGAGAGAGAGAGAGAGATATGAAAGAAAGTGTTTCTTAATGCCTAGACCACACAACGATTTATTCAAGAATTATAAGGGTTGGAACTTAATTTGTTACTTCTAGTTTGTTTGCTGAATAATTATAAAAAGGTCACATAGCTATGGGGTGTTATACCATTCCACTTCACCAAAACTTTTTTGGTTCAGGGATTTACAGGAATCTTGCATCCTAGAAGGCTACTGAACTACCTAAAAGTGACGCTTGCATTTAAACTATTTCCTATGTGTAACCAGGCACTTTGGTTATATTAGTGCAACAGATTCGGTAAGATTGAGATTGTAAATTTGGGTTTCTCCATTCAAAACATTTCCACAAGTGATGTTCACTTCATGAAGTATTCTACTGTACACTATTTACAGTGCACCAATTGGTATAAAAAAACAATAAAAATGAATGTTTAAAAAAAGGTGTTTGGGGATATCTGCACCTTCTACTCGGCTTGCTAGTTTTCTATATACAAGACGACATTCAATCATGTAAGCATCCCCCACCTGCAGTTTGAAGTCATATAGTCCAGAGGCAGGATTAAGGCCTAGTTCTCACTGGAATGCAACAGCAAACTGAATATCACTATTTCCAGCCAGGATCCACACATAATAGGTTGTTACACTATATCCCTAGCTTGATAGGACACATACAGTGTAGCACCTTTGTGCATGCAAAAAAGACCAGATTACATATGGTTACTTTTTTAAAAAAGCCCCCCTTGAAATATTCCAAGTATTTGAAAACAACCTTTTTTCCCAATTTTACTTTCCGTCTACATGGCATATATTGAATTCTTCTTATACTTCCCAGACTAGCTGAAAGATACATAATCACCATAGACTACTTAGTTGTTTTTAAGAACTAAGAATGTTGGGCTTCTTCTGTTCAAAGGGACCTCATCATTAGTGACATCATAACTGTAATAAGCGAACTTCCTCTACTAAGCCAGCACTGTACTGATATGTTAGAAAATGGAAGATTTCAATTAATCATACATTTTACCAATGTAATAATAATAATAATAATAATAATAATAATAATTTATTATTTATACCCCGCCCATCTGGCTGGGCCTCCCCAGCCACTCTGGGCGGCTTCCATAGAAACCAAAAATACAGTAAAATATCACACGTTAAAAACTTCCCTGAACAGGGCTGCCTTAAGATGTCTTCTGAATGTCAGGTAGTTGTTTATCGCTTTGACATCTGCTGGAAGGGCGTTCCACAGGGCGGGCGCCACTACCGAGAAGGCCCTCTGCCTGGTTCCCTGTAGCTTTGCTTCTCGCAATGAGGGAACCGCCAGAAGGCCCTCGGCGCTGGACCTCAGCGTCCGGGCATAACGATGGGGGTGGAGACGCTCCTTCAGGTATACTGGACCGAGGCCGTTTAGGGCTTTAAAGGTCAGCACCAACACTTTGAATTGTGCTCGGAAACGTACTGGGAGCCAATGTAGGTCTTTCAAGACCGGTGTTATATGGTCTCAGCGGCCGCCCCCAGTCACCAGTCTAGCTGCCGCATTCTGGATTAGTTGTAGTTTCCGAGTCACCTTCAAAGGTAGCCCCACGTAGAGTCCATTGCAGTAGTCCAAGCTGGAGATAACCAGAGCATGCACCACTCTGGCGAGAAAGTCCGCAGGCAGATAGGGTCTCAGCCTACGTACCAGATGGAGCTGGTAAACAGCTGCCCTGGACAGAGATTTGACCTGTGCCTCCATGGACAGCTGTGAGTCCAAAATGATTGCCAGGCTGCGCACCTGGTCCTTCAGGGGCACAGTTACCCCATTCAGGACCAGAGAATCCTCCACACCTGCCCGCCTCCTGTCCCCCAAAAACAGTACTTCTGTCTTGTCAGGATTCAACCTCAATCTGTTAGCCGCCATCCATCCTCCAACCGCCTCCAGACACTCACACAGGACCTTCACCGCCTTCACTGGTTCTGATTTAAAAGAGAGGTAGAGCTGGGTATCATCCGCATACTGATGAACACCCAGCCCAAACCTCCTGATGATCTCTCCCAGCGGCTGCATGTAAATGTTGAAAAGCATGGGGGAGAGGACAGAACCCTGAGGCACCCCACAAGTGAGAGCCCAGGGGCCTGAACACTCATCCCCCACCACCACTTTCTGAACACGGCCCAGGAGGAAGGAGCGGAACCACTGTATGACAGTGCCCCCAGCTCCCAGCCCCTCAAGACGGTCCAGAAGGATGTTATGGTCGATGGTATCAAACGCCGCTGAGAGATCCAGCAGAACTAGGAAACAGCTCTCACCTTTGTCCCTAGCCCGCCGGAGATCATCAACCAGTGCGACCAATGCAGTTTCAGTCCCATGATGAGGCCTGAATCCCGACTGGAAGGGATCCAAATGGTCCGCTTCTTCCAGGCGTGCCTGGAGTTGTTCAGCAACCGCTCGCTCAATCACCTTGCCCAAGAATGGAAGATTTGAGACTGGGCGATAGTTGGCCATCGTGGCCGCATCTAAAGATGGTTTTTTAAGAAGCGGTTTAATAACCGCCTCTTTCAGCGGGTCTGGGAAGGCTCCCTCATGGAGGGAAGCATTCACCACCCCACGAAGCCCATCGCCCAGTCCTTCCCGGCTAGCTTTTATAAGCCAGGATGGGCAAGGATCCAGGAGACAGGTGGTTGGTTTCACTCATCCAAGCAGCCTGTCCACATCCTCGGAGGTAACAGATTGGAATTGATCCCACTCAACTCAATGTACCATAATTTGTACTAGTAGCACACATTAGACTTGGGGGCACAATGATGTGATGTTTTATTTCACTTTCCCCAAGAAAAAGCAGTTTGAGGAGCAGGTACTGAAATCTGTTCCCTCATTACATAGTGCTCTTAGACACAGCTGTAACTGAGAGGGAAAGATGCGCAGGAGGAAGCCTTCAAAATGCTGTGCCTTATATTTTTGTTCCGGCAGGTTTTCCCAGCTGGATAAATGGGTCTTTATCATGAGTGTCCATCTGTTGGGGTTTTAGTATTGTTTTAAATGTATCTGTTGTTTTTGTGTTTTTAATTATCTTACATGTAAATGGCCTTGAGACAGTGGTTTACCAGGTGAGTAACAGATCAACTGTAATAATAATAAAATAGCAGAGTGGGAGTTAAGAGCAGGGCTTTACATACACAAGCACCCTGGAAGCACAGTTCCTAAAGGAAGGAGCGTTCTGCCTTTCCATCCAGGCTGCTCTGTAGCTAACAGCAGTACTCTACTTGCCAGAGGACCTGACTAGAGGGAGGGCAGCTAGAGTGTCCATTACTGGGTAGGGTTTCTTGAAGCTGAAGTCCTTTCGTACTTAGAAAAGTCAGGTATGTTATTCACAGGTACAAAAATAGAAAGGCTGAGCCAAGACAGTTATGGGCAGGAAAAAGGGATGACGTTTACGGTTATTGTTTTCTCAAAGTAACTTCAGAAGCAGGCCTCCCTCTCTCCAACGAGGCTTAGACTAGTTATTTGCAAATCCAGTCCAGAACAATTAGGTTAACACTCAATTTAACTTACACATTTTCAGTTCTTTGACTAAAGCTTTGTATGATCCGATCAATAAATCTATGTATGCAAGTCTCTCTAACAATCACACCTTTTTCTTTTTTGAATTATTATGCAGAAGAAAAACAATCCATACACATGTGAATTAACACCATAGAAATATGAGCACTACAAATCTGGTTGAGAAGTGTTAGAACATTCACAACCATTATTTCATCTAAAGCAAGTGTAGGGAACCCTTGGCCCTCCAGATGTTGAACTATAACTCCCATCCCATCAGCTCCAGAAAACATAGGCAATAGCCAGGGATGATGAGGGTCACAGTTCAGCAACATCTGGAAGCCCGAAGGTTCCAGTTCCTCACATCTAATCTAACCCCCTGTACACAGGTTTATTTCCTCCCCATGACAGAACCACATCACACATTTGGCAAAACATGTACTTCTGCTCCCCCTTGCATGAAGGGGAACTTATGAAGTGACCTTCAGTGACATAGGGCATTCTAAAAGATTTTGCTTCACTTCTATGGGTTTGAGCACAAACAGTGTTCGAAACTCCAATTGTTCTAGGCTCATTGGCAACAGGGAATTTCATTAGCACAAGCAGTTTCTGAGCACTGGGCACAGTACTGCGCTTAAGATTTCAGGTTAAAACTGCAGAGTAGAAGAAAAGGAGGATCTTTTCTGCCTCCCCACTTCCAGCTACTCTCTGAAGACTGGAAATGAGACCCTCTTAAGAATTGTAGAGGGGTGGGCAGGGGAAGGACTAGACTATGTGAAAAATGAACGTATTGTTTTAGCTGCATTTTCAGCTATGTATTCTTGTTATAAAAAAAGTGTGCGTAGACATTCCGTTGTTGTGCCCATAACCTAGGTTTAAGGTGCCATTTAGCTCCTAGCTTTCATATTTCAGTTTCTAACACTGATTACAAATCAAGCAATTTAATTCAAATGAAATACGATTGCTTGCTATTTTTTAAAAAAACAACACCAAGCCACCCTAGTGTTTTACTTGATAATAAAGACTAGAATCAAAGGAGGGTTAGGTCAGCTGGTATAGTGGCATGTATGTACACACACACACTTATTAGCATCAAGTACCGTAACACAAACTAGTGACAAGTGTCCCTTCAATTCCCATGTTGTTAAAAACGTGCTAACCTGATTAAATATTCTTTTCAATTTTAATAACTGAGTTTTCACAGATGTGCAGTCTTGAACCATATGCCGAAGGGTCATTTCATCCAGCATCACAGTGTTTGCCGGCAAACTTCTCAGAGGTGGGTACAAGCTTGGTGCTCCATATCCTTCAAGGTGGCCAACAGGAGGAGAGTCAAAATAGTTGCAGCTCCTGAAACGTGTTTTAGAAATGTTTCAATAGACAATCTTATTATGTACTTCAGTAAGAGACACATTCTGAAATCTTTAATACCAATCAAATATTACTACAGCTATCACTCCATCCTTAAATCAATCAATTATGCATAGGGCTCAAATAGTCTTGAAGAAAAAAGGATACCTTTGTTTTTCGACAGCACATGTACAGTATATGCAAGAAAAAGTAGCCTTTTCTACAATATAAACTGTAGACTACAAGCACTAAGTACTTTCAGTCAGCTTTAACCAAATGATTTCTGTTATCTCCTTAAACACCCTTTGCCAAAGAAGTTGTACATATTTACATCCCCACCACATGTGAACATAATCCTGTTTCCTTGCATCCCCTCCAACATAACACCGAATAATCCTTGTTTATTTGATTAAATCTGACTGGTGTTAAATTCAATACCATCTCCAAACTAATTTATAATAATTTTCTTTTATTACATATAGTTTTAACAAAAAAAAAAGAGTGAAAAGTAAGGGCCTTACCTGTTCAGATCATTTCTACTATGGGAACAATGGTCAGTATGACCAAGATGATAATGGTCTTGGGCATTCCATCGTTGTGGTGTCCTCTTCCACAACCCCTCCTTCTGCTGTCGAATATTTCTTTCTGGCCGCTCATAACGATTCATATTTTCACAATCCACTACATAGATAATAGAAACTATTTCAATATTCATCTAAATGGAAATATGATCACCCAGAAATGCAAAGTGGCTGCCAGATAGAACTCATTACTGATTTACAATGATGTACAGAAATAAGTACAGGAACTGATGTACAACAAATTTGTGTTATCAACTGCTACTGCTGCTAACTTGGTGCTTTTAATTATTTGTATAAAACTGTGATGAGGCTTTAATTACTGTTGTTCATCAGTTCAACAGCAAAAGGCAGGATACATATGTTTTAAATAACTGCATCCACAAGGTCACATTACTACTTCAGTTAAGAAACTTATTGCTTCAATCACAAAGGACAAGAAGTAATCAAAACTTAAAACTGGTGCCGACAGAATTCAGTAGTATTTTCTGTTGTAATGAGAAATTCCCTTGCCATCAGAATCCTAAGATTTAAGAGCAACCTTTAAAAGCAACAGAAACAGCATTTCATTTTATGGCAAGATAGATATATGAATATTTAAACAGAAAGCTTTTTTAAATACAAAAAAGTTTTAACATATACATTCTATCACATATAATGAAAATGAGATTTCAGAGATCTCTCAGTTTGCACGAGCAACAACAACAACAACAGATTAGTCAGTGAAAGCTACGACTGGCAGCTACTTACAAGCTATTAAAAGCCAAGTAAAAAATAATAATGGAAAATACTGCCAGGAAGGAAAAGTTTCAAGAAACCCTTAAGTCTTTTTACTTACCCAGACACTTTCTCTTCACATTGTCAGGCCTCGGCTACGAGAAGCTTTTCATAAAACTGAGCAGTCTTATTCTACTGCCTACTCAGACATAGTTTTGCATAAGACCGTGGTAAACAGGCCTTCCTTCCTGCTCATTCCCTGCTTGCGTATTGTTGGGAAATGAGCCCAATTTGACCCTGTGATTTAGAACTACCGCCTTGCTCACTGAGAACATACTTGCTGCACTAGAACGGCTGCTATAAATAGAGTGCAAGTTCCCTCACAGACTCCAAAATGTAACAAGTAAAATACAGCCCTATGAACTATTCTAACAAACTTATTTAATAAACTTTTTATGAGGAATCTAACAAGTATAAAGTAAGGTGCATTAAAACATTCAGCACAATCATATATTAAAAGCTATTCTTCAACAGATATTAGAACTCCGTCTACATGTAACAGCTTTCACAACTTAATCCTAAGACAGCCAAAAGTATTTGTATAAAATACTTTTACACTCTGGCTGGGCTTTTACACAAAAAAAGTATGTGATTATTTAAAAATCTCTCATACAGAATGCAATACAAAACACATCAAGAATTCTCCTTAAAAGTACTTTGAAAGCTGAAAGCCATGACACAAAGTAAAATTAGTGCTCATAAACTGTTTGAAAAAGGTTTTAAGGAAATGCTGTTTTCAGAATAGGATGCTTTAGAAGCTGTATTACAGTAGTAGGAGCAGCAATTTCCCCTGAATAAAGACATGAAGCTGAACACAGGGCTCAGTGTTGCTGATGGTACCTCTGTGGATGTTTCCCAAGTTCAGGAAATGACAGTCATAGTTGGCAAGGAAAGAGAGATGGGCAACCAAAGTAACCAGGGTAAGGGAAGTTGCAATAAAGCATTTAAACATATTCAAATTATTTCACTAACCATTATCACAGGGTGCGTCTTCAGGTAAGTCAACATCGAGCATAAGATCATCATCTTCAAGATCGCATGAATCAAGATTATTCAAAATATCCTACAAGAAAATAAAAAATACCTGCTACAAGATGTGCACATTTGTGTCTGTCTCTCCAGTTTAAACTATGTGCCTTTTGAAATAAACATTTCATTGACTCTCCAACTGTCTCACACATCAGAACACCAAAGTGAAATTACCATGCTCCAAGCCAAGGTGTGTCATCTTTTCAAGCTCCTGGAAGTACCAGGAGAACTAGCTTCCCTTCCCTTTCTTATAATGCACTAGTTTTATGGTGCTGAATCTTCCACATAAAAAATAGACAGGCTTAGAAACCAAAGCTAGAAAGGTATTAGACCTGCCTGCCTGAACAACTGCAATGTTAGTCATGCAGAGGGACAGAAGAATCATTCCAATGGCTACAGCAGATTCATCTACAGATGTAAATTGCCAGATGCAGAGGGTAGGGGAAACTTCAGGGATAGCTAGGCCAGCTAGAACTGAGCAATCCCACAGGCCCCTTTAATAGGTGGGTGCAGCTCTCCACCTGTCAGTCACCTGCCATCACCAGGCTGCGAAGGAAGATCTATACCGAAAGTGGGGCTTGCAAGGATCAGTTGCCCTCAGGAGCTCCTGGTCAGAAACTGCCTACTGCAGTTGATCCTAGGGAGAGGGGGATTGCTGTCAGTGCCAATCTGTACTTTAAGGCATCCAACTGTTCCTTTGTAGCCAAGTCTTTACCTGCCTCACATTTGACATGATAGCAGATGTGGGGCAGGTGGGCATCACTTAGGGAAGAGAACCTTGTGGACAAAATTAGGATCCCTACAAGGTGGAGGTTCCCCCTGCCTGCTCTATATAATTTAGTTTTGAAAGTGATTTTTAAATATAGATAGTTACTGAGTAAACTTATAATTTTATCAATCTTAATAAGTCTATTACGTTAGAAAAATATTAGCTGAAAATTACTCTGTCGTTAAAAACAGCACAAATATATCTGTCAAAAGAAACTGAGAGTCCCTGTATCTCAGTAAATACCTTGCAGTAAAAAAAAACAACCCTAACTTAATTCTGATATTTAGCTGCCTCATCTCATTAAAATTAAGAAATTGAAACAACATGGGAAACAAAATGATAGAGAACAATATAAACTTAGACACATCTGGGCAAAGCTCACTGGCCATGCCATAGTGTCAAGCTTAGTGATATCCTGCACTCAAATAAATGAAGGATTGGCAGACAAGGTTTTGTTCTCCCCATTGCCTTACAACCATTACTGAAACAAGTCAGAAAGTTACAGAAAAGTAAGGCTTGACTAGCAATCCCAACAGTGATATTCTCTCTTTCTCAAAAAGGAGGGGGGCAACTGATATATAGAATTTTATGTTGTTATGTTTTGAGCTATCAGACTTAGAACATCACACAACTTAACTCCTACCCAGGTAACACAATTAACACAATGTAATAGCATTCATACCTTTAAGAATGAAAAAAGGAAGATGATTAAGTGTAAAAATGCTCCACAACTTAGGCTTACTATTGCAGCTACCATAGAAACCATGTGGTAAGTCAGGGAGTCCTTCTAACCTTAATCAACTAGCTGTCCAATCAGGAAGCAGCAACCACTGACACTGCCTTAACATCTCCAGTCTCCCTGAAGCCAACTAAACAATCACATAGGTCAGTATGCCTGTTGTCATGGTGACAAAGAAGTGCTACTATTAGCATTTGAAGGCACCACCCCTCCATCATCTTATTGACTCAGGCAAGCAAGCAAAAAAAAAAAATCAAAACAAAAACATCCATGAAGTATTTGCTGAAGTAAATATTAAAGAATAATTTATTTGGACAAAAAAAATGTCTCTTCCAATTTAACAAATTTAATTCATTTAGATGCAAACACCAAAAAATAGGGAGATTTAGCACACATTTGCTCTCCATGGTAGCTACGCATGTGCCAGATATTAGGTGTAAGATAGCTAGCCTATACAAATGTGAAGGCAATAACTAAGCACAATAATAATTCATCTGTAATAACAAGCATTCATATTGCTTGTAATGGTGTTATCAAAAATATTAGTACATGCTCCTTTTTAAAACAAATTAAAAGAACTCATTAGATTTCTATCCTCTGCACTAGAATGTGATTCCACTTCTTCAAGAAACTTTTTACTCTCCCCACCCATCCTACAAGAATGAGTGCAGGAAGTTCAAAAAAAATTCTACATGTTTAGAACATACGGATAAAATGGTATGTCACTAGCACACATGGAATTAAAATTAAAGGCATGCTTTTACAAAGCTTCCCTGGTTATTTTCAAAAACACTTGTGAAGGAGAACTTTCCACTGGTTTCTGCCCACAGAATGTGTACTGAAACCTCAACCTCCATCTCTACGTGTTTATACTAGTTCTGCATGGAGTGTGTGAACTGGGATGGTTTCTATCAATATGGTTACTTTTCACTAGCTTGTAAGATTTAAACATGTAGGTCAGTGCCAACTGCAGCAGTATTACTCATTCCTAGGGTTCTCATCTACTTTGATTCCTCCCACATTTCTCTTTATAGGCTCATATTTGCTCAGCGTGGCAGGGCGTGCCTTCTACAACTCTCTATTTTATTTTGTTGCCAAAGGCAACCACCAAGCTTTGGTAAGTTTGGAAACAAAACACAGACAAGTGTCTTACTGGTAAAGAAGTTTTGGTTTTGAACAGCAACAAACCAACACCATTACTCTGAAAAAATCTGGAAAGCAGTCCCACATTCAAAATGAAAATATAGATAATCTAAAAGATTAAACAACGTTCGTTAGCATCTCTGAAGGTTTCGGAGTAATATAATCAAGCTCCTTAAAACCAAATCCGAGAATGAATGCATACATACCATATACTAGAGGAGATTAAAAAAAAAGAAAAATGAGGACAGCCATCCTGTGTATAACGTCTATGAGAAGAATGGAAAACAACACTTACAATGCTGTCTTTGTTTTACGTATTATAATATCTAAGGCCCAGGTTTAATGAACAGACTGAGATGACAAACATGCTCATAGATTATCATAAAAAAGCATTAGCATTACTGACTTAAAATGCACATTTACTACCACTACTAAGGGATATACTTAGTTCATAGCACACCCATTTCCTGAAATGCACAAAAATATACCAGGAATACAACTACAGTTTGATAACATCCTGTAAGGCAGGGACAGGCAGACTTTAGATCTTGCTTGGCATTTTCTTTAAAAACAACAATAGACTAGAATTACCATGGTTCAAAGATACATCTTATATTATGAAACAAAAGACCACAAGTATGCCCTCCCAACAGTTAAGGCATAACTAATCTGTGTTATGTGGTACTGAGTGTGTACCATTTCATTGCTGGTGGGTAAAATCAATACCTACATAGTCCAGCATTCTTTGGAAAATCCCAGCTGCTAGTAGGTGTTAGGACCTGTTAGGTGGTCAACCAGAAATTGCACAACAGTCTACCAGCGACACAAAATATACTCTCTGCTCCCCCAGCAGCAACCCTAACCCCCAAATACTTAATTTAATACTTGTCTCTTCAAACAACATTCAGGAAACCTATAGCACATACGTATATACACACACACTAGATACATAAGGTGGAGTTCAATATAGTGGACTCAGCTAGACTGGTAAAGAAAAAGCAATTTATATGTGTTGCATATGTGATACAACATGGTGCCACCAGATGGCAATGTAGTGTCCCATTTTTCTCTACCTGTTTTCCCTGTTCAAATTTACAATGCTTTAAACTGAAATACTTCTTTGATGTGTCTAGATCCAGACAGTGTTAAGGGGGGTATGTAAGAGCAAAATGAAGTCTGCTTCTACAACAGGACTTCCTTTCCACCCCTTGTGTAACCCCACACCACCTAAATGGGGGGGGGGGGAGGGCAGAAGAGTTTTAGGGAGTGTAAGGAGCACACAGGGAGAGGGGAGAAAGTCCCATTGCATTAGCAAACCTTGCTCCACCTATTCAAAACCTTAGCTGAATTGAACCCAGAAAGCTGGGAACAGAAACATGAACATGATCTAGTTTAGGACATCAGCAAAACCAAAACTTGCTTCACAGCAAGATCACAGAAAGGAAATATTAAATTTTAAGTTCCTTTGAGCTGCATTTTAAAAAATATTAATACTACCAATACATTTGCTTATGCAAAGTCTAGCAGCTTATTACAAAACACTTAATAATCTGCTAATATAGAAGTATTAAAATTTGCATTATGGGAAGTATTCTCTACTTCTAAATTAAATGGAAAACAAAGGTACTGAAAATGCAAATTTGTTATATACAATGGGAGCAAAATATGCAGAGCAAATATTTAAATATGTAAATTCACAAAGTCAAGCAAAGAACACATAGTAAATTTACATGATTAAATTTCATGGTATGAAAAGCAAAACTAAATTAGTGAAGTCCTTTCAGTGGGCTGGCAGGGCAGAACTGTTTTAAATAAATAAAATAAAATAAAATAAAATAAAATAAAGACCTTTAAAATAGTGCAATAGCAGCAAAGAGTTACTATCACCAGATATAAAATATAGGCAGGGTCATTTAAGTGGAACTAACACCATACTAATGATACTTTGTACCTGGTAAGTTTTTCAATATTTTACTCATTGGAAAGCTATGGCAAGCATGCTAACTGCTGTGCAAATAATTAGATATGTATAGCATAGACACTTTCACTATGGCAAATGAAAGTAGATACATTCACAGCTGCAGATATTTGCATTTAATACTGTATTTTTATATTCAATTACATAAAGAATAAAGGAGGCACCATGGAAGCTGTCCACCTGACATGATTCGAAGGTTGTTTAAACCATCAGCTTATGCTCTTATACTGCCATCTAGCCTCCATTCATGAAGTTACCAAGAAGTGCACTAGATATTCAGCACCACAGAGAATTCAACCGACTTTACAGAGAGAGTTAGATTATATGTTTATTTTTAAGGGATTCTTCAAATGGAGAGAGATACTATCTCATAAAATGACTAATGTACTCTAAAACAGCTACCAACATTACAAAATTTGCACAATATCCTTGTTGACAAGCTGGTAAAATATGGGTTAGATGATACAAGTCTTGGGTAGATCCACAGCTGGTTGAACAACTGTACCCAGTGGGTGCTCATTAATGACTTTATCAAGCTCAAGGAAGGCTTTCATCGGAATGGCATAGGGCTCTGCCTTAGGCACTATGCTGTTCAACATTTTTACAAATGACTTGGTCAAAGTAGAGGGGAAGCTTATCAAATACGCAGCTTGCATTTATCTTGGTTGGAACAATGGACCCAAACCAACATGATAAAAATTCAGCAGAGATAAAAATAAAATCCTGCATTTAGGTACCAAGAATCAAATACACAAATATAGGAAGGGAATAAACCTAGCTTTACAGCAGTACTTTGAAAATATTTGTCTAAATTAGTCACAAGATAAAGCTGAACTAGCAGTTCAAAGAGGTTAGTAAAATCCTAAATGCAATCTCCGGCAGCATTGACAGAAACACACACTATTCGCTGCTAAGCAGACCAGATCTGAAGTACTATGCTCAGCTCTGGACACTGCCTTTTAAGTAGGACACTGACAATCTGCAGCATGTCCAGAGGAAGGTGACCAGGATGGTGAAGAATCTAGAAACAAAATCACATGAGGAACAGCTGGATATGTTTAGCTGGAGAGAAACAGGATGGTGATATTGTCATGCAGAAGGCAGAGCTGGCTAGCTCTCTGTTACTCTCTAGGACAAGACTAGAACTAAGATGTGGAAATGGAAACCAGGTTTCAGCTAAATAATGTAAAAAGAGCCTTGCTTGATCAGGTGGAAGGCCCACCTAGTCCAGCATCTCGTTCTCCTAGTGGCCAACCTGTTGCCTTTGGGGAGGTGGCAAGCAGCACCAGAGTGTAAACAGGACCATTAGAGAAACTTCCTAACAGTAAGAGCTGTTTGACAATGTAAGAGCTACCTCAGGAGGGGGTGGGCTCTACTTTAATGAAGATATTTAAGCAAAGGCTGGACAACCGTCTATCAGGGGTGCAATAGCTGTATTGAAGATCCTGCACGGGGCAAGAGGTTGGACTAAATGAACTCCATGATCCGTTCCAAATCTATGATTAAATGCCTGCATTTTTTCATGCAGTTTAACACATTTTGATTACAGATATTTACAAGCATCAGACAACTAAGCACAGCTTCAGGTAACATTACATAGGCTATTGCTTCTTACATGAAACTTCCAACTCAAACTGTAACCCCTTCCAAACCCATTTATATTTCATACTATGAACAAGAGTCAGTGATTGTGGTTTTACTACAAAAATCTACAGGTTTCACAAAAAGAAAAAGATACACTCTTGAAGGAGATAAATACTTAAGCAATAGATTTATTCTCTTTGATCTCTACAAGAGGGAGTTTCAGCTGAACAAGAGCTCTAGGAATTTTACTCAGCCTTACAGAAATGTAGTTGTGGTTAGCCAAATAAAGACCTCCAGTTGCCTGGGAAACCAAACTAATCTTGCTAGACTTGAGAATTTCAATACATACTTTCAAAGTGAAATATATTTTAGGCATAATGACTATCAAACAAATCTTGAAGGTACATTTATCTGAATTTCTCTCCTGCCTGATCTTCAGAGTTCAGAGCAGGTTACACATATATTTATAGTGCTAAAAATATAAAGATGATTTCAGATTTCTTTAAGTAAAGCAGCAGCAGGAGCAAGACAGACTGGGAGACAGTTAGACTCTTAGAAAAGAAAAAGTGAAAGCACTGCTAAAAGAAGGACAGGGGGCTTATAGAGAAAATTAATTTCTTTCTGTCTGTCTTCAAGTACAGAATATTTTCCCCCTACATCATTATATTTGAAAGATCTTTATCCAGAATTTGTCCCTCTGAAAAAATCAAAAGAATTCATACAGGCAACGCATCTAGCAGTCTTTATAAGTAATCTAAATCAGAGTTTAACAATGTGGCTTAGTGAAATGAATTACTGTATTTTTCGCCCCATGGGGCGCACCGGCCCATAGGGCGCACCTAGTTTGGGGGGGGGAGAATAAAGAAAAAAAATTATTTCCCCCCCAGGCACGGGGCTGGGGCGGGGGAAGCCCGAGCTTCCCCCAACCCCAGCCCCCAGAACAGGCTGCTATCCGCAAGCCTGGGGAGACCAGCGGGAAGTCGTGCCGGTCTCCCCAGGCTTGCGGATAGCTTCCTGAAGCCTGGAGAGCGAGAGGAGTCTGTGCGCACCGACCCCTCTCGCTCTCCAGGCTTCAGCGAAAGCCTGCATTCACCTCATAGGACGCACACACATTTCCCCTTCATTTTTGGAGGGGGAAAAGTGCATCCTATAGGGCGAAAAATACGGTATATTAATGTTGCAAGATACTTTTCACTTTTCACCAGGTATCATCATTGCCAGTTTTGTTTTAAATATTTTCTTTGATGAATAGTCAAAGGCAGCTAGAACACAGCCCATCTGCAACTTCAAGCAGATCATTCAATTGCAGCTAGTAGCTCTCCTGTGGTAAGAGGAAACAAGCACTGCCTTATGCAGCAGCTGTAACCACAGAATGCAAGGAGATAACCACTAAAAAGCAAATGCAGGAAGCAATTGGAAGTTGTGAAATTTTTCACAGCAGGATCTCAGAACCCTGCTTTAGAAGAGCTATTGTTGCATTTACTTTTTCACTAAATTACAATTCTCAACCTAGGCAATCCAAATTCAGCACCCTATGTAAGTTATCCAAAATGAACAAAAGCACATTTTCTGGATTATGTAAAGCCATTCTGCTCTCCAGACTATGAAGCCCACCTCCAGGCATGGGAAATTTTAGCATTTCTTCAGCTTCTGAAATATCAGCTGGCATTGCCCACACATATTTCAGCATATCCTTGCAGCAATAAGGGCTATTTAAAAAGTTTATTCTCCCTCAATTCTAAACCCAATACCAGATTCTACCTATCCCAACAACAGAAGCAACTGCTACTGTGGCAAGTGTTTCTTAATGGAAATAATTCTACAATACCTGTTCTGACCAAAAGCTTTTATTTCTGTTTCATGTTCACATAAGTGAGGACACTAGTTGAAGAGTTTGTTAAATGCAGACAACCATTCATGAAAATACAAAATATTCTCTGCATCATATATTACTTTGCTACATTTATGAGCACATACTTCAGGTGACTAAACTACCTTGAGGCCTACCAGGGAAAAAGATGGGGTATAAATATATAGTAATAATAATGAAAACCTGCAGCTCTGATTTCAACTATTTCCAATCTACAATTCCAGATTTTAAATTAACATGCTACTGTTCAATTGGTTATGACTTTAAAAACTGAATTCCAGCAAAATTGCATGTAGTTAAAACATTGGGTTCAATGGAGGGTGGGATTACCAAAGTCATTTTTCCAGGAACCCCAACCATCCTTTTTTAAAAAAATTGTCTCACCCATAAATCTGAATGCACATTTGTTAAAAGCACACAAGTTGCAGGCTTACTGTATCAAATTGCAAGCAAGAACTTGTTTCTACATCATTTCACGATTTAAAGCAGATAGTCAGAAGAAAGAGAAAAAAGTCACTGTCCTCAAATATAATTGTGATTTTGGAATTGTGATAAATGTGATATTGGAAGACTTGGCGTTTGAGCATAATACAAAATATTGCAATGGTCTCATTTCACCTGCATCAGAAGTGTGTTGCCTATTTACAAAGGATGCCATACTCCCTTTAAGTTAAACTCTATTTAAATAAACACAAGCATTTTACCCCTTGTGTCACTGGGAGACTAAACAAGCCAAAGCTTGGTTCATCATGTGCAAACCCAAACGAAGAACAGAAACCAAGATCTATCAAATCAGCACAAGCTCAGGTTGCGCATAATGTCAAACTAGGAACAGGGGAGCAGCAAAGCATTCATCTTTGTTAAAGCAGTCTTGTTTTAAGACTATAATTTAAGGTTGCAGGTGAACTAGGCTATTGTGAGCCTTGCAGAAAGTTAACTGCTTTTGAATACTATCCCAATAATAATAAACAAGTTATACTTACTATACTATTCATTTCTGAAGAATCATAACTTCCACATGGATGGACACTTCCAATGGGCTCCAACCCTTCTTCATCCCACATATAGGTTCCATCGGAGCTATCAGATGGAGAAAGCTCAAAGGAAGAGCCAGCTCTGTAGTCCATGTCAGAGGAAATCACATTGCTCCCAGCAGGATGTTTTGCACTTTCACTCTTGTCATCTACTATTTAAATAAAAGCAAAAGCAAGAAGTTAACATTATACACAAACTCTCAAAATTTGCAATTTACATGCTGCATTACCTACATGCAGTTATCAAGAGTTGCCTCAGTTTCTCTCTCTGTAAAGGTAAAGGGACCCCTGACCATTAGGTCCAGTCGCGGGCAACTCTGGGGTTGCAGTGCTCATCTCGCTTTACTGGCCGAGGGAGCCAGCGTACAGCTTCCAGGTCATGTGGCCAGCATGACTAAGCCACTTCTGGCGAACCAGAGCAGCGCACAGAAATGCTGTTTACCTTCCCGCCGGAGCAGTACCTATTTATCTACTTGCACTTTGATGTGCTTTCGATCTGCTAGGTTGGCAGGAGCAGGGACCGAGCAACGGGAGCTCACCCCATTGTGGGGATTCGAACCGCCGGCCTTCTGATCAGCAAGCCCTAGGCTCTATGGTTTAGACCACAGCACCACCCACATGCCTTCTCTCTCTGTACTATTTCTGAAAAGTAAATATTGTAAAACAGGTTGGCCAGCAATGTTACAAACATATTCAAGAATGGCAAGCTCACAATACTTTGTAACTTAACTTAGCTACATAGTTCTTTCCTGTTGATATTATTAATAATTACTATTTTTATTTTCATTAACCTTCACCCCAATATTTCAGAATGGGTTACAACAATTAAAACACAGTATTAACATTGGATGCTGAGAAAGTGGACCTATTCATGAGCTCCAGTAAGAATTGGCAAAATACTGTTCTGTTGTTCAGAACCTCCTCTCAGACTAGATGGAACCTCATGTTGCAAACATTTTATATGTTCCATTGGAGTAAGCAGAAGTCAATTGTCTCCCCTTTTCAAATTTCAACCAAAGAGAAGAAACAGGACTCTGTCCTTGAATCTTGACCCTTGCTGTTGTTGGAATAAAGATACAGATTACCTCTTATATTCTGATAACAACTACAAGCATTCCATCTGTCAACACTTTCTAAGAAATTGTTCAATTTATAAAGCAAACATGCCCAAACCTACTGATATTAATTTATTTCTATGTGTACATGCTTAGGATCACAGCTCAACTCATAGTTTGACAGTGTTTTATAGTATAAACTATTTTTCTTTTGGTGCAAAACATGGCTAAGAGAACATGAGGCAAGACTTTAACTTTCTAAAATTAGCCCTTCCAGAACAAACATAACTGATAAAGGGTGGTATATAAATCAAATAAATAAATAATAATGATAGCTTGCCATAGTTTCTTCTGCCACAAATGTTAGACTGTCACACTTAAACCGCTTCTTATAAAAGTACTGAGTACTATGTCACAGTTTAAAGCACTAATAAACTCCATAGACGTCAGTAGGTACAAGTTAGGCATTTGCTTTTAACTTTTCCATCAAATTAAAGAGGACTTAAACTATGCTCAAATTTGGCTAGATCAAGCACATTATTTTAACATAGAATTTGCATCTGCACACTGTCCACTAGCATGATGGCACTAAGAATCCAGGAAGATGAACAGAAATCAATGGTAGAACAGCTTCATAGTTACCTTGTTTGAGGAGACGTACAAATTAGCTGCTTGGTGGTACTATTAGGACAATTAAAAATAGTTTTGTAATAGAGCCAAGTTTCTTAGTGTCACTGTATATAGAACTAGTTAATAATGTGTTTGTGGACAAAACACACTGGGTAAAACTTCCTCCAGAGCACCCAAGTCCAAGAAATAACTTGTTGTTTCCTCTAAAACTGGCTGTGCATGTATCCTATTCTTTAAACATACATAGAAAAACTAATAAAATTTTGAACAATCAATAAAACCTATTGGTAGACTTCTTCACATATTTGTTATTTATAATCTAACCAAAAAATTTAATGCATGCTATTAGGTGACAAAATAGTAGCGGCAATACTGTAAGAGCTTAGGTTCCCATTTTGAAAGAAAAAACATAACATATTTACCAGACACACGTATATTCAGCCATTCATCAGAATTACAGTTGGATCTTTCACTTTTCTTAAGAGACAAAATCTGATCTAGAGGTATTCCATTGCCGTGCTCCAGCTCTTGAACAGAAACCACTTCTTCTTGAATTGTTATTGGTCGGTTGGGATCTTCTAGATCTATGAAGTCATCACTAAAGTCTTCACTCAGATCATTTTTCTCAGAAGAGGACAAGGAAGATATAGATATTTCATCAACATCACCATCCATGCTAATAATTTTATCTACATTATTATGTACAGTTTCTCCATCTTCAGTTCTTTCACTGTTTTGCATTCCTTTTGCATCAACTCCTCCATTGCTATTTGTTGAGATCAAGTCCTCCTCTGTGCAGTTTTCGGTATCTTTACTTGTGCTGCCATCCACAGGGATCTTTCTCCCCAAATGTTGGTTGCTAGGCTTCAATAAAGATGGACGGGCTGTTCTAAATCTGAGAGAAGGTGCATCCCCAGAGCCATTGGATAGTGGTTGTTTTTTCAAACCAGGGGGAGCTAAAGCAGCATATGATCTAGAAAACCCATATCTTAATGGTTCATTGCCATTGGGCATATCCAACTGCCGTGCACTTCTTGACAATAGATTTGACCTCTGAGATGCTCTAATAGTTAAGTGTTGGTTTTGATAAGGCCTTGTAAGATCCACAGCTCTGTTAAAAGAGTGTGACCTAGTTAGGGTTGCAGGGGGCAAGATAGAGCTTTGAATGGAATGTGAAAAGCTTTGTGACCTAACCATTTTTTCACAAGATTTATCATTGTCAGTCAATTTTGCCAGACTCTCCCCTGAGCTGCTCCTGGTAGCAGTAGAATTACCTCTATTCCTCTGCAAGCCTATAGTTGAACGGTTCCCACAAATTCCATTCAAGTGTGATTTTGGAGCATGAAGTCCAGAAAATGAAGTTCTGCCTAACAAGGAACTTTTACTGTACTTAGCAGAAGTAGACAGCCCAGGCAAAGCCTTTTGGTTTAATTCTTCGGTAGGTGACACAAACATGCTGTTTTGCTTAGCTAGTTTTGACAAGGTGTTGCTTGAACCCACCCTGAGCACTTCTTTACCAACTGCTCCTTCAGACTGAGGGCACTTTTCAGAATCTGTCAGCCGTTCATTGGAATTATGACTAGAGTCAGATTCACTGCTGACCTGATCACCCAGTTGGTATTTATTTGATTTTCGCCAGTTAAAAGAGAAGGAAGACATACGAATAGTGCCATTGTGCTTGCCAAAACTTTTGTCAACGCTCCGAGTATTCCCTGATAAATTAACAGCTGTCCCATTTGGGATGGTCTGTAGCATATTTCCAGCAGGTTTTGTTCCATACTTTGGTAACCTGGAAACCAATGGTGTCCTGATATGACTTTTCTCTTCCATTAGCTATAGTCCTTCCATGAGATATTGTCCTTTAACATTACTTGAATCTAGAAAGAGAAGGAAAGAGAAAAAGATGAAAATGTTAACTGCACAACCTTGATTATAGAGTGTATACACAGTGTATTATATAAATCTGATCTGACATCCTTAAAGGAGCAACTATCTGTTTACTGAAACAACTCAAATACATTTACAATGAATAGAATCTTCTTACACAGGAACAAGTATTTCAGAAAGAGACCCAAGTAAAACTGCCAAATGCAATTTTACCACAGTTACGCTAAAAAAGGGGAGAAGACAGATGTAGGAACTAGTTCATGGTTATAATAAAGTTGGCAAAGGATAAATCTGAAGTAAACATGGGAGATTTCATCAAAATGCATCATATATCCAACTTCTTCAGAAGCCATCCTGTGGGCTGCTGCCAATACAAATCATTGACCACAGAATCTTGCCAAATGTCACCTCAATACCCTTTTAATATCAAGTGTTGTCACCAAGTAAGCACTGCTACCTGCTCAAGAGTCCACACTGATGCATGTAGCTGTTATCTCAAGATTATATTTTGTATTTCCAAGAACTCCACAGCAACAGTTACAATTTATCCACACAATATCTAAGCTGTTGAGAGCACAGGCGGAAAGATAGAAACACTTTCATTAAACGGAAGCCAAACATTGTGCAGGATCAGCTGTTCCATTTGAAAGAGAATAAAGGCATTCCTGTGAATACAAGCCCAGAACATGATGTATGAGGTGGCAACACTGATCTAATCTACCAATATTCTTGTAAAGTATTAATTCCATATATTGAAAATGGCTTGAAACTGTGGAGGGCCTTATCGGTAGTGGCACCCACCCTGTTGAATGGCCTCCCATCAATTGTCAATGTGATGGGTAATAACCTTCAGGAGACATCTGAAGGCAGCCCTGGTTAAGGAATCTTTTTAAGGTTTAATGTTTTTACTGTGTATGCAAATGGGTAAAATACTATAGGTTTTCAGTGAACATGTCATGAGAAGCTTGGGTACCATACTTGACAAGTTTTTAACTACTGTTTGTAATTGCAAAACTAAGGAGACAACAAAATGGAAGCATTTTACTCTTAAGAATTTCAATCATGTAACACGCATGCATAAAATTTCATTTTTGGACTTTGAATTCTACACTTTTTTATTTGTGTACACAAGAGCTCAGGGCTTACTATGAATGGTAACATAATTACTGCTGTGTGTACCAAAACTACACATACATCAAGTATAATAAAATAAAACTGCCATAGCAAGTAGCTTGGGCTGCTCCATGCTTGAGGCACTACCAGCATTTTTTGCATCTGAAACAGCTAAATGCTATCCTTCATATCTAATAAGTAGAAACTCCTTATACTGGTAACTTGCTACCTTTGACTTCATTTCACTTAGATTAGTAAGTAATTTTTGAACTAGAAATGGGTCACCCAAAGCTCTATAAATCCTTATCAGCTTTGATCATAAGCTCTTATAGCAAGTGTACAAAAATCAACTGCCACAGGAAAACATTTATAACCAAAGCAGATAATAGGTATCCAATAACCTTGATGCATTGCTTTATGCATCCCATTATACGTTAAAAATCTAAATATTAAAGAAGGCTATGGTTTACAAATAGCTTACAGTAACAACTGAACAGTCAAATCAATCGCCATCCAATGTATGTACTCTAGTTTCCAGCTAGTTATGACCTACATTCCTTCATGAGAAATGTAGGTCACTTGAAAAAGCCATATTTTCAATTTAACACTGTAAAAACTGATATAGGCAAGGTTCATTCATCTCCTCTTCCAGTCAGAAAGACAGTAACTCTTTCTCCATCCTGCCACAGTCAGTTACCTATGCTGGGTGCACCTCAAATATAGTTTGGGAAGGAAAGATGCAGTCACCATACCAGAGCCAGCACTTGGAGATCTTTCAAACTTATCAGAATGGAATGTTTACTCACCCTTAGCCACCAGGTGTGTAAATAATTCCAAACACGCTGTTGACCAAAATTAACCATCTAAATTAAAAATCACTATTATGATTGCCTGGGAAGTTGGTCCCATACAAATATAATCTGGCTAAGTTTTATGTCTGTTTGTTTTTAATTTGACTGATACAAAGCAAGAAACAATAATTAAGTGAAGCTTTAACACCCCTATCCTTCACTAATGTACTCTCTCTTCTGCTTATTTGGATGGTAGTGCTTCCATTGTTAAAGCACTCTGATAACATACCTGAACATAGAGGGGGAATAGATTGTGAATCATTATTTTTGTGCTATGAGACATATGTAGTTCTGAGATCAATATATCACAATGTGCAATGTGTTACTGATACATATTTTACAATGGAACATAGGAAACAAGTCTATTGGCTATTCCACAATCCTTTGCTAAGGAGAAACACAAAGAAAAACTAAAGAATATTTGCAGCATTCTGTAATCAAGTCAGGTACATAACTACAATATTGTTTGCTGCTGACGCCTGCACAGTAAGTTTAATTATGAGATGGGGGAAAGTGTTCCAGCATTAGCTAAACCCAATTAGTCTTTCCTAGAACGCAACCCAGAGACAGAACACTTCCTTTTTTTTTAATGGACTACTGAATCCTAGCACTTATAATTTGACACATGTAAACATCCACTTGCCTGGTGATCTCCAATGAACATCAACAAAAACAGTCAACATCTGTGATTAAGAACAACAGTTGAGCAGGCAGGGAATCTTTATAAATTTATACTAAATCTAGCAATGTAAGATTGGAATTATTAAAAAATATGAATTAACCAGACCTTCACTGACCAAATTCAATAGGTTAGGTTTATTGAATACAACTGAACCAACTGTCTACTAAACATTTTGGATAAATCAATCTAGCCAATATTTAGCATCTTTAGATACTATTAATTTAAATGGGAGAGTCTGGCAACTGCTGAAATCCTCCAGCAGCAGGCATAAATCCATTTAACTTTAGTTGGATCATGCTCTATGTTTATAGACATTGGGAGTTGTCCCCCGCCATTATACAGGAACTACCAATAAGCCTGTGAGAAAGTGATTTTACAACTTTCACTGGCATTCACAAGAGCAGAGTAGCCCTTAACTTTTGTACATTGTTTGTTTGCCTAAGTTTATAGACTGAATGCTGATAAGATGGTGGTAGTGTGGCCAGGCAGCTCAATTCCAGGAATTGGTGAAACAGCTTGTTCTGGATGAGGTAGTACTCCTTCTGTAGTGGCATGTATGTAGCTTTGGGGCACACCTTAACCCCATGTTGTCAATGGAGGCTCAGGAGGCCTTGGAGTACCTATTTCCAGATGTGGCTCACTCACCAGCTAAAGCTGTTCCTGAACTGATGGTTTGGCATGAGTGCAATATACTCTGGTGACCTCATATTTGGATTACTGCAACTCTAAGTGGGGTTGACCATGAAAATGGTCCAGAAGCTGTAGCAAGTGTAGAATGCTGCTGCTTGGTTATTAACTGGGAAAGTAAGATGGGAGCATAGAACAATCCTCTTAAAACCATTGTAATAGCTGCCTGTGGGCTGCTAGGCCTTAATGACTTGGAGTCTAAATATCTGCTGGAGCACCTCCTTGATACAAGACAACTCAATCAACAAAAAGCAAGGGGTTCTGCTTGTGGCCCCCACTAAAAATAATAGCTCAGGACATACAACAGGGCATTTTTCACAGTAGCACCCTGACTTGAAACACCCTCTTCCCAGAATTGTTTCTCCTATGTCCTTTGAAGACAGTCTTGTATTTTAATATTTCAAATTTGGGAGATACATAAGCACTTAAATATATATGAAGGGTTCATCAGAACAACAGCCAAGCACCCAATGGTTTGTAATGTTTTATATTAGCATTTTTCCTAATGTAACCCTGAACTGAACAGGTTTATCATATTATGTTCAGAAAATTGAGACACTCAGTCACTAACCATCAAGCAGGTAAGCTTCCAGACAGAATCAGTTACTTCTCATTCACTTTTGTTACAAATGTAATACAGTGGTGCCTCGCAAGACGAAATTAATTCGTTCCGCAAGTCTCTTCGTCTTGCGAGTTTTTCGTCTTGCGATGCACGGTTTCCCATAGGAATGCATTGAAAATCAATTAATGCGTTCCTAGGAAGCCGCCTTCAGACCAGGTCCGGGGACAGTCTGTCCCCGGACCTCTTCTGAAGGCTGGGGGAGGCAAGGGCTTTTCTTCCCACCCCCAGCATTTTAAAACCCCGGGACAGCGGAGGACTTCTCCGCTGTCCGGGCGATCTTAAAATGCTGGCGGGCGGCATTTAAAATCACCCCGGGACAGCGGAGGACTTCTCCGCTGTCCGGGGCAATTTAAAGCCCCTGGGAAGGCAGGCAGGGGGACAAAGACTTTGCCCCCGCCAGCCTTCAGAAGAGGTCCTGGACCTCTTCTGAAGGCGGGCGGGGCGAGTCTTGCTCCCCCGCCTTCAAAAGCCCTCCGGGACAGGCAGGCAGGGGGAGCAAAGACTTTCGCCCCCGCCCGCCTTCAGAAGGTCTTCCTCCCCCCGCCCGGCCGGAGCACCGTTCCGAGCCGGGCAGAGCGGAGGTCTTCCTCCCCCGCCCGGCCGGGCACCGTTCCGAGCCGGGCAGCGGCGGAGGTCTTCCCTCCCACCGCCCGGCTCGGGCACAGTTCCGAAGCCGGGCGGCGGCGGAGGTCTTCCCTCCCCCCGCCCGGCCCGGGCACCGTTCCGAAGCCGGGCAGAGGCGGAGGTCTTCCCTCCCCCCGCCCGGCCCGGAGCACCGTTCCGAGCCGGGCGGCGGCGGCAGGTGTTCCCTCCCCCGCCCGGCCGGAGCACCGTTCCGAGCCGGGCGGCGGGGAGGTCTTCCTCCCCACCGCCCGGCCGGAGCACCGTTCCCGAGCCGGGCGGCGGGGAGTCTTCCTCCCCACCGCCCGGCCGGAGCACCGTTCCGAGCCGGGCGGCGGCGGCAGGTGTTCCCTCCCCCGCCCGGCCGGAGGAGCCTTCCGAGCCCGGCGGCGGCGGGAGGAGGTGTCCCCGCCCTGCCGCCAGGCTTCGGAGGCGGTCCGAGGACAGTGGGGACGACGCGCTGCGCTTCCCCGCTGTCCCTGAGATTTCCCTATGGGCTGTCGTCTTGCGAAGCAAGCCCATAGGAAATTCGTTTGCGACGCCTCCAAAACGGAAAACCCTTTCGTCTAGCGGGTTTTCCGTCTTGCGAGGCGTTCGTCTTGCGGGGTACCACTGTATGTCAACAGGGTTTTTAAAAAAAGTTTTTAAGGTGTTATAGGACAGCTTTTAAAATCATCACACGTTGTCTCCATCTTCTCATTTATGTTACTCATTGACACACCTGGGCAATATTGTAAGATCTGGTTACAAGGACTGTCTTGTGCTACATTTGACAATGCTTTGGACCACATGGGCCTTAATTCCTGCCCGATTAGGAATCATTTGAAGCAATGCAGAACTCATTACCATTGACAAAATTATTTCTTATAGCACCTGGTATTTCTTGATTTGCATTCATTTTCTCTTCAATATCAGATCAATAGCACCCTTTGCTAGTGGTACTCAGATAAAATATATATTGATACATTTCTTAAGTAGATTTCAACCATATGGATATCTACTGTGGCCAGCTAGCAAAGGAGAGTAGGATCTCACCATCTGTAGAGATTCCTTACACTTATAGTGAGGAACCTTTTGCCCATCTCCCAAAAATACCCTGTCAAGAGTTGTACACACATGGCTTTCCTCATGCTGCCTGAACATATTCACAGAAGCAGAACTGAGCACAAAGAAACTAAACCTGGATTGTGGGCAATAGGGAACATATTGCATTGGCACCGCTAACATCCACACCATAAGGAATGCTCAAAGACAACAAACAGTTGCTGTCTTGTCCTGAAAAAAGATGATGAGAGAAAGGGAATGGCGTTCCTCATGAATGTTTGGGTTGCATATTATGTTCTCTTTTACTAGATTCCAAGTACTAGACTGAATCCTAGCACTAGCCTTTAAAGCACCCTTTCTCAACCTTGGGTCTCCAGATGTTGTTGGACTACAATTCCCATCATTCATAGCTAGCAAGACCAGTGGTCCAACAACATCTGGGGAGCCAAGGCTGAGAAAAGCTGCTTTGTGACACAACCCTTTTTTCTTTTTAAATTTCATTTCTTTCGTTCATTTTTTTGTTACTATTGCTATTACAATTTTACAGCCTAGAATTACAAATGTTATTAATGTACTACATCCTGAAAAATGTGAATGCTCATCTCATGATGGAACTTGCCAAGAACTGCTAGGCACCAGATGACACTGCAAATCATTAGAAAGATAGTAATGATGCTAGCCTTCAAAGAGGCTAACAGACAGCCCAGATTCCATCTGCAACTTCTTCTGTTTGATCCTCTAAAGAAAAGACACAACAATCTGAACTACAACATTTACTTCTAGGGACCAAATAAAGACTTCCATATCCCTAATACAAGAGATATGCCCTCTTATGCTAAGAGACATAATGATTTCGGCAGAGATCAGAACACTTCTAAAATAATTCTTAACTTTCCTAGAAATATTAAAGATTAACATTGTTTTGAAGACTACTACTTCAAAACCTATACTCAGCAACATTAACAGCATTTCTTATGGGCAACAATGAAAAAACTACCCTTCTTGCCACTAAGACAAAGTGGATGGAATTCAACACAATGTTAAGGAGATTGTTCTGTCAGCACAAGTATTTTTATTTGCCCAACTGAACAACTTCCCCTCTCCTACCACTGCATGCTGTTTTGGGGGCTTTCCCAGACCTCCAGTGTAAATTGGGGGAGCAGAGGGGGAGTCCTGCTACGTTAGTGGGAGTCATTGCACTGACCTGCTAACAGATCAGGAGTTAGCTGAATCCAGCTCAGTATTATTAATAATGTAACTTAAGGAAACTACTGTTTGTGAGTAGTAGAAATCTATCTATGCTGCTACCTTCTGAACATGACATTAAATAAATTAAATTTAGTATTTGTAATTGCTTTTAACTGTTGTGCAATGATTATCATTACTGCTTTCTGACACAGTGCTCAAGTACCAACCTGGCTGCACAGACCACACCCAGGGAGACTCTCATCTCAGGAACCAGAAACCCTTTAAAGAACTATAACCCAGTCTATGCTGAATCAGTGACCCATCCAACCAATTTCAATAGGCTTTGGTGTACTTAACTCTGCAGAGGACCAGGCTGTTAGTCCTGTACAATTTCTAATCATTTACTTATCCAACAATAATTTTTAAAATACATACATCAGACAAATGAGGAGATCCAATTACACACAGAGAGACACTCTCTATATATGGACAAAATCTGCCCTCTCTAGTTTCAGTAAGTTGAAATCAACTCCGACTGTGTACTAGCGCCCAATGGGAGTGCAGGAAGCTTTTGTATGGATGAGCCCTTAGAGGTTACAGCTGAATGTCAATCCACTGTGAGAAACCTAAGAGACTGCTCACCAGATTACCAAAGAGAGGTTTCTCCCCTTTTAAGACCGGCAATAGAGATAAAATCATACCGCCTTCTACAACCCTATCATACATCCAAGCATAACAGTTTTGTTTATAATTAATAACCCACACCACAGTTTGTGCTTCCAAATGTAAAACTGGCAAACCATGGTTTAGAATTGTTTATTTGTTTTCATTTACTGTTTAGCACTTATCTTCAAAAATTCACTTCCAGCTCTACAAATCATCAACAAAGTACATTTATGGCTGCTGCTCAGTCTCAAGAGGCTGTTGCACTATGAACTCATACTTAATGGCAACCACAGCTGGGGCAAGCTTGCCAGTGCAAACCAGTTTAAAACAATGTTCCTATATCCCAAAACACAAAGTCAGTTAGCAAACATGGGTTCAGATGTAAAAACAACCCATGAATTGCCATGTCAGCTGAATTCAGCCTCAGTCTCTCCCAAACAGATTGAATTGTTTGACGCCTGCCTGACCCCTCTCCTTATACCAGCTGTCAGGAAGCAGAAGGGACAAGACAGCAGAGAAGGACAAGGGAAAAGGAGCTAGTCATACAAAACCATTGAAAAGAAGACTGTGGCAAGAATTTGAGTGTGTGAAAAAGTAACCACGAATGTTGTTATCCTCAAGTTTCAGAAATTCTCTCAAATGGACTGAATGGTGAACTATTTGGAAAAAAATTAAATACTGTTAATTAGTTCAACCTCATTTTCCATTTGCAAAGTGCTTTACAAACATTGTGCCTTTTATCCTCACAATAGCAGTAGGAGAGAATGGGCTGAGAAGTGATGACTTGCCCAAGGTCAGAGAGCTTCAAAGTCTGAAACATAAGAAAACAAAGAAAGACACTCAATATTACCTTCCCTGACGGGACAAGCTTATAATGAGTCATTGTATGTTTGAAATAAGGATAAACACAGTAGCACTCCTTCAGTCACCAGCCCAGGTACAGAAGCAGCAACCTTTGTCTGTTTTTAAGCAATATGGAAATGTCATCCGGCCTTTAAAGCCGGAAGAAGTGTTACCTGGCCACACACACATATACATGCCCCCACCCTAGCATAAAAAGGACACCCCTACAGGAACACTAGTAGGCAGGAAACACTGCCACAAGGCCACCTCCTGGCTCACACCAGCAAAGGTGGATTGAGAAAGGCCTACAGTTAGGACCAGTGCTCGACTCCTGTCAGGTCTCCCCAGCATCTCTTTTCAAGGCCTGGGCTGAATCCAGAAATACATGCTGTAGGCAACCATGAGCAAGCACAAACTGAATTCCCCTCACCCCGCATAAACTAGGGGGCCCCCAGAAAGCTCAGGGACAAGGCTTCCCGGGCAGAGCTAGGGCGTTTCTCCCAGCAGATTTGAGCCCAGGCATCTCCCTCCCTCCCTCCATCAACCGGAGGGTTAGCAAATCTGCTCCCCGACGCAGCAGTTAAGTCCGCCCTCCCCGCTCTCTCTCCAAGACACGACACGAGCATCTCCTAAGCTTGGTTTTTCTTTAAGGGGGGGGGGGAGGAGGAGAGAGAGAGCAGGCTAGTGGTCACGACGGTGATGCAGCATCTTCGTCTCCAGCACAGTCAGTCACACGGCCGTGCAACCAATCGCGCCCACCGAAGAACCACGAGATTCGCAGATGGGGGGGGGGGGACGAGAGAGAAGAAGCCCCCGCCCCCGGGGGAAGAGGAAGAGAGAGAGATGGGGCTAAGGTACCAGCTGTCCGCTGACTCAACCCACGAGCAGAGAGGCCCCTCGCTGCCCCGCCAACCTTACAATGCGGGAGATGTTGGAAAGGGCATGGGGAGGGGGGCAACAACCAGAGACCCGGCCCCTTCCTTCTCATCCCCCCCCCGGTCCTTTCAGCCGGCTCCTTACTCTCCATCTCAACACACCCGCGGCTGACACTCACCCAAGGGCGAGGCGGGGAGGGAGGAGCAGCGCCTTGCAGGTGGCGGGTGGGCCTCGCCCGGCGTCCCTCAGCGTACCGGCAGTGTTGGGAGAGGGGGATTAGCGGTCGCAGCCTCGGTCGCTCTCTCTCTCTCTCCCTCGCTCGCTCGCTCGCAGCCGGCCAGCGTCCTCCGAGGAACCCGCCTCCCTTCATGCACACGCCCCGGAACTCGCAGCCGGCCTCCTGCCCCATCCGCTGAGGCGGCGGCGGCTGACAGCTGACGCTGACGTAATGCGGCAGGCAGTGCGCACGCGTGTTGTTGCCGCCGCTTCGCTTTGTAGGCCTGCGCCCTTCCTCCTTCCCCCCCCCCCGCCCATTCTTCTATCACTTGTCTCGCGCTGCACAGTTACTGGGCAGGGAGTGCGCGCGCCGCTCGTGCTTCGGCCCAATCCCGACGTTCTGAAGGTGGAAACCCCGCCCCCCCTTCGCCGCGACAACGGCTTTTCCCGCTCAAATTCAAACCGGCGGCCGTAGCGTTCGTCCGGTGGCTTGATCCAAAAGTCCACAGAATCATGAGTTGAAAGGGACCCCCAGGGTTCATCTAGCCCAACCCCCTGAAAGGCAGGAATCTCAACTAGCTCGTGCCTACATGACACAGATGATGGCCGGCCAACCTGTTAGCTGGGATACAGAGTAGATGCGTTGAAATTAATGGCCATGGCTAACCTAGTCCATTAATTCCAATGGGTCCACTCGTGAGTAAAAGTTGGTATACAATCCAATAACCATTTGCTTTGTGAGGGATGAGATATTCCCCAGCTAGCTGCAAAACATAAAGTTGTCTAATTTATAGTGGCCTTATATACATCACACCCGAAAAGGACACCGTTATAATTTTTCTGTTAGTTTTCAGTTTCAGACACAAATTTAGAGAGATAAATCGCTATCATTTAAATAGAAATATATTTCACCTTAGTAAGGAAGGCAGCACCTTGTGCTTCCTTCTCAATCTGTCCAAACAATGCTTGGTGGAGACCCGAAGTCCACCTTTATCTTTAAACGAAGCTTGGCAGCTCCTCAGAAAGAAGACGCCTTTAAATAGAGGGCTGCCCTAAAGTAATGACCCACCCCACTTTTGCCTACCTACACCCATGAATGGGATTACTCTGCCTCCTCCCAAGCCTTTTGCTTTTTCATAGGACATTAGACCAGGAAGGGAATAATAACCTATTTTCCCCAAGCCTTTTCCCCTCCCCTTAAGCAAGTTTCACCTAGGAAGTGAGCGTTTATTACCTGCAAACCCCAAAATCAGGGATCCCCTTGAAACAGGTGCCAAAGTTTTGTAATCATTTTGTCGTGATTTGTAGGGTCCCTCCCCCCATGTTTTGTAGCACTCCACAAAGGGAGCAATACACACTCAAACCCAGGGGCGACGGGGTTCCCCCAAACCCAACGTTGTCCAGTCTGCTTGAAACTGCTGCCAAAGTTTTGTAACCGTTTTGTAGCGAAAACCCCGCATTTTGCAGACCCCATATGTGTTTGAAACATTTAAGCTGATAAAAATACGGTTTTGTTGATCAAAATTCACATTTCACGAAGGAATTGTTAAAAAATAATGATAATTTAATATCTAAGATGTATAAACTATTGTTGGAATAGGAAACAAAGGATGAAATGGTGAAATCAGCAATAATTTGTTAGGCAAGAGATGTGGGTCACAATATAGAAATGGACCTGTGGCAAAAGCTGTGGAAAACAGGGTTGAAATTTACAGCTTGCTATGCTTTGAAGGAAACTTATATGACACCAAGTAAATTAGCAAAAATATACAAGTCAGAGTCAGGTAATTATGCAAGGAACTTTCTGTCATGTGGTGGATCTGTAGAATAGCAAGGAAAAATGGGAAATGATTCATAATGAGTTAAAAAAAAGTTTAAAAAGTCTAGTCCCAAGAAACCAAATACTTTCCTTCTAGGAAACCAAATGATTTTCCTTCTCTCAGCCCTAGACCCCAGACTGCAGGTTTTTATTGTTTCTTTTCACATAGTGATCTGGATTGCATCATCCTTATCGGGCGAGTATCTTATCTACCCTGTTCTCTGATCTGGTTTTCTTATATTAACAATAGGCTCCCATTTGGGCACATCACCTGACATTCTGAGCTCTTAATACTCATTTGTCAAGAGCAAGACTGTGGCTCCATACTGCCTTAAGGTAAACTCACCGTTATGGTCCTATTGACAGAAAACTGATAGCAAAACCCATAGAGTTGAATTTCATGTGATTTTTTTCAACATTATGTGCTGCCAGAAGATGTGTGTGTGTGTGTAACTAAGTTTGTTCTTGGTATGAACTTCCGTGTGCATGCACACTTCTTCAGTTCACTACACAGATATATTTTGCAGAGGTTGCAAGATAAACAAAAATAGAATTTCTGCCTCCTATCTTTGCCCGCAGGGCCCGATCCATTCTAATTTAAGTTAAAATCACTAAATTGCCTGATTGATTTCACGGGAACTGTTGTATGATTAACTTTCTCTTAATTTGGTGCCAAACATATGGAGTCTTCTAAAATCTTTTTTTCTTCCATCTTCCATCTTAAAATACATTTTAAACAACAACCTTATATTTAAGCTTGTTTTCTATTCTTGCTAGGGAAGGAATGGACCTTGAGAAAGTTGCTGAAACTCCTGTGGCGCTCAGTTATTGCATCACGATTGTGTGATTTTATGCCCTGAAGTGAGCAAATAATTTCTAAAGTGTGTGTTTACAGCAACGTGGAAAGTGGGGTACAGGGACAGAAAACTATATGGCCATGCTTATATAAAACCGAGAGAAGCAAAACTGTTAAGTTGTGGGTGAACATATCTGACGACACAGCGATTCTTCAAACAGCTCTTCTTTATTCAGAGGCCAGATCAGAACTGAACTAAGGAGCTCAGTCAGCCTGCTTATATAGAGCTCCAGAAGAACGTAACTGTAGCAACTTTCTAAAACTATCCAATCACTGAACGTCACTTTCCATCCTTCATTTCCATAACTATCTACAGTATCCCCGTGCTGGCCCAGGGTGAGAACTTCAGTACATGACACCCCTCCCCACCGAGATAAGGCGTTAGTTGCAATCGTAATGGTTTCTTTATATACAGCACTACACGTAATGGTTCAATTAGGCACAAAAGCATTGGTTACATTTCACATACTTAGACCAACAGTGATACATGTCCAACAACATAGTCCTTTAAATAAGTTGGGCGCTTGGAAACTCTGCCTGACCGCCGGGGACTGGTAGCCAAGTCTGGGGTGCCACCCAATTCTTGCTGAGGCTGTGGTGCGACCCTAGGTGGCGTTGAAACCAAGTCCCCTGGATCCGCTGCTGTGGGTGGAACCTCCGCAAGTGGAGTTGGTGGAATGTCAGGCACGGCAGTGGTCTGAGTCTGTGGTAAGTCTGGCAGACCCTCTGAAGTGGCTTGGTTCAGCTCCACGCCGGCAGTTTGCGAGAGAGGTGTAGGTGGAGCCTCACCATCTGTAAGTGTCTGTTCCGGAGCCACGAGCGCAGTTGGGGGCACCACGGTAGTGTCCAAGTCCCCAACCCTGCGCCTAAGCTGGTCTATGTGCTGGCGCCACAAGTGTCCGTCTTCGAGTGCCACCTGGTACGAGCGAGGTCCAGTGACTCCCACTACTGTGGCTGGCACCCAAGGAATGTCCCCCACATAGTTCCAGGTAAAGACCTGGTTTCCTGGAACAAATGACCGTGGTGCGTTGGCACAGCCTGGGAGTTCGGCCACAGCAAAGTCTGGGTGCAGCCGGTCGAACGGGGACCTGAGGCGGCGGCCCATAAGCAGTTCGGCAGGACTCCGCCCTGTGGCCGCATGAGGGGTGATGTGTTGTACGAACAAGTATTCAGCGACCCGCTCGTGCCAGTCTCCCCGGTCCAGGCGCGCCAGTGCCTCTTTTGCCGGGCACACCATTCTCTCTGCTTGCCTGTTGCTGGATGGATGAAATGGTGCTGTTAGGGCATGGCGGATGCCCAGTCCCAAAAGGTACCGCTCAAAAGTGCCTGACATGAAGTGTGGTCCGTTGTTGGAGACAAGTACATCAGGACACCCATGCGTCGCAAAGAGGCCTCGCAGCACCCGGATGACGGCCTCGGTAGTGGTGGAGAGCATCAGGGCCACATCCAGCCATTTGGAATAGGCGTCCACCACTACCATAAAGGTCCGGCCATGAAAGGGGCCGGCCAGATCAATGTGCACCCTCGACCAGGGTGTCTTGGGTGTCTCCCAGGTGTGTCCCTTAGCTGCCGGTGATGCAGGCCTCGATTCTTGGCACGCTTGACACGCTTGGCACGCCTGGCATCATCCATGTTAGGCCACCAGACGTAACACCGAGCCAATGCCTTCATTTTGACGATTCCCGGGTGGCCAACGTGCAGAGCCTCAAGGACACGTTGACGGGGTCTTTGGGGAATCATGATGCGGTTTCCCCACAGCAGACAGCCACGATGAGCTGAGAGTTTGTGTTGTCTGGTTGCGAAGGGCTGGAACTCCGATGCAAAAGGCCCTTGTGGCCACCCCCTCCACACCCAGTTGAGCACACGGCTGATGGTGCAATCCTGGGCAGATGCGGAGGCCACAGTGGCAGCCGATACAGGCACTGCCGGAAGATCCTCAGTCAGGAGGAGTGATGAAGCAGGAGCCGGGTCTTCCACAAAAGCTGGAAGAGGGCAACAGCTGAGGACGTCGGCATGGCCCATCAATTTCCCCGGGCGATGGACAAGCCAGTAGTGGTAGGCTGCCAGGAAAACAGTCCATCACAGCATGCGCGGCGAGAGGACCGGTGGAGTTGGACGATCACCGGCGAGGAGGCCCAGGAGTGGCTTGTGGTCGGTGATGAGGTCAAAAGTCCTGCCGTAGAGGTATTCATGGAACCTCTTCACTCCAGCCACAAGTGCCAGTGCCTCCTTGTCGAGCTGGCTGTAATTCTGTTCAGTGAGAGATAGCGTCCTGGAAAAGTAGGCGAGCGGTGCTTGTCTTCTGTCTGGAAAATGGTGACTAAGGACAGCGCCGATGCCAAAAGGTGAGGCGTCGCAGGCAAGGACCAGTGGCCTGGCTTCACTGTACTGTACCAGCACACTGTCCAATGAAAGGAGAGCCTTGACCGCGTTGAAGGCCGCCATCTCCCGATGACCCCAGGACCGAGGTGTCTTTGTGCTGAGGAATCGGTGAAGAGGCTCAGCCACCGTGGCTTTGTGGGGCAGGAACATGTTATAAAAGTTCAGCAGTCCCAGGAATGCCTGCAACTCCGTCTTGTTCTTTGGGATGGGGGCCTGCTGGATAGCGCGGATCTTGGATGTGATCAGGTGAAGGCCGGAGGCGTCGATAAGATAGCCCAGGAACTCCACCTGTGGAACGGCGATCTGGCACTTCTCCCTCTTTACCTTGAGCCCGGCCTCCTGGAACCTGGTCAGCACGGCACGGAGGCGCTCGAACAGCTGCTGGTGTGAGTCTGCAGACACCAAGACGTCATCAAAATATGGTACCACGCCCGGAAGCCCTTGCAGGAGACGCTCCATAAGGCTTTGGAAGATGCCAGGAGCCACACTCACCCCGAACTGCAAACGGCAGCAATGGAATGCCCCTCGGTGGGTGACAATCATCTGGGCTTCAGCAGTGGCATCATCGACGGGCAGTTGTTGATAGGCTTGGGCAAGGTCCAGCTTAGCGAAGACCTTACCCTCACCCAGGGAATGCAGCAGGTGTTTGACAACAGGAACTGGATAAGCGTGCTGCTGAAGTGCCCTGTTGATCGTGCACTTGTAGTCAGCGCAGATTCTCACCGACCCGTCTGGCTTGACAGGCGTGACGATGGGGGTTTCCCACTTGGCGTGGTCAACCGGCTCCAAAACTCCTTGGGCGATCAGCTTGTCCAGTTGTTCGTCCACCTTAGCCTTGAGAGCAAAGGGAACCCGGCGTGGCTTTAGCTTGATGGGGGCGACTTGTGGATCAAGGCTAAAGGAGATGGGTGTACCTGTATATTGCCCCAAAGTGCCATCAAAAACCTTGGCAAAATTTTTGACCAGACCCTCAGTCTCTGCGTTAGAGATGCAGTTGATGCCGGTGACTTCCAGGCCGAGGGCATCAAACCAGTCTAGCCCTAGGAGGCTTGGCTGCTGACCTTCGACCACCACTAGTCAGAGCAGGCCCGAAAAATCCTTGAAGGCGATCCAGAACCGGCCAACACCTACCACGGGAATGTCATTTCCCTGGTAGTCTCTCAGGTGTACTCGGTGAGAGTCGAGTTGCCTTTTGGACACTCTGGGTACCAGTCTTTTGATGGTGCTCCAAGACACGATGGGCAGGGCAGGCCCAGTATCGATCTCCATGTCACATGGAGCTCCTTCAATGAGCACCGTGACGTTCAGCTTGCGTCGCGTAGGCGAGTCGGTTTGGCCAATCGTGGTTCCAGACGGGCAGCGGCAGTTGGTGAGAGCGAAACAGCTTTCCTTGGCGGACTGGAGTGAAGACTTGGACTTGCAAGTCGGTGAAGGGGGGGTGTCAGCCGGAGCCGATCAGCAGACCTTAGCGATGTGGCCCCTTCTGGAACACCTCCGACAGATGGCATCTCTGAATCGACACTTGGCACGGGAATGGTTGCCTCCGCAGCCGGCACATTCCGATTGGCCCTTGGACTTCTTTGGAACTTCCTGCACTCCCGCTTTGTCTGGTGCACGTCATCGTCTTCACTGGAGGATGCCTCATCACGGCTGGCCTCTTCATGATGCACTGGAACTGGCTTCCTAGCAAGACGCGGGCTGCTGGCCTTGCGGATCTCCTGGGCGGAGCATTCGGCAGCTTCCGAGACCACGGCCTCCTCAATGGCTTTCTGCAGTGTGAGGTCTGGCTTGGCGAGGAGACGCCGTTGCAGACGGATGTCCTGGACCCGACAGACGATTCGATCCATCAGGGCATCATCTAAATCTCGGAACTCGCAGTGCATTGCAGCCTGTCGGAGGGTGGCAGTGTAGTTGTTAATTGACTCCCCCTCTGACTGGTTCCGGTGGTAGAATGCATGGCGGGCAACAATCTTGGACTGCTTGGGCGAGTAGTGGTTGCAGAGCTTCTCTTGAATTGTGTCCCACGGTGTTGCCTGGACTGCTTCAGGCGCAACCAATGCTCAGGCCGTCTCAAACACCTCAGGCCCACAGAGGCTGAGGAATAGGCCCAGCTTCCACTCCTTTGATACTTCTGTCAGCTCTTTGGCTTGGAGGTAGCAGTCAAACCGAGCGAGGTAGGAGTCCCATGATTCACAGGCTGGCGCAAACGGCGGTAGAGGCACAAGTGAAGCCATGATTCCGATGCTGGCGTGAAGGGTGATGGATGGAGCACAGTGCTCTAGCCAGAACAGTCAGCTCTGAATTGGTTCTGTTCAGTGATTTCGCTCAGTGATTCAGCTCAGTGATTTAGCTCAGTTCAGAGGGTGGCTGCATCTGGCTGTGCTCTGATGTCCATCAATTCCACCTTCGTCGCCAGTGTTAAGTTGTGGGTGAACATATCCGACGACACAGCGATTCTTCAAACAGCTCTTCTTTATTCAGAGGCCAGATCAGAACTGAACTGAGGAGCTTAGTCAGCCTGCTTATATAGAGCTCCAGAACAACGTAACTGTAGCAACTTTCTAAAACTATCCAATCACTGAACGTTACTTTCGATCCTTCATTTGCATACAAACTATCCAACCACTGAACGTCACTTTCGATCCTTCATTTGCATAACTATCTACAGTATCCCCCTGCTGGCCCAGGGTGAGAACTTCAGTACATAACAAAAACCAAGGCATGCAGACAAGAAAGACATAAAACAGAAAGAGTATGCTGAAAATCTGATTCAGTAGGTAACAGGAAATTTAGAAAGCAATCACTTTTCAGGGTGAGCAAATAATGTTTGAAACAATTAGAGGCAGCAATGGAAACTGCTATTGGGGATGCATTACATGTAATATTAGAAAAAGCACTTAGGTGGGAAACAATAAGAGGATCATCAATAAGAGGTGGATCATCGTAGATGGTGTGTTTGGCCTTCTTCCATTTCTAAATTGCTTTCGGTTATCTGTTTGGTTTGGAAGTATTTTAAACCACGCACTGTAAAAGTTGTCTTCAGTTTTGTCATATATATTTTTATAGCCCCTAGCATCCTTCTCTTTTCAAGGGCAATGTAGTACAATGGGCACACACAGTGGATGGACTGAAATGAACAAGAGGCTGATGTCTCAAGTGAACACTGCTTAATTATGTATGGCCAGCTGCTTTCATTGACTATGATACATATGTGCCAGAGGAGAGCAGGGAAGAAAGAGGTATGTGAAACAAGGGTCTGAATCTTCCATTTATTTAGTTGAGAGCAATGCCAAAGGAATTTTAAAAAGTTATCTATGCTAGCATTACATTGTTAACAAGTCTCAGTATCTGGCAGCAGTATGAGGAATTCTACACAGTCATACAAAACATGTCCCAACTGTATTTATCTTAATTCGTTTTTAGAAAAGAGCAGTGTTAACATCCCATCTGTAGGTGGAAGGGAGTACAGGAGAACAGCCATGTTTTAAAAAGAAATTTGTTTTAAACAAAATATTTAAGAGAAAGCACCTCCCCAAAAAAATTAATAAGCAGGGCAGAGTGGGGTAGTGACACAAACTTGCTCCCATAAGGCTTTTAGACTTAAGAATGTTGTGCTCTTGGCTACAATAACTAGAAATCACAATCCTCTCTTAAATCCACATACTGGTCTGGCACAGAATTAGCCACATTCTTCTTCACTTGTCCAGATCCTCAAAGTGTCCCTATTTTCCCGGGACAGTTCCAGATTTACAGAAGCTGTTCTTGTTTCCGATTTTATCCCGGAATGTCCCGCTTTGCCTTAGGACGTCCCTATTTTCATCAGAAAAATGTGGGAGGCTATGGAGTTATCTGCCCCCCCCCCAAGTTATTTGAAGGCAGTCCTGTAGTTTTTAAATGTTTTGTGTTTTGTTGTGTTTTTATATGTGTTGGAAGCCACCCAGAGTATAAATTTAAAAATTATTATGGAATAGGATGTCCCAGAGAAATATTGGAGGGTATGCTTGTCACCTTCTCAGAGTGATTCCTAGTGCTAAAACACTGGGACCGGGGTGGGGTAAGCCTCTATTTTTTCACTCCTCAACCTTGCTAAGAGGCTCCAAGAACAACTAGAGCAGAGCCTTCCAAATTTTTCACGTTGGTGACACACTTTTTAGACATGCATTGATAAGTTCTGGGTGAACATATCTGACGACACAGCAATTCTTCAAACAGCTCTTGTTTATTCACAGGCCAGAACAGAACTGAACTGAAGGGTTCAGCCAGTCTGCTTATATAGAGCTCCACTAGAACGCAACAGTAACCATTTTCTGTAACTATCCAATCACTGAACATCACTTTCGATCCCTTATTTGCATATGTGGACCTGAACTATCTACAGTATCCCCCTGCTGGCCCAGGGTGAGAACTTCAGTACATAACACGCATCATTCTGTGACACTGCTATTCAGTTTTACTAGCAAACCAGAGGTTAAAATAATCCCTTTCCAGCCCTGGGAGAACCGCAGGGCGTGTCGCGACATACAGTTTGGAAAACTCTGTACAGTACTAGAGGCCACTTGCTGAGTACACTAAACTATTTTTCTTTACTGCATATATTCACAGCTTTTCTCCCACTTTTGCTTTATATACTGCTTTCATAAAAAAAAATCATTTAGAATATGAGTTTGACTGTATTTCTGTACCACCCATCGAGGTTGCATGGTGCCACTGGCTTCACTTGCAACAATCATCTCCAAAGGAAAGAATACACACATATGTATTCCATGGATTTCAGAGACACAGTTGTGCAGGATTCCATATTGCATGGAAGGCGTATACACAGAGAGGTCTGTGTGCACAGCATCTGACCACACCATGAGGAGTGTGTCTGTGTGTGGCAGTGCTTCACTACCTTGAGAGGAGAACCGGAAACATGAGCCTGGAGCCCCATTCTACATTTGATTCCCTTTCATGCATGAAAGAAGCGTGAAACTGCAGCATATTGCATTATTTGGAGGAAGGCCCTATGGTTTGAAAGCGCTGGTAAACAGGATATTTCTGCAACTTGTACTACCTTTTCATTTATATATGTATACTGGGTATGTTTTTGTTTTTTACTGTTCAGTATGTCTTGGGATGAATATGTAAGTCGTCTCGAGGGAACAAGTGGAAAAGCAGGTTATATATTTTAAGATTAATAAACCAATAATCAACACACTAAAAAAGAAGCACATTTTAAATGAGAAAACTAATCTCTGTATTATCTGAAACCAGAGGATTTTTTGTATCCTCAACCTTTGAAAGAAAAGTCAATAAAAACTTGAGTCTTAATTATAAGTATACATAAATGCTGCAAAGCTATTTTTCTGCCGTGTAACTCTTCTGACCTTCATTCCACATGCATGGCTGGGGCCAAGCACTTTTAAGCTCCATTGATTTTGGTGGGAAAGATTGAAGCATATGCTTATCTCCCTCCGTGGAATCAATGGGGCTTAGAAGTGCTAGGTTGGGAAGGATCATGTCCTACATAAATAATGTGTATGTGGAGCACAAGGAAGAAAATGCCTTACAGTTCTCTGACAGCAAATAGAAGGGCTCCATGCCTGTCGTACAAAGCTCCGCTGACAGATCCATGCCCATCTTTCATTAGCTTCAAATAAAGAAATATTGTTCTGGTCTCCAATATTATTTCACATGGCATGGGCACATACTGTAACGAGTTTGTGTGCTAGGATTGGTGCTTTACAATTCTTGCACGACCATTGTGCCAAAAAACCTGAAGACATAGCTTACAAGGCATTTTAAACATTTTTTTATATACATTCATGTGGCATGTGGAGGCATACATTCTGTGCCTCCAGGTGTTTGTTGTCAGCATGTTTATCCTTGACCAGCAATCCCTTTCTTTGACTAGCATCATAAGCCTAACCATGACTACTCAAAAGAAAATCCTTTTGAACACAACGGGACTTACTCCCAGGTAAGTTGAGTTCAGATTGCAGCCTCAGTAAAGTTACAGCACCCCTGTTTTTCGTCTTTGGATATCACAAATTAAATGTTTTTAATTCAGAACTAGTGTGGGGCAAGCCCATATAGATGCTTACATAGAAGCAGACATATTTTTTGAGTAGGATTGCCTTGTTAAGCTCTTTATATATTGGTTGCCCTGATACTAACTGGAAAGCACCAATTTAGCATGGTTCTGCCTGGGAATGGGCCAAGGAGGAATGAATGCCTGCTCCGACTCCTGAATTAGTAGCAGGCCCCTCCCACTTTTACACACTGTCACTTCAGTACATGTGTTGCTATCCTCTGCCACATGACATACAAAATCAGAAGAATGGACTCCTCAAGGACCTTTTCTGATTCTGGCTTAGCCCCTTCAGCATTTATAATGAAGTCACCACACGCAATGCTGTCACAATTAATGCAGGGAGTGATGGGACTGCACCAAACCTGAGAACAAGATCCCATGGAACACTAACCTTATTAAATGTATGGGGTGGTCGAGAGGTCTTTTCCACCTTCAGACCATATATGTGGACTAGCTGATCCATGGGGTCCCTTCCCATTCTACAGTACTCTAATTCTATGAAGACATTCATTTTAGTACAGGACTCTTTGCACCCATCTTTACATCCGAGCTTTACTTGATCTCAAGTTTTAGAAAAGCACCGCTCATGCTCACAGTGGCGAGATGTTTCATCATCACATGGGCGTTCTAGCAAGCATTGCTGACATGTAAGCATTTGTTTGTAGAAAGGGACCCACATCTCAGCGAGCTTAAAATAAGTTTGAAGTGTGGGAGGGAAAGACTCATTGACCACTATAAAGTGAGGGCAACGCTACAAAATGTCTTCAGCTTGTTCACTGGCCTCTTTTGTATGTCATTTCAGTATACCCCACCCAGTGCTTTTTTTTCTAAAAAAAAAATGTTCAGGGGTACTCTCGTTTTCCTACTCATATTGAAATACTGCCCCTCAATGAGGTCAAACTTAGATTCACAAAATGTTTAGGGGTATGCGTACCCCTGCGTCCCCCCAGAAAAAAGCACTGCCCCCACCTGACCCCACAAATTTCCTAAAAGGAGGGCTCAAAAGCTCCAGTGAATACTGGCACAGAAAACAATAGGGCAATTTTAAAATAAATAAAAAAAATTAGGGAAGCTATGTTGACTGAAACATTTTAGTCAACGAAGCATCCTCCACAGTTTTACAGGACTTAGCATCCGTTTCTGGCCCCCACCCCCACCTGTGTGCCTTGTAAATATGGTATGCCTCCTCAAAGCCAGAAGAATGTGCCCTGCCATTATCAACCTCCGTAAGGAAAAAAGAGAGATGTCATGTAGAATTTGCCGGGACTCAAAGCAATCAAAAACATACATGAATTGATAGAGACGGATCTTAGCAACAAGCTGTGGAGACTAGGAAGTCTCACTGGCAGAATGTAGTAGGTGATTTGATAGGCTCTCGTTTGGTATCCATTTTGCATTAACAACTCAGAGGCAGCTTGGATTTGACAGCTCTTTTGTAGCCTCTTAATACAGCTGCGAAACCCCAAATGCAGCTCTGTGTCTTGAATATCAATCAGACACAACCATTTTCAGAAATAACATTTACTTCTTATTACAGGAAATGCCTCTTTCCCAGCTACAGTGCCACTACCCTGGAACTAGTAGTACTGGGCATATTTTGAAAAGAATAATATAGCTGTAACTGACTGAAGCAGCACTAAAGATTTAGGGTTATCTGTTTGAGCAGCCACAGAAAGGGACAGGGGCAGAATTAATCATATTTCTTTAAACCACTAGTTTAGTAGAATTGCAACAGGCATGCTGATAATGAAATTAAATTCTAAACTATTATAATAAATTTTTGGAGAATCAGAATCAGAGCAGTGTTGGGGGGGGGAGGGATTGTTTAACCCTCTCTTCCATGAGATATTTCCTGATCTACCTCTCACCTCCAAAGAAACTGCTATAAAAATCACAGGGGGAAAGATGAATGGGCATAGCCAGGATTTTTGTTGGGGGGGGCAGAACCTCAGTTTGCTATGTATTTTTAATTTATTTTTATTTATTTTGAGTGCAACTGCCCCCCCTTTGCTATACCCATAGAAAGATACACATGTACCTACATTTCCCCTTCCAAATGATCAGAAACATGTGCTTGAAGTTAACCATTACTCACTTCTTAAGTTGGTTTTAATGCAACATTTATCGTTTGAGTTGGCTTCAGGCCATGATCTTTAGCACGCATGTCATTTTAAAGGAACAAGGAATATGATATCACAGTTATGTACTTTGGATTCTACGCTCGCCCATGCCACTTAAAACATTATATTCAAAGTCTCAAGGTGAGATGGTAAGCAAGCCTGAGATGTGATGCTGATTCTATCCCGCTTCCTTCCATATTCTTACTGCAAACACGCAGGCTGTCAGGTCGATCATAACCATAGTATAGGAGTGGGGGGTAACACTTTCCACATCACACTTTTCCAAATCACCTGCCTCCACCCCCACCCCCGTTTTATCCACAGGAGAAAACTAGTACGTACTCCTTGTTCCAAGGCCTCCCATGTTTCCGTTGGCCTGCTCCCTGGCTCTGATGCTTGCTTGTTTCCTGGCTCATCTCAGACAGCCGCCTACAGCTCAGCCCCTTGACTCTCACAAACGAAATGATGAATGGTCAAGTTAACCAAAGGTCTCACTTCCCTTGGCCAAGGAACAATCATAGGGCCACCATACGCCCCAGATATTACACTTTTGGGGTGTCCTGGTTTTTATTTTTTGAAATATGGCAACCCTAAACTTCTGCACACAATGAAAAAAACATTTTTTCACCTTCCCTCATTTCCAGCTGCACCTGGGGAAGATATAGATCATGGATTATTTAATTTCTATACCGCTTAATATACCGTATTTTTCACTCTATAAGACGCACCAGACCACAAGACGCACCTAGTTTTTGGAGGAGGAAAACAAGAAAAAAATATTCTGAATCTCAGAAGCCAGAACAACAAGAGGAATCGCTGCAAAGTGAAAGCAGCAATCCCTCTTGCTGTTCTGGCTTCTGGGATAGCTGTGCAGCCTGCATTCGCTCCATAAGACGCACACACATTTCCCCTTACTTTTTAGGAGGGGAAAAGTGAGTCTTATAGAGCAAAAAATACGGTATTTAAAATATCGCTAAGTAGTATAGACAGGTGAAAAAGAGGGCAGGGCTCCTGAAGGTTTAATAATTGTTTCAGGAGGTATAATTTGTAATCATTCCCTTTCCCATGCACCTGTAAAAACCGTAGGACTCCTGTTTTCTTTTTCGCCTGGCTACCCTAATGGATATGCTAGTGATTTTGTTTCTCTGCTGTGCACAGTGTTTGAGGCTACTGCTGTTTAACGTACCATGTGTGCCAACTTACGAAAGCATAATTCTAATTTGACCCAATGAATTCTTAAATGCTGGAAGGCAGGCCTGTATCCAATAAAACTAGCCAGCCCTTTGGTGCTCCCAAATATGCCATGTACTTGGCCTTCTAAATTACCCATCACTGGCTGATCAGATTGGAAAATAAATGCGCATTTGCAGCACCGAGCAGACATTTTAATAGCCAAGCAGCCTAGGTATGGATGACTGCCCAAAACAACACATTGTTAATGCAAGTGGAACCAAAACTGGGGGGGGGGGGTATTAAGATCTTGGCACTGGGGCCTGTAGGTAGGAAATGAGGATGAAGAGCCCCACAACAGACTGTATTTGGCTTTTCCAGAACAGCCTTAATTCCAAGAAGTGGTGTGTAATGATGGGAATCTGAGAGATGATTCATGTTTGTTTTATGAGATGCTGTTTACTGCAGCATGCAGTCTGTATCTTTATTACGCAGTTAGAGCGATTGGATGGCTAGATCTGGCAGAATGCTGTACTCACAGTCCACTGCTCTTCACCCAATTTCAGGATTTAGTGTTGCTGGGAGGAGCAGGGGCTTGTCTGTTTGGGGATAGGGAGCAGCAGTGCAGAGTGCAAGCTGGTCCCTTGGGGAGTGCCAGGAAAGAAGAAAGGCCTGGGGCATGACGGATTGCAGAGCTGGGACATCCTCTCGATGTCAGAAAGCAAATGCCCAAAGAGGAAAGGAGTGGGTTGAAAGCAAGGAAGAAGAAGAAGAAGAAGAGTTTGGATTTGATATCCTGCTTTATCACTACCCTTAGGAGTCTCAAAGCGGCTAACATTCTCCTTTCCCTTCCTCCCCCACAACAAATACTCTGTGAGGTGAGTGAGGTTGAGAGACTTCAGAGAAGTGTGACTAGCCCAAGGTCACCCAGCAGCTGCATGTGGAGGAGCAGGGAATCGAACCTGGTTCACCAGATTACGAGTCCACTGCTCTTAACCACTACACCACACTGGCTCTCTGGAAGGTGCATCCAAGAAAAAAATTCTCATAATATCCAGGGGGGCAGGGAAAGGAGAAGAAAGTCAGGTAAAGGAAGAAGTTGGGGCCCCTTAATTTCTGTTCTGATCCCAAACGGTTCACATACACATGGTTTTGACTTGCTTTTACATTTATCTGCTCTAATGGTCCCAGCCACTTCTTCATTCGAGCTCGTGCAGATGCAACATGGCAAACAACAAGCCAGAGGAAAAGCATTCACCTGAAATTACTGCCTTTGTAAGCAGCGAAGCATATATAAGCGGCTTACGGAATGAAAGCATGTTTGAAAGCCAAAATACCAAGTTACTGTTGGGCAATGAAAGATTCGTGTGTGTTTCCCACCCCCGATTCTGAACCCACACTTGTCTGTACATACAAAATGGCTGGACCTCTGCCAATGTTGCATTTATTTACTATCGAAATGCAGCCGCACTGTGGGAAGGCAGGTCTGGCCGAGAAACAGAACCGATGTTGCAATGTGGATTTGAGTTGTTTGCAATTTCATCTGCTGCGAAGGCAAGATGAGAGAAACACACCCAAGAATATTCTCAGGAAGGCAGGAGACCCCCCCCCCAAAAAAAAACCACCCTTAGCAAAGGAACAAATGGGTTGAGGAGGATTAGCTCCTTTAGCCCAAGCTATGCAGTTACCCTGTACAGTGGTACTTCAGGTTAAGTACTTAATTCGTTCCGGAGGTCCGTTCTTAGCCTGAAACTGTTCTTAACCTGAAGCACCACTTTAGCTAATGGGGCCTCCTGCTGCCGCCGTGCTGCCAGAGCACGATTTCTATTCTCATCCTGAAGCAAAGTTCTTAACCCGAGGTACTATTTCTGGGTTAGCGGAGTCTGTAACCTGAAGCGTATGTAACCCGAGGTACCACTGTACAATAAATATATTTGGGGGCTCATGCCCATATATGGGCATGGGGATATGAGAAGGGGTACCTGGTCCACACCCCCTTGTCCCCTCTTCAAAGGTGCTCTTCCATAAAACAAAGCATGAACCCAAATCTCAAGCGCCACAGATCTCTCCATCTGTACAAGCAGGGGAGCTTACCAGACATCATTGCTTTTTGCCTTATTGCTGAAATCCCTCTCTTGGCGGGCAAAGAGAAAACAAAACAATCTGAGCTAATGGATTTGTAACAGATATCAACAGCAAACCACTTGGTCATTCCATTTTCTTCCTTTCACTCTCAAGAGGATCCGAAATGGGTAAATGCTAGTATCAGTCTGCAAGCTATTTTTAATGAAAATGGAGGCACTTTTGTCTAAAGGTTTCCAGGAAGTGGATGCTGAAAGAATCCTAGGCTGCATCTCCACCCCCCAAAAAGGAAAGAATCCTGGGAACTGTAGTCTGTTTAGGGTGCAGGGAACTGTAGCTTTTTGAGGGCTAAACTACAGTTCCCAGGATGAGAGAGAGAGAGAGAGAGAGAATGAGAGTGCGCCCAATCACAATGGAACAAACCACCTAGAGTCAGCTAACCAGGTCCTTCTCTGAAACTGTTCCTTCTCTTGGAAGGCAAAGCTGCAAGTGAGAAGCAGGCTTTGCAAGGGTGTTTTGTACTGCAAATAGCTGTCTTGCAGAAGGCTTGCCACTGTTTTGTCTTTTTAACAGAAAGTAGCTCACACCCCAGCCAAAATCCCTCCCCTGTTGCAAAATAAATTATTATTATTATTATTATTTGAATTTATATACCGCCCTATACCTGGAGGTCTCAGGGTGGTTCACAGAATAAAATCAAAATAGAAAGCCATAAAATACATAATCAAAATAAAAGCAACAACCCAATAGCCCACAAAAGATTATAAGCTCACTGGGCTAGTGGCTGGTGGCTGGTCTGTTGTTTATTAACATGGATAGTACTATTAAAAATAACCAGGACTTTTTTTCTGCCAGAACTCGCCAGAACTCAGTTCCGGCACCTCTCAAGAGGGTGCCATTGCCATTCTAAGAGAATGAAGGAGGTGTTCATGGTGAGTTCCGACACCTCTTTTTCTACAAAAATAGCACTAATTATAATTATAATCAGTGCTTTCTTTTAAAAAAAAATATGTTTAGGGGTTCTCTCATTTTCCTACTCATATTGAAATACTGCCCCTCAATGAGGCCAAACGTAGATTCACAAAATGTTTAGGGATATGCATACCCCTGCGTCCCCCCAGAAAAAAGCACTGATTATAATACGATTTCAAGGTAGCAAAAGATCTGAGCGCCATCCTTTTGGGAAATCTCAAGCAGCTATCATTTGTGCAATTCTAAGCAGGAACAGCACGAAACAAATGACCAAATCCAAAAGCAGACCACATGCGGTGAATTAACATTAAGAAGCAACAGCAGTGAGCTAACCTTCAGTGCAGACATACTTTAGTTCACTTCCAAAGTACTGTCTGAAGCGCCTTTCAGATGTTTGAATAAAGCAAGATCAATACGGTAGGTGGGTGGCGCGGGGGAGGGACCAGGGAAGGTGTCATCACAACATCAAACTCTTTATATTAATCTCCCAGTCTGAAACAAGCCTTTGTGTACATACTTCCACCTCTACAATTCTATGACTCATATAACTTCTGCATGCAGTGGAGAGAGTCCTAGTACTAAGAAAATTTAAGGGCAGGGGGAGTTAGCAGTGCACACATTGTGGTAGTAACAGGTGGGTGGGTGTTTAGTATGTATGAGCTTTGTGCTGTTCCAAAAGCCAGGCTTCTGTAAATAACCCCACCAAAGGTTTTAGGGAGGATTAAATTTTGGGGTTAATACTAGGTCAGACATCCCAGCCAGTGACCGAGATAAGGAAATGACATTGTTCTAAAACTAATCACATCGCTCTGCACCCTCCCCTAGTTCTGTACGCAGCCGCTGTCTCTTGCTTTTCCCCTTTATCTCAAGCCTCTGGGTGGCTGCAGGGTTTTCACTATCAGCGATGATAAGCAGGAAGAAAACAGCTGAGATTGTTTAGACGTCATTGCGTGGTGGGGCTCCCTCCCCCGCCCCACCTACAAATGTCCATATATTCACTGGAATCTGTAGTTCAGAATGAAAAACTGCACATTCGTAGATGAGTTCAGGGCCCAATTGTGTAATGTCTTGGTTTTACTTTTTAGCAGGTGGTGATCAGGGTTGGGACCACAACATGTGGAGAGGTGGCTTAAACCTTCTCCCTTGTATCTTGGTGCTGGTGAAAATCTCTCCCCACTCCTGCCGCCATTTCCATTAGAGGGTGTGTGCGTGTGCGTGTGTGGCTGCCATGGTTCCAGTGAGAGTCCCCTCTCTCTTGTGCAAATAGCAGCTGGGGAGGGGGCATATTTTCACTGAGGCTGTGATCATCGCTCACAGTTGCATAAATGCTTCTCCCCCTCTCCATTTTATCCCCACAACAACCCTGTTATGTATTTTAGACTGCGAGAGTGATTGGCCCAAGTGACCTTCATGGCTGGGTCAGGATTTGAACCCTGGTCTCCCCTATCTTCCAACCGCTACACTACACTGGTTCTCATTAAAGACCAACTGTCCATGTGTCATGGTCCTGATTTTATCTCTCACCCCCCCGCCCCCGTTATTCTTTTTTTATTTTAAAAAGTTGTTTATTGGGTTTTTCAGATTAAAATTTTACAGTCACATGTCCAACATACAACATAAAAACAATATTCCAAAGAGTCTCTTGGACTTCCCTCCTCCCCTCTGTGCGTCCTGTTGTTAATCATTTCTTCCTGCATCTTTTATAATAATCCTATTTTTTTATCTCTCCATTGTATCCAAAATTCACCATTAAAACTACAAGTGATATTCCAATCCTACTAACGATTTTAACCATTTACAATGGTCTTTAGGATAAGTTATAAATTTTCCCCATTCCTTATTTAAAATGTGGTCTTTCAGATTTCTGATTCTTCTGGTCATTATAGTCATTTTGGCACAATCCATCAATTTGATCTGCCATTCTTCTCTGGTAGTGACTTTATCTTTCTATCTCTGGGTCAATAACATCCACGCAGCCCTGGTCGCATACATAAATATTCTTTTCTGCTCTCTTGGGATTTCGACACCTCAAACCTGTTATTCTTAAAGTAAAAGCCCACATGTGAAATGCATGTATCTCTTTAACCCAGAGCTTTCTGAACTGTGTGTAGCGACACATTGGTGTGTCGACTGCAGTGTGTAGGTGTGTCAAGAGAACACTCTCTGTTATCCTCTCAGGGCTGAAAAGGGGCTAGTTTAACCTCAAGTTTGCTAGTAAAACTGAATTACCATGTCACGAAATGATGTATGTCTAAAAAGTGTGCCACCAACATGAAAAGTTTGGAAAGCTCTGCTTTAACATGTCATCCAGTTTGGCTATCCGCCCAGTAGGGTGTTAGGTTGTGTTGGCTTTGCAAGAATCAAGCAGAGCAACTATATACGAGGCAGAATCAGGCCAGACATAGTAAATCAACAGCAAGTAACTCTATGTTACTTTATTTTCTGAAATGCCAGTCCCTCAAAGCCCATTGTTGTGACCCGACAATAAAATAATGTCAAAGCACCTACCGTATTTTTCGCTCTATAGGACGCACCAGACGATAAGACGCAGCTAGTGGGGGGGGGGAGGAAACAAGAATAAAACAATTCTGAATCCCAGAAGCCAGAACAGCAAGAGGGATCTGGCTTCTGGGATAGCCTCTTGCTGTTCTGGCTTCTGGGATAGCCGCTGAAGCCTCTCCTGGGCAGCGGGATGAAGGCTCCCCCTGCCTGGAAGAGGCTGTGCACGGGTAAGCTGCCCTCTGTACCTTCCCCCATCTCCCGCAAGAACCGTGCGCTCTTTAAAGGGAACGCGGTTCTTGGGAGCTTTTCTGGGATGTGGGGGAAGGGACAGAGTCGCACGCTCTGTCCCTTCCCCCAAGAGCCGCGCGAAGCCGCAGGGCACGGGGAGCCTTCATCCCCGTGCCCTGTGGAGGCTTTGCGGGGCTATCCAAAAACCAGAATAGCTAAAGGGAGCACTGTGCAGCACTCTCTCTAGCTGGTCTAGCTTTGTGCAAAGCCTCTGCTGCCCTGCAGAGGCTTTGCGCTGCTAAGCCAGAAGCTAGAACAGCAAGACGGAGCGCTGCGCAGCACTCCCTCTCCCTGTTCTGGCTTCTGGCTTAGCCGCGCAGCCTGCATTCGCTCCGTAAGACGCACACACATTTTCCCTTACTTTTTAGGAGGGAAAAAGTGTGTCTTATAGAGCGAAAAATACAGTATGTTTGCATAGAAAGCAGCATGGGAAATGCTGGTTGCTGGCCTTGAGCATGGGTAGATTCACTATTAAGGCTGCAATCCTGTACAGACTTACCTGGGACTAAGCTGAGTAGGGCTTACTTCCAAGTAGACATATACAGAATTGCACTATACGACACCAACTGCAACAAAGCTATATTTGGCCCGATCGCATCCCTACGATATATAGTGACCCCATTCTGTGAGAACCCATTGTAGCTTTGTGGCTACAAGTTCTCTCCATTAATATGTGAAGCTGGCAGATAATGAAACAGAACTTTATAGATTTTTCCTCCAGGGCCAATTTACACATTATTAGCTGTTTGATTTGGGGGATTGATTGTTAAACCAATCTAGAAATTATAGCTCTGTGAGGGGAACAGGGGGTCTCCTAATAAATTACAGTTTCCTGGAGTCTTTAGGAGAAACCATGACTATTTGACGTGGTGTGAAACTGCTTTAAATTGGTTATTTCAACAAGCCTTCTTATGAAAATGATTCCTTGTTTTTATAAACTTATCTGACAACCCATTTCTGTATTTCTGTTTCTCTGGTGTATTCTGCTTGATTTTTCCTGCTATGTTGTTTGTATCAATGTATATATTTTGGTACACTTAAACTGTCAAAAACAGCAGTGCAGTATTCAGTAAAGCACAAAACCTGATTGATAATCCTGTCTGATCCACATGTTAAGTCAAAGAGGTGCAGACTGGGATACTTCATACTGGAATTAATAAATATCACATTTCTCAAGCAACCCAAAGCAACATTCCAGGTCATTGTGTGACATTGTCAAAACACCGTAAAGCCACGACACATTGTAGTTGCATTATTGAATGCTGACCACTAGCTTTCTGGTGTAGTAATTTGTGACAGCCCATAATGCATGAGTCATATATATTCAGAATAAAATGTCTTTCAAAGTTCATGACATTAATCATTAGCTGGTTATTTAATTTAGCATTGACTGCAATATGATTTGTAATTACAAAATTCCTGCTCTGAGTCATGAAATGCAGAAAGAGGGGGAAATGTACAGTGGTACCTCAGGTTACATACGCTTCAGGTTACATACGCTTCAGGTTACAGACTCCGCTAACCCAGAAATAGTGCTTCAGGTTAAGAACTTTGCTTCAGGATGAGAACAGAAATCGTGCTCCGGCGGCGCAGCAGCAGCAAGAGGCCCCATTAGCTAAAGTGGTGCTTCAGGTTAAGAACAGTTTCAGGTTAAGAGTGGACCTCCGGAACGAATTAAGTACTTAACCCGAGGTACCACTGTATTAACAAAGGCAGAATATTTCATCTTACATACACAGAGTGTTTACTCCAGCACTGTAACAATCTTCCTGCCCAGAAGTATATGCCTAAGACGGATGGATCCTTTTGATACGTACAGATGAACTGCTCTAATTATATCCCCTGCCTGCCTTTGCTGGTTTAGATCTTAAAATTACTGAGCATGAGTCTAACGATCAATGGCATGCTTGACAGCTACTCCATGTCATAGATCATGGAGTAAATCCAATCTGGAAAATCTCTATTATATTGGCATAAACATCATGGTATCAAAGTGACTGAAAAGAATGTTTTCAGAAAAGGACTTGTGGAGGCAGAGGGGGGTGGGGGGAGAAAGAAAGAAAGAAAGAAAGAAAGGAAGGAAGGAAGGAAGGAAGGAGGGAGGGAGGAAGCCATGCTTTTATTATAGCTCAAACAGTAGGATTTTCAAAATCTGGGCATTTATAATATACACTACAGCTGTAGATATCCACTGCCTTGCAAGACATCTTTGAAAGGAAAAAAAGCTAAGGAGTAAACCCTATAGAAATCCAGAGTGGATTCCCTAAGACAGTTGGATGGCGCCTTGTACACCTCCTTCCAGCAACTCCTGCAGCCAAGCTGATGCCAAATGTATCACTCTGCTTTCCTTTGGACCACATCTGCGAGGTTCAGAGAGGGGTTTTGTCATCTGGGCAGCCAAGAATTCCCAGACGCACTGCCCAGGAGAGGTCAGTGCGGGAGGCAGTTATGAGCTGCAGGTCTTTGCAGCCACAGCGGGTGCTGTGATTCTCCAGCAATTTGACTTTATTCCTGGAGGTGCTCTCCATTGCCCCTGAGACAGATGGATGCCAAGAACAGCCATAGCACAGCTCCTACTATGTGATGAGCTTGATTAAGGTCAGGATCCAGCCCCTCATCTGTGTGGTGCTTATTTCAGGAATCAAATATGTAAGGCCATCCTATTAGGCTTGTCATGTGTCCAGCAAATTCTGGACATGCCAGGAAATTGGATGTCTAAAATGGTGTCCTGGGAAAAATTTTGAATTTTAAGAGATGTCCAGAATTTCCTGTACGTATGGCAACCCGGGGTTTTTTTCCTGTTGTTTTCTGCTGAGCAGTGGGAGGAATGCCCCCCTCCCCTTACGTGGGAGACCCCAAGCTTGCTTGCGCCCTGCGCAGCAGCCCCAACTGAGGAGGAGGAGGGAAGCGTGGACGATAGAAAGAGGGCGAGAGCAGCCCCGAGCGCCTGCCAGCCATCCAGAGACTCCGTTATCCTACCCCTGCCTTCCTCCCCCCTCGAGAGCTGCTGTGTTACCTTCTCAAAGCTGCCGCAGCTGCTGCCTCAGGGAGGACAATTGATCCCAATCCCAGCCTGCAGAGCAGGAGGCAAAAAGCCTGGCTAAAAGGGAACAGGGTGCCAGTGGCTGCTTGCTCGGGAGCAGGTCCAAAGGAACTTACCTCCTCGGTCCCACCCTCCCAAAGCAGGAAGGAGGAAACCTCAACAAGGAGTTGAGAAATGTGTCCTCAACAACTTTGGGGATGTCAGGGATTTTACTTTTTGAAATATGGCCAGCCTATATTCAGGTGGCCACAGCTACTCCACAATTTGCATCAGAATCACGAAATTAAAAGACGCCTGCTTCTTGGGAGAAAAGCAATGACAAACCTAGACAGCATCTTAAAAAGCAGAGACATCACCTTGCCAACAAAGGTCCGTATAGTTAAACTATGGTTTTCCCAGTATTGATGTATGGAAGTGAGAGCTGGACCATAAAGAAGGCTGATCGCCGAAGAATTTATGCTTTTGAATTATGGTGCTGGAGGAGACTCTTGAGAGTCCCATGGACTGCAAGAAGATCAAACGTATCCATTCTGAAGGAAATCAGCCCTGAGTGCTCACTGGAAGGACAGATCGTGAAGCTGAGGCTCCAATACTTTGGCCACCTCATGAGAAGAGAAGACTCGCTGGAAAATACCCTGATGTTGGGAAAGATTGAGGGCACAAGGAGAAGGGGACGACAGAGGACGAGATGGTTGGACAGTGTTCTCAAAGCTACAAACATGAGTTTGACCAAACTGCGGGAGGCAGTGGAAGATAGGAGTGCCTGGCATGCTCTGGTCCATGGGGTCACGAAGAGTCGGACATGACTAAACGACTAAACAACAACAACAACTAGATGGGATCCCCTGCTTCAATCAGCACCAGCTGCAGAAGTCCAATAAGCAGAGCACAAAGAGAAGATGCCTTATCTTCTGGACAGCTCCTCTTCTGCTCAGCACCAAACACTCCCCACCAACCAGCTGACACTGCTGGACAGCTCCCCAGGCACCAGCCAGACAAGGCCAAGCAACACTGAAGCCTGGCCCATTCTCAACAGCCCTGCCAAGTCTCAGATCAGGGGAAACAAATGGGCTGCCTCAGTGGGCAGAGTCGCCCTTGAGCCCCTGGGACACTCTTCAGACTTCAGCCCTTGCAGTTCTCAAGGGTCCTGAAAGCTTCATACATTATCCTCTTAATGGTGTGCACATCTATGCATGTACTGTCTTGTTTAAAGGCCAAGGTGCAAAACAACCTTCAGTCATAAGGTACTAGCTGACAATAATAGCTGCTATACCTTGAAATCTGCAGACAAAATCACACGTAGAAAGGCCATTATCTGGCATGGCTGTCTTGGAGTAATAGATCATTGCAGCGCAAGGACTAGGGGGCTTGTTGACTACAACCAGAATGATAATAATAATAATAATAATAATAATAATAATAATAATAATAATAATTTTATTTATATCCCGCCCTCCCCAGCCAAAGCCGGGCTCAGAGTGGCTAACAACAGTAAAAAATACAACATTCTAAAATTAATTCAAATCAGATTAATGGCAGCTATTGGGCTAGAGTTCTGTGAGGATTGCCAAAGGAGGGGGTCAGGCTGTGCCCTGACCAAAGGCCTGGTGGAATAGCTCTGTCTTGCAGGCCCTGCGGAAAGATGTCAAGTCCCGCAGGGCCCTAGTCTCTTGTGACAGAGCGTAGGTATGAGGGTCCTAGGCCGTGATCTGAGCAGCAGCTCCATGACTCCATGAAGAGCAGTTGGGATTAAGGTGATGCTGCTGCTACAGAGGAATACAACTACTGCAAGTAAGAATTATTATTTTTTAGAGCAAAATAGGGAACAAGGACAACTTCACAAAGGCTAAGGGCATGGATGTGCCTCCAATCCAATAATACATAATGGTCATTTCTTCTTCCTCCTTCCTGTCTAATCCCCAAACAGCAGTTACCTGCCCCCCTGGTGATTTGGAAAATTTGCTGAGACAAGTTCAAAGTGAATAAGGAAGGGGCTGACTTATGGATGAGATGGGACAAAAAATATGAAGGGGGGAAAAAAGAAATTTAAGCTAAGCAAACCTCACCATCTGTCTCGTAATTCTGTGCATTATGCGACTGACAGAAAAACTCACAGTATGATTCATGTGGGAATAAAGCAGTGGCAGATTTCCAGATCTTCTGCATCTGGAAACCCTTTACATTGTTATCAAAATATTTAATAAACAGTCAGACATATTTAGGGAACAAAACTTTTGAGGGTATATTTTGCATTAATATATTGCTACTCACTAGATGTTTTATGAGTTCTGAAGGTCAGTGGAAGGTGTGAGTGCCCTTGATGACAATGAATGCAAGTTTCTGGTCTAGCCTTGCATGGTAACATTACAAATAGTGATAGGAATTAAGTTTCTAAATCCTATGTTTTGCCTTTGATATACTTAGGTGGTCAGATTGCTGTACGAAAGTCAGGTATGGCTTCCAGGCCGCTCTCAAGTCTGGCTCTTGAGTGAGATTGATGTTTCTTCATTCCTTTAAAAACCTTTATATTTTGCCTTTCCAAATAAAAATTCCTCCACGGCTGCTTGCATATTAAGATCAACTGTAACAGGATAAAATAGCCCCCAGCCTGAAACTTCCAAATTCAAATAACTGATTCCATAAAAGAGTTAATAAAACCAGCAGTAAAAGATCCATAGAGTTGAATAACATGCCCTATCTGAAAGCCTCCAGAAATAGCTGTCCAAAAATAGTGGAATGTGGTGGACTTCTGGCTGTCAGCTGGTAAGAAGTTCCAGAAGTGTGGGGACACCACAGAAAAAGCCTTCTCTCTTCTGGGCCTTGAACATGCCTTCAAGGCTGTTATTCATTGCATCTTCCTGAATGGCATGGTCAGGAGAGGGGCTGGAAGAAAACAGACTGTTTTGAATAACTTTGCTTATCGTAAAAAGTCTGACCTGGGGGGGGGGGATGGATTTGTTGTGGAAGAGTTCCAAATCAGCTTTAATTGCACAACCTGAATTTGCCCATGTGTGATTAAATCCCACCTAAAAACAGCAACACTCTGGAACAACCACAGTTAGCAATTCCCATGGGTGGGAATGTGTTTGAAAAGGCAACCATAGAGGCTGGCTAGAGTGGCAGTCCCAGCTTCCCTTTCCTGTTCTTCTTTGGTTTTGTCCAAATTTCTTTGCACCTACTTCTTATATATTTGTCCCATTTCCCCCGCCGCCCCTGCCCCCGGCAGTGCTAGTGATTTCTGGCAAATTTTAGCACAGGGGGAAAAATGCTTCAGCTATCAAAAACATGGGAAACACATGTAGTGAGCTAACAACCAGAGCATAAATGGGAAAAAAGAGGTGTTATATAGCTGTTATAGGAACTATACTGATTATGGGTTGCAGCCAATGCTGTTTCATCTTTGTATCTTCAGACTGTAAGAACATTTGTTGTCCCATTCCTTTCTAGTGCGCCATTTTAGTGCCGAAATATTTGAAATTGACAGTAACTTTCTCATCGACCCTCTCTGTTCTTTTCCTCCCCAGCCTAATTACACGCTTTTAACGTTACTGAGCAATTACTTTCATGGAAAATTGGGTGCACTTTTTGATGATATCTGCGCTACTCATCGAACATTAGGTAACTTCATGTTGCAATTAGGATCACTTTCACTCTACTCAGACTGAAATTCCATCATCTCTCCTCAAGCTTGTGTTATCTACACTTGAAATGAAAACTGGGTTGTGTGTTTCTGACCTCAAGAAGAGAAGCCAAAATCACATCCCCAGTCCAGGTATCCAGTAGCAGTTGATGGTAGTGATTCATTAATTTATTATTGGGACTACAGGATAAGCTAAGGGATTATGTTTTTCTGTTTTTTTGTTTACTGGGCCTAGTTTTTGTTCCGTGTTAGTCAGTGTGGACTAAGTGAAGCAACAAGGAGATAAGGAGAAGCAATGGTCTCATTTGGGATAAGGCAGGGATGGGAGATCTCAGCCCACCAGGGGTTCCACTTTGGCCCATGGGGTCTTTTTTAAAGAACCACACTCACCTGTCAATCAACTGAGACCACTAGATGGGCAAGAGGCAGAATTCAGTTCTGCTGAGTTTAGCTGTGCTGTTGATCCCTGCAGAAAGTAGGATTGAACCCACCTACTCATCAGCTGATTGTGAGAGGGGGGTTAAATCCTGCCGGGTTGGCTGCATGAGCTAGTTCTCCGCCGTGAACTCCCACCCATAGCTCAACCTTGCAGTAAGCAGGATTTAACCCCCTGCCCTTCAGCTGATGAGAGGAAGTTCAAATCCTTCTCCAGAGCTACCTCCCCAACTTTGCCAGGTGGGTGGAACCACCCACCTGTCAATCATCTGATGCCATCGTTTCTGGGGGGAGAAAATGATCTGCTTCCCCGTGCCAAAAGGGTTCTCTGCTCCAGGTAGAAAGCAACTTCTTATGTTCCACTGCAACAATGGGGCCCATTCCCATAATTTTGACATTTCCAAAATGGTTGCTTTAGAGCAGTGATGGCCAAACTTGGCCCTCTAGCTGTTTTTGGACTACAACTCCCATCATGCCTAGCTAACAGGACCAGTGGTCAGGGATGATGGGAATTGTAGTCCCAAAACAGCTGGCGGGCCAAGTTTGGCCATCACTGCTTTAGAGGAAACTATAGGAAAGTATAATAATGCAACATAATAATGCAAGGAATGAATAATAATGAAGGAAGTATAAATGAGATAAAAATGAAGGAAGTATAATAATTGCACATAATAATGCAAGGAATGAAGAGGTTCTGTATACATGTACACTACAGTGGTGCCTCGCAAGACGAAATTAATTCGTTCCGCGAGTTTTGTCGTCTTGCGATTTTTTTCGTCTTGCGAAGCATGGTGTCGGGAAAGTTTTGGAAAAGCTTCAAAAATCACCAAAGTCTTTAAAAACCTCTAAAAAGGCTACTATGTACACTGCGTTCTATGAGTTGCTCCTCGAAGTCAAGTCGCAACTGTATTAACGGTGTTAAGAAAAAGGAAACAAACTTGCAAGATGTTTCCGTCTTGCGAAGCAAGCCCATAGGGAAAATCGTCTTGCGAAGCAGCTCAAAAAACGAAAAACCCTTTCGTCTAGCGAGTTTTTCGTCTTGCGAGGCATTCGTCTTGCGAGGCACCACTGTATCCACAAAATGTGTGTGTGTGTGTGTGTGCAGAATGAATTCCAAACAAAGCAAGATGTTCATGACTTTTGGTTTATACAGTACAGCTCAGTACTGACTCTCCAGGTTTTTAGGTAGGGGGCATTCCCAGCCCTAACAGGAGATGCCAGGGATTGAATTTACTATCTTCTGCATGAAAATCAGATGCTTCACCCTAAGCTAAAACCCAAGCAGCAGTTATTGGGACATAGATATGGACGCAATGTATTGTTGCATGTTCTTTTCAAATGCAAAATGGGTTCTCTCTTGTTTTTCCCCACGCAAGAGCTCTCTTTGCTTGCAGCTTTGCAGTAAAGATAACTGCAATTTACTCAGAGTGCAACCAAAAGCAACAGTATCCAACAATATTTTTTTAGACCTAATAGCTAAGAAGAAAGTTACTGTATGTTGAAATACCCAGTAATCTTGGTGCTGATTTCTGCACACTTGTCTATGGTACATATATGGAAAACACCACCGTACAGAATTTGGACCTGATGCTTTGTACAAGAACATCTGGAATATTGCTATTTTGGAAAAAGAGATACTCCATATTCGAATGTTGCAAGGCACAGCTACACCAGATATTTTATTTTATTTTTTTCCCCCAGGAATAAATGCCACTTGTAACAAGTTACACCAGCTTCCCATGTGATCTGGAACTCTTGATTTATTGTATTCTGTGGCAAAAGAAAAGTTATGTGATTTGTCCCAATGGTTCCTTATTCTCTCTCCCCACCCCACCCCTTTGTAATACATTTTTCTTACATTCAAATCATTTTTTAAAAAATTAAGAAAATATTATATTCATAACTGAGCAGGGAATAATAAACAGAAACATTTGCAAAAATAAGCAGTAGGTTTTAATACAATTAGCTGCCTTAACAGCAAACTGTAAAGACAATTTGCATAGCAAGACCATTTTCAGAATATCTACATGCCTCGTCGTTCTGGGCTTCTCATTAAGCGGAAATGCAGTTTCAATCTAAAGTGTTTATTAATAATACTCATATTGTGGAGCAAAACGCACCATAGGACAAATATTAAAAGAAAACCATTTGATTTTGCTTCCTTGCTTGAAAGAGTAAGCCTTTAGCAGCTCGCCCTCTGCTGGCTGCAGAGCGAAATGAGCTGGAGCAGCAACAATAAATGAAGAACGGTATGGTTGGAAAGCTGAAAAGAAGAAAATAACAATCTGCAAAACTGTCCCAAAGTGAAATGGAAAAGCTAACAAGCAACCCAGGTGTGGAGGATGTTGATTAGGGAGAGGCCATAGCTCAGTGGAAGAACATCGGCTTTGCATCCAGAAGATCCTGGGTTCAAGTCCTGCTATCTCCGGGGTGGGCTGTCAGAGATGCCTGCCAGAAGCCCTATAAAGCCAGAGCCAATCACTGCAGACAATACTGGCCTAGACAGGCCAATGGTTTGGCTCATTGTAAGGCAGCCCCCTGTGTTTTTATTCCACCTTCCATATCTTCTTTCAGAGAGGCAGTATGATGTAGTAATATAAAGGAAAAATATAGCTGAACAGAAATTTTGATCCAGGCCTCACTGGTGCAAGTTGCGGCACAATAGCTCAGTTGGTGAGAGCGTGGTGCTGATAACATCAAGGTTGCAGGTTTGATTCCCATATGGGACAGCTGCATATTCCTGTGTTTCAGAGGGTTGGACTATGTTATGTACTGAGTTGAATAGGATCCAAAAAGCAGCAGTCTGATTGGTCCTAGAACAATGTAGCAGTATGATTGGTCCGCAGGAGCCACCCAATCCAGCTCCAGGTGGAAGTGAATCCGCAACCTGATTGGCCCACGGGAGAATCCTGGAATTAGCCAATCACGTGCGGCCCATTGTGTAAATAATGTATATAAAGCAGATATTTGGGGAGAACTTTCATTCCTCACTACTATGAGCTGAATAAAGAGCATGAAATCCACACTCGACTCCGAGTATATTTCAGGCTAGATGATCCTCAGTGTCACCTCCAACTCTACAATTCTATGATTTGAAGTTCATTTACTTTAGCAAAAGTTCACTTCGCCACATTGCTTCTCTGTGTGGGTTTCATGAAGCAAAACAAAGGTGTGCAGGTTATGGCCAATTTGGAAATTTGCTGTTGACTCTGTTGTGGCTAACTAGCTTTGGAGCTCTTAGAAAATCCACAATTAATAAGTCTTTTAAACAGGTTTGAGTGGACCTAGCCACTCCTGTGGAGAACTTGGATTTTTAAGAATATGAAACTTTGAAGCAGTTCCTGTTTTAGAGCAAGTTGACCATCGAACCTGGAAGCCTGTACAGCGCTTGGAATTTAGGGCAGCTGCAAGCTATAGAGTTGTTTTTCTTTGTAAACCAGCACTCTGATAGTGTACTAATTATTGTTCAATTGTTTTACTGGCACAGATTTTCGTAGTTTTTTTTTCTATGCAGTATCTACTTTGTATACTTCGCTTTCTATAGAGTATCTATTACAATGAATAGGCCCCTCATCCCATACTTTTCATAAGCCCATGTCTGATGCCATAATATCCCATACATTATCTGCCAGTTTGTGATATTTATTTGGTGAATACTGTATCACTCCTCAGGAGTGGCGCTCCCTGAGCAATCTTGAGCAAGTTTCTCTCACTCTCCCTGGGCAACCTTTCTGCACAACCGTGATAGGTCTGGAAGCCTTTTGAAAGGAATACCTCTGCTCACTCAGAGATATATTTACAGTCTTTATTTACATACAGTGGTACCTGGGGTTAAGTACTTAATTCGTTCCGGAGGTCCGTTCTTAACCTGAAACTGTTCTTAACCTGAAGCACCACTTTAGCTAATGGGGCCTCCTGCTGCTGCCGCGCCGCCAGAGCATGATTTCTGTTCTCATCCTGAAGCAAAGTTCTTAACCTGAAGCACTATTTCTGGGTTAGCGGAGTCTGTAACCTTAAGCGTATGTAACCTGAAGCATATGTATCCTGAGGTACCACTGTACATATGTACAAGGTACAGAACATAGCTTCATGCGTCCGAATCCTCGGCAGCAGATCCAGGAAGTGGGAGCTTTCTGCTCCTCCGCCAGCAGAGGAGCTTGGGAAGGCCCAAGCGCCTCCTTTGTTCCCTATGTTTTAACCCCCTCCTGTCCTGTGCTGAAGGAATGGGCATTGAATCTCCCTCTGTCCCCGAACTAGTCGAGTGGTGTTGCTGCTCTCCAGCATCCGGGAGTGTCCTTGCTGCATGAATTCCTTCCCCTTGCTTGTCCTCCTCTCCCTCTCCTGTCTTTTCTAAAGGCTCCTGTTCTTCCCCCTCCCTCAGCTCTGGGGCATTCCCTGGCAGCCCCGCAACAACAACTTGGCCAACTCAAGATTGCTGCCTGAAGCAAAAGAGAAGATTACCCGCTCCATTCCACATACAACCATATATTGCAGCCTTTTAGTCCCCAAGGCTTAGTCAGTACAGCATCTTAATCTCAGGGTAATGATTTTGAGCCCCACATTGGGCAAAAGATTCCTGCATTACAGGGGGAGGACTAGATGACTCCCATGGTCCCTTCCTATTCTACAATATTCTATGATTTTGAAGTCCCAGTCAGGCAAGAGAAACATGGAGGGCTGTTGACCCTTGGGCTGGGCCGCCATCTGTCGTTAAAATTCTTCTCAATATTGATCCAGAGTAGATTCCAATATATAGTTAGCACAGTAAAAACTTACACATATTGCAGGCTTCCCAAAAATAGACCAGAGGCAATTAATATTTCATCCAGCAGAGCTTTACTGCTACCGAAGGCAAATGAGCATAATGGCTACAAATCCAATACGTTCAGGATTGGCACTGTCCATAAGAAATCCAGATGCAGCATAAACTTAACACGAAGCATACTATGTACAGAACACCACATCAGAAGGAAGAGATAGAAAAAGAGAGTGAAACCCATGCTTCTTCTGACCTATTTTTATAGTCAGCATGACCTTGACAGAATATAACAGAACCAGTTCAAGCCAGCTGTACTAGCTTCTCTGAAGGAATAACCCAAACATCATGAACCTTCTGCTTTTTTCTTTCGCACAGAGAAGCTTCCAGAACCCTCTTGAATTAATTAGAATAGGAAAGATCTCTACACATCAGATCAATACTTTCTACACCAAGAAATGCAAACTGACACCATCTGTGGCAGGTAAGCTGTGTCCATTTTGCTGCTTCCCAAGTTGATGCAGAATATGCACATCACAACACTGAACTGTCTTCCTCTCCCTATTTATTGAGGCCTACGACTCTACAACATTCTGGCTCCCCCGGTGGCCTATTAAAGGAGATAATATATATATATATATACACACATCACGTAAGATCAGCCAGTAAGTTGTTCTCCTTGGCAGATTCGGCCAGCAAAAGATGGAGGTGGGATGGCTGGGAGTGGAGCTATTCGTATCTGCCCTGAGAACTTTATTATGGGAGCCTTTTTCCAGCAAGTCATAAAGAGAAAAATATTTTCTTGAGCTAAGCAATAACACACATGGCCTTGTTAAAGTTAGAGCGGGATGGGCACTGCTGCTTAGGTTTTCCAGATGTGTCGAATGAAAAAGAACTCATTTCCACATGCAAGCGCTTGAGCCCTGACTGGGAATGCAAAAGTCCTTAACTGAGAAGATCCCTTCTCCGTCCATCATAGACTATGTGGGTCATCATAATCATCACTCACAAACAAGAGCTAATCCCTTTTCAGTGACCTCAAAAATCACCACGCATGACCTCAGCAAATAAAGCCATCTTAGTGTCCCCTGTCCTTTTAACAACCGTCAATCACAGAGATAACTAAAAATGGCAATGTATGTATTTCATTGGTCACTAAAACTCCAGGTGGAAGAAAAAGTTTCAAATGTAGTTCTTCTTTAATTTGGCAGGGCCTGTTAATAGACCTCAATGACTGCAGGTGCTGTGCGTTTGTTTAGGATGCAATTTTGCTGTGAAAGCTCAATAGCAAAGAGAAAAGAGAAGCCCCTTTTTATTGTTGCTTATTAAAAACAACAATAACCTCTTTCCATTTCAGCAGCTTTGCATTTGGAGATTATCTATTAAAACACACACATGGCAAAAATCATGGGTTTTGATAAGCATTACCAGGAAAGAGATTAACAATATTATCCAGCTGAATTCAGGGAGCTCAATGAGGCTTTAACCTTCTGATTTTGTTACACTTGTGGAACTCAAGCAAATCTAATGAGTAAAAGTAAATGTCAAACATTTATCTAATGCGGAGGACCTCTTCACTCCTAGATTCCTGTGACAGCTGGCTGAACAAGAATGAGAGATGTAGCGGTCTTTCGTTTTATTCCTTAACTGAATATACAAAATATTGAACAAATGGGTATTCATCCCAACATGAACTACTCCATTTAGAGCCTTAACCTTATTTTTAAATAGGCAGAGCAAGAAAAGTGTCTGCGATGTCACAACTTTTGAGCTTAGCTGCATCTCGGTTTTTTAAAAAAGCCTAAATTTGTGAAGGGTTTTTGTTTCACTGCACTTTCAAATGTATTTGAGTTAGGATTTCATACTCCACTTTTCCAACAGCAACGTTGATTTCTCAATTATAATAGCTTTAAAAATCAGCAAACATCACAATCCCTATCATCATATCAAGAACACAATAGCATATAAATAAGGTTTTTAAAAAATCAGCAAACAATTAATACAATTCTGTACAAACTCATAGTGTGGCAACATTTCAAGGATGGCCGGGGAGCACTGCTGCTGTTGCTGGCATCCATCTGTCTTGAGAGACAATGGAGGATGCCACCGGGGGTGAAGTCAAACTGCTGCGTTAGCAACACCCAAGTGACCTCCCTGGGGCACAAGCCTAGGCAGCGTGTATGGAAGTCCTGGGCTGCCCAGGACCTTGTGGATACCAAGGAGTGAACCTGGGGCTTGAAGTTAGTAACCCATAGGTTAATTCTGTTGACTGTTAACCAACAAAGAGGTGGTCATGGTGGTGTTACCTAGCAACCAGTCAGAATGGCATCATCTTTGCCATTCTGATCCATGCTCTGATTGGCTGTGCAGTTCTGAGAGAGTTTTCCCCTGTATGTTTCATTGTTGGATATCCTCCTGCAATGAACTAGGTCTGAACAATGTGAAAAAAGGGGGAGGGGGAGAACACACCTCTCTGTTTATTTCTCCTCTTTCCCCCCAGTTATTTTGTTCACTTTACCCTGCAAGGTATTATTGCTTTCTTTTTCTTTCTGTGTTATTTAAGAGAACCTTCTAACACTGGGGGACTTCTGCAAACAAAGGAATATTCTCCTTTACTGAGCTGGGCAGAAAAGCAGCTGTTGCCACCACATCTATCTGACTCTGATGTGATAGCACAAGCATTTGTGACGACATGTCTGCCCAATGGCAATAGCATGGCATTAACTGTTGTGCTGTCCACTTCCAGCTTGTGGCTGTAAGGTGATGGACACACCTTGGAAAACAGCCACCGACATTACATCCTGGTCCTTCAGGCCCTCTCCTCTGTGCATCAGCATAATGACTGACGCCTTGCCTCTCCTTAAGTGCTCTGCCTGTTTCCTCGTTCCCAGCAACCAGAGAACCCTGATCTCCGAATGTCACGAGCGTGTTGCTATTTGACTACCAGGCAGACAACTTAATTGAATAATCACTAATATGAATAGAACCAGAGCACTTCCGATGTACATCTCAGAAGCAAGCAATCAGTTTAAGCTAAAGGACTAATGAAGACCTTGGGGAGAAGGAAATATAATACTGGGGTTGAGAGAGAATTAATCTTCAGACTCAGGTAGCTTGCTGCGTATTACTGCAGGCAGTAGGGACAAGTCAGGGGGGTGTCACATTCTGTGAAGAGATAATTGGAAACCATTTTTTTCCCTCAAAGAGAGTTTCAGGGAAATAAATTGGTGGTATTGAAATGCACTTGAGCTGTTAAATGGAGGAGGTCATCTGAAGGGCAAGCAATGGCATCGATGGGGTAATGGAGACACTGAGCTTGAGTAATGCAGATTGGGTTGGACATAATGAAGCAATCTGTCAACCTCTTTCCTTTCTCCTGACAACCCTACCACCACTACTTCTTGCATTAACTAGCATTAAACATGCAGGTTATATGTAGCTGAATTTCCCACAGATGGGAGTTGGAGTCCAACAAAATCTGAAGGGCGCCGCTTTGGAAAATCCAGTGTAGAGACTGAGTCAGTCTTGTTGCAGTCAGGCCCACTTCACAGCAAACATGCACTGAATTGGGTTGCATGGTCCACCAAAATCAGTGCAATTGAATTCTGTGTTGGATTTTGGTCCTGAAGTTCTCCACCCCTCCTTCTGTTCCTTGGTGCAGGATACAAGATACAAATGGAGAAAGAGTGCTACAAAAAGGTGTCTGCTTCTTGAACTAAACAAAGCTAAAATAACAGAGCAAAGATTTCCTGTTTGGATGGTCTTCCTTTCTTCTTCATGCATAATGTCCAATAATTTTAAAAAGGGAAAAAACAGTAGGTACTTATTTTTACAGTTTTTATTTGCAAAAGGTAAGCAACGGCTCAGGCATGAATATTTCCTTGTGATTCTTCCCTGCTTACTTAAATCAAGTCAGGCTATGTTTCTATTTTCTGAATGCATAAGTTCTCTAGGCAAGAATACATACCTGTTCCATGAACTGTGAAACAGCATGCTCAGGTTTGCAGCTTCCAGAAAGGTAACTCTTGACTGAGGGGCTGAAGCCAGTGCTGCTTCTTCACAGATACTGGCATTATTTGTGTGTTCCCATGCAAAATGTGGATATCAGGCCTCCAAAGATAACCAAGAATTGTGGCCGATCTAAGACCTTTGGTTGCCTAAGGAAAAGATGGTGCCCACACCCCAATTCTACATACAGAATGTAGCCAGCCAGAATGTGTACTGTCAAAAAAGAAAAAACGCCTCCTATGAGATCTGAAAGAAACTAAGGCTGCCACCCTATGCATATTTTCCTAGGAGTCAGTCTCCAATGAACATGGTGCGGCTTTTGAGTAAACATACACAGCTGGCAGCGTTCGAAATTCCCATTGTTCTAGACGAATTTCATTAGCGCAAGCAGTTTCTGGGCTCTGGGCTCAGTACTGCGCCTAAGATTTCAGATTAAAACTGCAGAGTGGAAGGAAAGGAGGACCTTTTTCTGCCTCCCCACTTCCAGCCACTATCTGAAGACTGGAGAAGAGACACTCTTAAGAATATTGCAGTCTTCAGATGAGGACTAGAGTCGGACCAGGGGTCAGCAAACTTTTTCATCAGGGGGCCAGTTCACTGTCCCTCAGACCTTGTGGGGGGCCGGACTATATTTTTAAGAAAAAAAATTCCTATGTCCCACAAATAACCCAGAGATGCATTTTAAATAAAAGGACACATTCTACTCATGTAAAAACACACTGATTCCCGGACCATCTGCGGGTTTGATTTAGAAGGCGATTGGGCTGGATCCGGCCCCTGGGCCTTAGTTTGCCTACACATGGACTAGACCATGTGAAAAACAAACATAAGATTTTAGCTGCAGTTCATTCATTTTCAGCTTTGTATTCTCATTATAAAAAAGTGCACCTAGACACTCCATTGTTGTGCCCATAACCTAGGTTAAAGGTGACATTTAGCTCCTAGCTTTCATATCTCAGTTTCTAACACTGACAGCTAGTGATTATGGGATTTGTAGTCCAAAACATCTAGAAGGCACCAGGTTGGGGAAAGATTATACTGTTGGTGAATCAAAGGAACTCGGGGTCTGAACTTTTGACTTCAGTGGAGCTCAGGCTGTACTGTAAGAGATTCAGTGACATATTTGCTATGCGTCTCACATTTCTTCTTAATTAGCAGAAAACATCCCTTCTGCAGCTTTTGTTTGGTGTAGGGAAGCAAAACCCTTAGTGCTAAATGAATTGCCCCAGGTTGCACTTCATAATAATACCCAGTAGAGCACAGATAGATCAAGAAGCCTTTCCCCCCCATTTTTTTCATGGGAGACCAGTTTATTAGTGCCGGGCTTTGATCAAGGCACCCTGCAGAGAAATAACTAGAGGCTCATTTACTGGGACCTCATTAAAGAGATGCTCATTCCCAAAGGCCAAACCAAATCATCTCCCTTTAGTGTTTCCTCTGTCCTCCCCCCAACCTGCCTGCTTAAAGGGGCATTACACAAACAGTGCATAGGATACATTTTAAGCATTTGATAAACAGGGCTCATGTTGGCTGGAAACATAATTTTTTTTTAAAAGAAGCAAAGATGTTTGAACCGTGCACCTAAAAACTGTAAAGCAGTTGTTGGGGAACCCCAAGGCCAGGGCCCACATGCAATGTGGCCCTCTATGCCTCTCTTTCCAGCTCTTGAGACTGTCCTCTGGCCATGGCCCTCACTGGTGCTTATTTGCCTCCTGAATGTTTCTGTGTGGCTGTAATGTGTCCCTGAACTCTAAACATGCCTCTTGCTTAGTGGTGCTCAAAGGGTGTGGCCGGAGAGGATGGCATGTGTGGCAGGAAGGTTCAAGGACAATCAAGGAAACATTTAAGTAGCTGCTGGTTGGGAAAGCAGTCTGTCTATGCTCAGAGGTACTCTGAAAAGAGGCTCCAGAGCTGTGGTGACTAACCATACACTCCATCACTCCTGACCATTAGCTGTTGAACTCAGAATGTCTATACAATGGTCTTCCTCCCCCAAAAAACTCAACAACTTTGGCTCCCCAAAATAAGCTCAAAAACCTTTGTGAAGCCCCCCAAGCCCTACAACTTTGTTGAAGGCTCCCCAAAAATGCTCAACAACTTTGGCTCCCCAAAATAAGCTCAAAAACTTTGGCGAAGGCCCCCCCAAAGCTCTACAACTTTGTTGAAGGCTCCCCCCAAAATGCTGAACAACTTTGGCTCCCTAAAATAAGCTCAATAACTTTGGCGAAGGCTCCCCCCAAAAACGCTCAACAATATTGGTCAATCCAATGGGCAGTTCACTGCCAGTTTTTTTATAGTGGGAGTAGATCACAGTGTCTTGGGAGTTGGACATGCCTGGTCTATACTCACTGGCAGGAAGTATCCACAGTTTCGTCTCTCAGCCCTTCTTAGAGATGCCAGTGTCAGGAACGTAACACACACCACCTCCCCCCAGTGCAGGGGATGAGTTAGACTCAGGGACCAACTCTGCAGATGAGAACTGCCTGTCAGAATTGAGAAAGGGCAGTTTCTGGAGAGGATTCTACTAGCTCTCAAGGAGAGGAAGAATTGGAAGGCAGCCAAAGCGTTGCTAGGCAATCAGCAGATAAGCAGAGGTCAGAGTCTGGGTTAAGTGAGAGGGAGGAGGTCATCCTCTCAGTCCCAAATCCAGGCGTTTGGATAAAATCAAAAGGCAACGGAAGGCAGGAGGAGAAAGGCGGGAGTTTGGTGTCCTTCCTGTTGTGGGAGGAGCAAAACTTCAGACTGACAAACAAACGTAATTGCAAGCAGGTGTGAAGCTGGGCTCTGTATGTGTCTTTTTGTAAATAAACCTACATCAAAACTGCCGGAGAGTCAATTACTTCTTATCGGAGCTTGCTTGTCTGCTAGAGATCATTACAGCCAGAGTTCGAACCAAAGACCTTCAGCATACAAAACAGATGTCTTACCAGGGAGTTACCGTCCTTCCCTGTCACTTCCTACTACTACTGTTGTTGTTGTAGTGGTTGTTGTTGTACCACCCTATTCATGCAGGTCTCAGGGCGCTTCACAAAATAAAATCACACTTACCAACAATACGTATGGAAATTTCAGAAGCCAGCTGGTTGGCTGGACAATATTTCTTTCTTTTTAGACATAGAATATACTGTTGGAGTTCTATGTTTGACCCCGTTTTTCTAGAAACCTGAATGTTCCTTTAGAGCTGGCATCCCTTTGAGTTGCCCCATTTGTTTGAAGCTGAGCCATTTGGGACTGTCCATAAAGTATGTCACACTTTGAAATTTGCTTCTAAACAGACACACACAACCCTTGTAGGGATGGGGAGGCGATTTGGCTCAGTGTACATTTTCATGAATCTATTTGCGGTTCCCCAAATGATGCGCAAATTGAAACCAATCTGCACTTCTCTGAATTTTGTGATATAGTTCTTCAACTGACAACAACAAAAACAACAATAAAATGCATATATTAGGAGGAAATGCCCCTATTATTAATAATGATATTAGGAATGAGTTATTAATGACCTTCTAAACCACCCTCTCAAGGAAATTTACATACATTCATATTAGGGAAAATTGCTTGCAAAAATGGGCATATAGGCAAAAATGGGCACTAAAATGCTCATTAATTTTTTGGGGAGGCAAGAAAAATGGCCAGACTGATGCAGAAATGTGAGTGACTGAATTTAAGACTGGGAAATGGAGAAAATGAGATAAGCTGAAATGGGGGAGATTTGTCTATGCCTAAGCCCTTGTTGCTCAGTTTTAGCCTGTACCAGCCCTTCATCCCCTCCTTGCCACATTTTTGCCGTTCCCTCCCCATCTTGGCACATGCCATACTTTGTGGGCTGCCCCTTCTTGGACGTTTCTCAGTCCCACTGAATAAACAAGTGAGGGAAGGGATGAATTCTAATCGCTTGACTTACAGCCTTGCAATCCAGGCACTGTGATTTAAACTCTGCACAGCTGATTATCAAGGGATTTTCATCCTTTATGGACTGACTGCTGGCTGGCATGACATCAGGGACTAGCATGCTGGTGCCTCATTTTTTTTTAAATAAACAAAAATTAAAGATACTATTTAGTTTTATAAGCACTGGTGACAGGTCATTGTAAAAATAAACTGCATGTCAGCATCAAATCCTCCATTTCCCCAATTCTTTGGCTATTATCCTCTTGAGCGAAGGGGAGCCAGGAGCCAGTGTAATTCAAGACAGGACATTTGGGTCACCATATGTCACACACACAAATTCCCAAGGGGCAGCAGGGATAATGTGTATTATTTAGCCCTTTCTCTGTTTCTCTGATTGGGCTGTTATAAATGGGGAAAGAACCAACAGACACTGATGTAATGTAGAACAGAAGATGGTCCAAACATGATTTTTGAAATGCTTCTACAACCACAGGGGCTGCGCAGAGACGTTGGAGCCATTCTCCATCAGCAGCTGCTCCCTCACTTTTCATTTTAAGTATTTGGTTTGTTCCCCTAGATCTTCAGTATATCAGGTTACTCTTTCTCCCCTTCCTTAAGAGGTGGCTGATGGTTAGATCTCCTAAGCTGCCCTAACCATGGAAAGCCAAGCCTTTTCCCTCTTTTCCTAATTGATTTTCTTTTGGGGAGGGGGGAATCAATAAGTCAATTGAGGGGACAGCTATCCCTTGACCCTGGCTTCTGTCTCTTCCCCCCAACCTCTGTCTACTAAAAAATCAAAGCCTTCCCCCGAGTCTCCGCAATTCCACTAATTTATACCCCTGAGTGGTAATCATTCTTGCTAGCCTTTCATCTGTGCTCTACCGCAGCTTCTGACAGTACTTAACGCTTGTTGCTGGGTGATTAGGCTGCCTTGTGTGGAGCATCCAAAAAAAGGCACTTTATGACACATTTGGGTAAATTACAGGGGGGTGGAATTTACTGTACAATTGTATACGGGCGAAACGTTACACTTTTATGAGGATACAGTTTTAATATATTTCCCCCGCATGGCTGCAATTGAATATACATGGGTTTTTTTGCTATTATTACAGTTGCCTATACTAAAACAGCTGCTGAATTGTTATTGTTCCTTGAGGGCAATATATATATATTTCTATACAATGCTTGCTGTATATCCCAGCGGAAAGGTTTTAAGGCATTAATAATAATTATTGTAAAATTAGAGTGCTGTCTTGCTGTTATTGTATTTTATGATGGGTTTGGTGGGGGGATGCTTCATAACAGAAAGAAAAGGCCTATTTCCTGGTGAATGTATATAATTTAGAGTCCCTAACCAATTGTCATGGGAGGGGTGAGTAAACTGTACTCCAAGCCCCTTCTAACCCCTGGATCCAGCAAATGTTTAGATATAAGTCAGGCTAGCTTGCTGTTGAGGTGTTTGCCTGGGTGATGGGCCATTAAGGGGAACAAAGGAAAGGGGCTGTCTGAGAGATGGCAAATGGGTGCGCCCCCTCATCCAACTCATGGTTAGTTAGAAGGACGAAGCCAGAATTAAGGGCAGAGAGCTTGCAGTAGTGGGAGCTAGAAGAAAAAGCAGCAAGCTGGAGAGGAAGCCAGAGCAATGTTTGTTTTCTTTTTGAATCCAAGGCTCTGGATATGGGAGAAACCAAACCTCCTTGAGGTATTGACGCCAGAAGCCCTTTCATCACAGGCACTAGTTGTATATATGTGTAAATAAACCATATATCATAAAGATACCACAGTCTCCACTGTGCTTCATGGCGTGCTCCTTCTGGTGTGGTTTGCCCACCTTTGGTTCCCACTCTGTCCCCAGCTCTCACCTGTGGCTCCTAGAACCTGTCAGCATGCAACAGTGGCCACACCCTGGGAATGGTAGCCAATGGGTCTCAAACCCTCTGTGAGTTATGGATTTCTACTGCATGCTTGGGTGGATTGAGCAGACAAGACCAATAGTGGCTCCAACGGTCAAGAAGGCAGTGACTGCACATGCTGTAGTGGGAAATGAGGGGCAGATGAGGCTTGCCAAGCTGGGAAGGTAGTCCATCTAGGAGGAAAACTCTCATCCTAAACCTCCACTGCCTTGTACGATATCTTTGGGAGAAAGAAAGAAGTTAACCCTAAAGTAATCTGGAGTGGAGTGGAGTCTCTAAGATAGTTTTATGGCCCCTTGCATGCCTCTTTCTGGTAACTCCTGCAGCCAAGCTGGTACCAAACGTCTTGCTCTGCTTTCCTTCATACCACATCAACAAGGCCAAGACGGGGGTCTTGTCGTCTGAGCAGCCCAGGACCTCCATATATGCTGCCCAGGCTTGTGCCCTAGGGAGGTAGCCTCAGTGGTGCTAATGTAGTGGTTTGATATCACCCCTGGAGGCGTACTCTATTGTCTCTCGAGACAGACAGATGCCAGCAACTTGGAAGCCATTCCACAGATATTCTAGTGAGTCCACAGATATTTCCCAGAAAGCTCTGCCTCCCCACTCCCTGGAATGTCGGAAGTGCCCAACGATTGGTTCCTGGCACTTTGCAACACTCCAGCAGGTGCCTCGCCATTGGCTTCTCCTGCTTTGTATAGTACTAACAGGAAGTACTAATTGGGCTGTCAATGGCCCATTTCATGCTGCGATTCAAAGGTGAAGTTTAGCAGAGACAACTGCCAGACGAGTCATAAAAATAAATGAGCTTGTTGGAGGGGATATATCTTGAATGTCAGTCGGCACCAGAGCTAATCTAATATCAGAAACGGGGCTTAAGGTAGATTGACTTCAGCGTGTCTGCAGCTGTGTCAGCAAAGAGGAGGATTTTAGTTAGGCCAGCATATCTTCATAGCTGGGCTCCCTTCCTCAGTGAATATCTGTATGCAAGAAAATGGAAATTCAGAGGATCATAGAGGGAAGGAGCCTTGAAGCCCATCCAGTCTAACTTCTTGCAGACATGGTTCTCCTCCGCCCCATTATATCCTCACAGCCCCCCAGTGAGGTAACTTAGGCTGAGAGACAGTGACTGGTCCAAAGTTACCCAGGGAGCATTGTGGCTATTTGCACCCTGGTCTACCAGGTCCCAATAAAAAACACAAACCACTACACCCCACTGCTCTTGAGAGCACCCCCAGCGGATGGCCATTAGTAAAGGGCACTTACTCACTTCTGTATTTTGTTTCTTAATTTTTAAATAAAATTCTAAAGAACTATCTCTTGGAGGTGGGTTTCTTGGCTTTTCTACAACTGATCAGGATAAACTTGATTCACCTCCAAATGTGAAGAACAAAGTGCGTGGCATGAGATGAAAGTTCTGCCCTTGGTGTTATAATAGGTGGCAGCTCTGTTTATAAATGCAAGCAGGACCTAAAACAAAAAGTGTGGAAGGTTCTAGTCAGGCAGCCATGTTTTTTTCTAGGATACTCCATTCCATTGGCTTCCCCTCCATTCCCCCTGCCCCCCGCATTCCATTTCCTTTGAGCATGTACAGTCTTTGTTCCTGTTCTCTTTCTCTCTCACACACCACCCTTAGGATTTTTTTTCCAGAAATGTGTTCTTCTTTTTTTGTAGTACTTCTACAAAGTTGCTGATACCTC